ACGGTATTAGAGATAATGGTTACTATCAGGATGTAACACACTCATTTTTTTTATCCACACGATGGAACTCAGAAGCCAACTAGCCTATTAAAGAGGGTATTATGAATACTCTCATACTAAAATACCCTAGATCTAGACATAATTATAAAGTAGACTTACGCCATTCAATTCTAAATAGCTTGGAATTTGATGGCTGAATAATTTTCAAATGATCGGTGCATTCTAGTTTATTGACACCTCTATACATTGTCCAGATATGTACTTACGATTATACTATCATGACAAGGACGTGTATTCCCGTGTAGAGCCATCAACGTCAAGAAAACGGGTCGTTCACGCCGTCCCGGACCCTGATTTGGATTGAGAGCTGACTCTTGCAAGAAAGAAGGTAAAAGGCTGTTATCTTCTTAAGTTCAATAATTTACTGGGAAAATAGGGCATTTAGTCTCTCTCTCTCTCTCTCTCTCTCTCTCTCTTCTCTCTCTCGCTACAGTATGCCCTTTTCTCCTTGCTTTAATGAATTAATTTTCTCCCAATCTATACTATATTGAATTATTATTTCTCTATCTATGTTTCCTAGGGAGAAAGCCCAAAGAATCAGCTTGCTCAATCCCTCTATTCAGAATTGCCTCCAAAATAGTCGAGGTTACGAGAAAAGAAGATTCAGAGCATTTTAACGTATGAGGCCACAGCCAAGGCCCACAGGCAACCTCCTCGGATGACGTCGACGACATTCCCGATTCTTGCGGCGGAGGAGGTCTCCGATGCGAGGAGGGAATCGAGGCGGAAATGAGGGTTGGAGCCGTAGAGAAGTTGCATCCCTTCCACGTCGTCTCTGTGGAGCTTCAACTTCCTTTTCCGCGGGATCAAGCTAGGGTACATGATCTCTCTCTCTCTCTCTCTCTCTCTCTCTCTCTCTCTCTCTCTCTCTCTCTCTCTCTCTTTTCTCTCTCTCTTTTCTTCCTCTCTCTCCTTCTCTCTCCTCTCTCTCTCTCTCTCTCTCTCTCTTTCTTTCTCTCTCTCCCTCTCTCTCTCTCTCTCTCCCTCTCTCTCTCTCTTCTCTCTCTCCTCTCTCTCTCTGATCTCTGATCTCTGATCTCTGATCTCTCCCTCTCTCTCTCTCTCTCTCTCCCTTCTCTATCTCTCTCTGCCTTCCCTCTCTCTCCCTCTCTCCTCTTCACTCTTCATGACAGCCCATTTAGAACCGACGCATGTGCCCGGAGACGGAGATAAGTCTATTTTTTTGAAACGTAGGTCATTAAATGATCACTAGTTGAAGAACTGAATGTACGCCAGCCCAAATGGGCCATCTTCTCCGAGCCCAGGCCCTGTAACTAAATCAGAGCTCATCCAAGATTGGCCTTCACAAAAGTCGTCAATACCCAATCCTCTCTTTCTGGTGACTTGGTCTTCAGATCACCGTCAATCCTCTCTTTCATTAATATTGGAGCCATCTGTCGCATTCTTCTAGCTTAGCGAGTCATCTTCCCCGGACTAAGTTCGAGATAAGCTCTGAAGTCCTGTCCAGAACATCGCTTCCTACGTAAGCCTAAGCGTCAGAGTCCGAACAGAAGAGAAATCCTACGTGGAAGCTTGCCCTCGTGGCCGGTCCCTGTTACCGATTTGGCAGTACCCACCCCCCCCCCCCTCCCTCTTGGGGCAGAAAAGTTAGACAAAGGCCAGCCTTCGTCAAACCCATAGTTACTCTCATAACTTCTCTTTCTACGTGCCAATTCATAGACCACGGCGTTGACTTCAAGGAGGGCGAGCGGCCTCGAGGAGCTTGGAGCTAGTGGAAGAGGACCGAGAGAGAGAGAAAGAGAGAGAGAGAGAGCGTAGACCCGTGGTTGCAAGGCTGTCATAATCCAACAAGTTGACCTTGGGGTTCTATCCCAATCCCAAGACCGTTCCAGCGGCAGGTCCCGTGAGGATATTCAAGTTTGCCGCAGCCGAGGAGTCCCTCGCCGGTCTCATCTCCCAACGTCAAAGCCGACGTCCCTTCGACGACGACACCAACCTAAACACCCAACCCGGCTGAGTCGCTCGCTACAAAGCTACTCTCTCTCTCTCTCTCTCTCGCTCTCGCTCGCTCGCTCGCTCTCTCTCGCTTTCTTGGTTGGAACTGGATTATGAGTCAAAAATTCGTTCGCCATGAGTTGATAGAGTGATGGGCGGTGCAACAGGCTTTTGGCGTGAGGAGCGAATTTTATTTTTATGTTTAAAATAAAATAAACGCACCCAATTTAATATAAATACATAATATAATATAATATCCAGTTTTGGTCGGGTTTGGTGGCGGCGCTCGGTCAACTTCCTTAGAGATCAAGCAGGCTGGTTTTCTCTTCATCCGACGGTCCGCGTGCTCGAAGGCTCCGTGAAGTGACCCCCACGTCGTGAGGCTATGATGGATATATATGGGCCAGCCCAATAAGAAAAAAGCATCGGTCTTCCGATGGGTCCAACAAACTTCCAGCCCTATTATTATACTACCTAATTGGTGGCTTCTTGAGGGATCGATCTTGGGCCCACATTCAAATATACCCCTGGTCCATGTCCATAATTACGTACTAGATTAAAAACGCGGCAGCCATTACGGTTCGAAATGCTGACGTGCCCCATCCCTGGCCTTCTGATCCTTTACTGGGTCCCACTTGCCTACGTTTCCTCGACAGCGGCTGACGGAGATATTCTTGGAAGGGCCTCACTCCCGCCGCCATCTGATGGCCAACCCAATAGCCCCACGTCCACGAGGACCTTTAGTGGACCTCCCGGTGAATAGTCTTGTCCCCGATGCAACTAACGTAACCAGAAGGGAAGAGACCGTTGGCCACCCACTGGAGGGAAGGTCTGCCGGCTTCCCTAACCTCCGCCGTCGTCCGGCGGCCTAAACTGCGAGCAGCTGGCGGCAGACTCGGCGGCGACTTCTCCATTAAGTACCGAGTTCTCCGCAGGGTTACGACTCCGCTCCGTCTTCTCCTCTCGGCCCTGTTCCTTCCCTCTCCTCCTCCGCATGCTTGGCCATGTTGCCGGCGATCGTTCCCCTCCTCGTACTGTCCATGGTCGTCGCACATCCTCCCTCATCAGCAGCACGAACATCTCCTTGGGATCTCAGGTCGCCGTCGGTTGGCGGCGCCTGGGCCGCGTTCGAGGGCCTGGTAGACGCGGAGCTCGGCGATCAGAAGACCGGCGTGGCGGAGCTGAAGAGGTACCTCCACCGCTTCGGGTACCTCCCCTCCAACCTCTCCGACCACCGCAGAGTCGCCAGTAGGGACGGTAATAACTTCACCGACGCCTTCGACGAGGTCCTGGAATCCGCCGTCTCTCTCTACCAGTCGAAGCTCGGCATGGCCATCACCGGCAGGCTCGATGGTGCCACCGTGAACCAGATGATGGCTCCGAGATGCGGTGTGGACGACCAGAACATGCGCCCGCAGCGGCGGAATTCTCAGCGGTACGCCTTCTTCTCGGGGCGCCCCTCGTGGCGGCGAAAGGCCCCCGTGAACCTCACCTACGGGTTCTTCCCGGGAAACTTCATCGATTACATCCCGCGAGCGGAGGTGGAGGCAGCTTTCCGGCGAGCCTTCGGGAGGTGGGCGGCGGTGATTCCGGTGAGCTTCGTGGAGGTGGAGGAGTACTGGGCGGCCGATATCAAGGTGGGATTCCACGGCGGCGACCATGGGGACGGAGAGCCCTTCGACGGAGTGCTCGGGGTGCTGGCACACGCCTTCTCGCCGGAGAACGGAAGGCTGCACCTGGACACGGCGGAGACGTGGGCGTTGGACTTTGAGAAGGAGCAATCCCCGGTGGCGGTTGACCTCGAATCGGTGGCGACCCACGAGATTGGCCACGTGTTGGGCCTGGCTCATTCGCCCGTGAAGGAAGCGATCATGTACCCTAGCTTGATCCCGCGGAAAAGGAAGTTGAAGCTCCACAGAGACGACGTGGAAGGGATGCAACTTCTCTACGGCTCCAACCCTCATTTCCGCCTCGATTCCCTCCTCGCATCGGAGACCTCCTCCGCCGCAAGAATCGGGAATGTCGTCGACGTCATCCGAGGAGGTTGCCTGTGGGCCTTGGCTGTGGCCTCATACGTTAAAATGCTCTGAATCTTCTTTTCTCGTAACCTCGACTATTTTGGAGGCAATTCTGAATAGAGGGATTGAGCAAGCTGATTCTTTGGGCTTTCTCCCTAGGAAACATAGATAGAGAAATAATAATTCAATATAGTATAGATTGGGAGAAAATTAATTCATTAAAGCAAGGAGAAAAGGGCATACTGTAGCGAGAGAGAGAAGAGAGAGAGAGAGAGAGAGAGAGAGAGAGACTAAATGCCCTATTTTCCCAGTAAATTATTGAACTTAAGAAGATAACAGCCTTTTACCTTCTTTCTTGCAAGAGTCAGCTCTCAATCCAAATCAGGGTCCGGGACGGCGTGAACGACCCGTTTTCTTGACGTTGATGGCTCTACACGGGAATACACGTCCTTGTCATGATAGTATAATCGTAAGTACATATCTGGACAATGTATAGAGGTGTCAATAAACTAGAATGCACCGATCATTTGAAAATTATTCAGCCATCAAATTCCAAGCTATTTAGAATTGAATGGCGTAAGTCTACTTTATAATTATGTCTAGATCTAGGGTATTTTAGTATGAGAGTATTCATAATACCCTCTTTAATAGGCTAGTTGGCTTCTGAGTTCCATCGTGTGGATAAAAAAAATGAGTGTGTTACATCCTGATAGTAACCATTATCTCTAATACCGTGGAAAAAAAATCTAGGCCTTCCAAATCAAAGCCAATTCCCATTGAGCAAGGCTTATCATCAAAATCACGTCTATTTTTTTACCAATATAAAATATAAAATTAAAATTAAGTCAGGCATAGAGAAAAAGCCTAGAAATAATGTTTTCTGAGAGAGAGAGAGAGAGAGAGAGGGAGAGAATCTCAGTCCATCTTTAGAATCAAGTCTATTTTTATAATAATCGGTCCATGACTATTAATAACGATTCAGGCTCAAAGGAAAAAAGCCTAGTAAACACATTGTAGACTCAACAATTGATAAAGTATATAGTCAAGAGACAGAAATGGAGAGGCATAGAAGCCTCTGTATAATCACCAATATACCGTGATAAAAGCCAATATGCAACTATTATTAAAAATTCGGTTCATAAACAGGTTATAAACATGGTCATACATAAAGTTTGCGGAAACCTTGGTCCTTTGAATGCAGCGATGAGAGAGAGGGAGAGAGAGAGAGAGAGAGAGAGAGAGATGGCAATAATAAACAGTTTTCAGACTCTTAGCTTAGGTCTTATCTTTGTCAAAATCTGCTTTAAATCAGGATTCACCCCTATCGATCCCTTTCTGGGTTTGATTTTGACGTCTAAATTTGTTAAAAAAGTCATCTTGGGCTGCACCTTAAGAGTCCCAGTTCCTGAATCTTGACGGAAGGTACATCTTCTCCTTGAAGGGAAGTAACAGAGTAACGCGTAAAGGTGATCCTCATGTTTTCTACTGGCATGGGCCGCCTTGTCGGTGCACATTTTTTTTCCAACTATAAGCACCATTCAGGCACACTCACAAAGTGGACCCCTTGTGTGACCGGCCCCACCGGAATTTACCTCGTTTCTCCATGGAGCCCACCGAAAAAATGTCGGGAGATCCGAACAGAAATTAGGCTACCTCTCAGGAGCCTTTTCGTCAAAATAGTAGACATTTATGGAAATTGGTCGACGGTTAAATGGATTGGGTTTGCCCTTTGGTCGTCATAAACTGAGCTCCACGCATTCTTGATTACTCATTTTGTCCCATTTGGTGCTCAATGGTCGTCGTTCATTGAAATCTCCGAGAGAGAGGCCTTTCTACTAGATGAAGACATTTCAGTGCCGGCCTTCCACCGGTCATATCGAATATGAGCGAGAGACGAGAGAGAGAGAAAGAGAGAGATCAAATCGTACACGCAACTACCTAGATGAATCATAGAGGATGGGAAAGCAAAACTGTGAGTTTGAGGTACCCAATCGGCGGGCTGTTGTGAGTTGACCGGCCGTTGTCAATCACAAACAGGGAGAACAGCATCCGTTCGGACAGCAAAAGTCATTCAACTCCGAGCCGTGTTTCCCTTGACAAATCGTTATATATATTGACCAAATCATTGAGAAATTTATCTTTAGATTTGAATGAACTGGAGTACAGCCGGCACACATGAATTAGTACACTAGAATTACTAGATTATGATCAGATTGTATCGGATCACGATCCATATCAGATGTTTTCACGAACCTTGGAACGGAGACAGAATTAGCGTGGGAGATCGCAAACACTTAAAATTGTTAAAATAGTAATAAGATTGAAGGTTAGGTAATTGAAACAAGATTGACATTATCTCCCACGCAGGTAGATAAACTTTCGATTTCCCGGCGGCAATCTATTAAAAAATTATTTTACAAAATCCCGTGTGTAGTACTTTAATGGCTGAGTAGTTGAAGGCGAATAAATGTTCATACAGGCCTAAAATGGATACAATCGTACTGTTCGCAAGAATCGTAAGCGCGCGGTCCAACGGCAAGACGATGCACAGTGAATGTACGATCAAGAAGATCACATGAAGTTCCAACTGTTTATGTAAAGAAAAATGGAAGGCATCGACGCCAAGCTCGCTTTACGGCGATGCAGGTTCGGTGAAGGGTGCACCCGTTCATCCTTCCTTTCTACTCTCTCTCTCTCTCTCTCCTTCACTCACACACACACACACACACTGATAGTGCAATATTCGATTCCATTCTCCACGGCGGCGGACGTGAATCCGTTTATCCGTCGACACACACACTGAAGCCTGGTGGCTGATCTCTCTCTCTCTCTCTCTCAAAGACTGCTATCGTCCTCACCCAGCACGTGTGAAGGATGGACCGGTTTTGACTTTTCCTTGACTCTACACTTCGCTCTCTCAATGATGATACAATAATCCACACCAGTATGCTTTACGGCGGCGCACATGTGAATGGTGCATCCTTCTATAGCTACCATCCTCGACACTCGTTGCTCTCTCTCTGATCTCACATCAGGATCACGTCAGTTGAAACGCACGATGATCCGAAAACCGCATTCGTATATCAGGTTGAATAGCCAAGGTGAAAGGGTCTATGACCAGACGAAGAGAAGCTACCAAGAGCACAAAGAGATGGATAAGATGAGAAGGGATAATAGTCAGCTTTAGCTGAAGAAGAGGAGTTGGACGGAGTTTGGTTCATAAAGCAATCCTCGTCGTCCTCGATGGTTATCTGAAGAAGGTAGTAACCGGTTGAGATCGTAGCGAAAGGGGCTATTAATTCAGCAACAATATCAATTTTTTTACGACGAAGAGTGGCGATCGCCTCCTGCAACAGTATCTCCTCAATTCTTTGAAGCCACCCTGGCTCTCAGCAGGAAGCCCTGACACCGTTTCTACAGAAACAGCAACCCTCGCGATTCCTCTGTCAAATCACAACTCATTCAACGAGGTTGAAAGCCGTCGTATCCCCACATGGCGGGGTACAACTTGCAGTAAGAAACTGTCACATATCTAAGAAAATGGAGAGAAAAAGGTTCTTCATCGACGGCGACCATGGCTCAAGTTGGTGGCGAGGAGAGAGACAAGGTGAAGGGCGCGGGGGGGCCGGGCGAGGTCTCAGAGATGTCGCAGAGTATCGTGAAGAGGAGGAGGAAGAGGCCCTCGCAGGCAGCTAGCTCCAGGACGAGGTACCTTGTTCTACTGTACGCCGCTCACGAACTCCCCCCCTGCGGTTTAAGTTCGCACCATCCTTAAATGGAGAAGCAGGCAGGGGGCAAGGGGGTTCCTTCAAGGAACAAGACGACGAGGGAGGGGGACATATGTGTTGTCAAAAGAGGCAACATAGTATAGTCCTACTTTACTGTGTGTACTATGTAGTTGAATAAATAATTTCACAGTTGCAGGAAGAAGTGCTCGGAGATCAGGTTTTCACCGCAGCCAAGAACACAGATCTCTTTTTCTTTTTTGTTGTGTTCCATTTGTTGGGTTGCCTTTGATACATAGGCCGTCCGGTAGCAGACGCCGGGAGTCTGTTTCTGCCTCCTTGGATTTTCTGCCTTTCAAGAAGTTCTCTCTCTCCCTCCCTCTCCATTTCTGCCCCCCGCCCCTCCCCCCCCCCCCACAACACACACACACACACACAATCTCTCTCTCTCTCTACCAATCTTTCCATCTATTTCTCTCTCTCTCTCTCTCTCTCTCTCCCTCCCTTCCTCCCTACACCCATTTCCCCCTCAACCCTTGGGATGAGGAAAGATGTCACGAGCGCTCGATAAAAATAGGTTTAGGGAGGTGATGAAGAACGTATCACTTTTCTTGCTTTCCCCTCACCTTTTGACGTACTCAAACGCTAGACAATCCTCACTCGCCTGCTTTTTCTAGAAAACATGAGGTCGTATCACGGCTTTTGCCCATCCTTGGAGGATTACTCTCTCTCTCTCTCTCTCTCTCTCTCACACACACACACACACACACGCACACACACACACACCCACGCAGATATTGGCAGATCAGCAGCGTGGTAGGTTTGAGTTTTGCAGTCGTCATCCCCTCCGCCCCTCGGTTCAGCTCCTTTGGAAAGCTTTTGCTGCAACGTTGCGGTTTCTTCTAAGCCTATCTGAGATAAAAACAGGCGACTGGGAGAAGGCCTTCGCCGTGACACTCTGGGTCCTCGGAAATCAGTTGGACAGATCATTGAAAAATACTTTCGAAGATCAGAGGAAGGACAAGATTAATCTATCAAAGTGAACAGTTTCTATGAGCTCCTGTATACATATCGTCATCAATGAAGTTAATAGATTTCTATGTAGCGAAATGAAGCCATGGGTATGACTGACTCCTAACAAATTTTCATAAAATCATGAACCCAGATCTTAACGAACTAGGTCAGCCACACCCTCTTTACGAACGTTCGAAGAAGCTAGCGTTTTGTATTCTGCTGTACCGCAATATCAGGTTGATGAGAACATGCACTGGTACATAATCCTTTGAAAATGAATTCTGATTTCAGGTCATCGGGTTTGATAACGCTGTTTCCTGAACTAGCGAGAGGGAGAGAGAGAGAGAGAGAGAGAGAGAGTACGGGAACTGAAAACAAGATGGGAAAAAGAGCGAGAAAGGACGGAGCAGAGTCCTAGAGTCTTTGAGGGGTATTCCATTCCTTCCCTGTGGTTTTTCACATTAGAACTCAGCATTATAAAACTTATATATAAGAAATATACACAACAGACGTTGAAAATTTTACATCTAGCACTTGTCACTGGCCTAACAATACGTCTTCTAGCTTTCCGCCCACACAGAAACTAAGGCCTGTCAGCACAACACATCCTTCAGTAGCTTATACCGGCGTCCCGACGGCCGAGTTGACGGCCCCGCCCCGCTGGTGCTCTTGCCACGGGCACTGCCGCCATCCTCCCGGTAGCTTCCTCCATCCTGCTTGGCCTTCTCGTCGCCTGGGTGGTCTGCCTGGTAGCCCGTCAGCGCAGCCTGATCCTTCCCTACCGAGGACTTCTTGGTTTGGGCTCCTTTCTGCTTCCTTGAGGACTTGCGTTCATCACTGCGGCACCAGTCGCAGAACCCGACCGCCTCCGAGGTGTCCTCGTAGTAGTTGCTACAATACCTGAAGATTCAGTGCGAGGAGCGGCATGAATAACCAGAGAACGAGTAGAAGCGTTGTAAGGACCATGGATTGAGAGATAGACAGAGAGAGAGAGAGAGAGAGAGAGAGGAGGGGCGGTGGGGGAAGGGAGAGAGGAAGTACGAGTGCTGGAACCGAGAGAAGCATCGGGCACATCGGAAGAGTTTGTCGGGGAAGCCAACGTCGCCACACATGCAGCAGACCGTGTTGAGGTCGACCATTGCGCCGTGGGGGAAGATCTGATAGACGATCTCTTCAGAGAGAGAGAGAGGGGTTGGGAGAGTGAGAGAGAGGGTGTGTGTGTGTGTGTGTGTATGAGAGAGAGAGAGAGAGCTAGACAGAAAAAGAGAGCGAAACGGCAGCCAGGAAGAACAAGAGGGGAGGGGACGGACACCACACGCTCTATACTTGCATGAGTGAGCCCCAACCCATCATGTCGTCTCCACTCCAGAAATGAAATGGAGAGAAAACCCCAAACGACGTCCGCGTCCCGATGCCCGACGGGACTTCTATAGCGCACTGTCGGCCGTCCGATCAAGAACACAGAGATGGGTTTACTTCCGCCGGTTACTCAAACTCCTCTGTCGTTACTAGGCCAATCCTTGTCGCTTTCGCGGGCCGGTGGACCCGTTCTCAAACTTGACACCACCAAATCCAGGCCCGTTTTACCAGTCCACAAGCCCCCTCCTTCCCCTTCCCCCCTGAGTCCTCCACAGCCCTCTAGTTTCCTAACCTCCCTCCTCCTCCCCCCTCGCGGTTAACCAGCGCAGCGCCACGTAGGCGTAAATAGCAACGTCTCGTCGTCTTGCCCACATGAGCTCAGTGGCGTCTTCCAGTCACCCATGTCCATGCCGCCGTCGGGGAAAGCAGCCCCAATCTTCCCGAAGAAGGACCCACTATGCAGCCCCCCTTCCCCTTCTCCCGCCCCACCTCATTTTCCTTGTGTTGAAGCCACCGAGTCGAGGGATAGTTTTTAAGGGAATACATGAGACGCCGATTCCGGATCTTCCGAGTTGGTCAGGAGCGGTTCTACGTTCGGTACCCACCATCTGGGATGTCTCTTTGCGGTGCAGCATATCCGCCGAGGATAACGATGCTGTCCTCTACATTGGAGGTGGGATGCAGTCGTTTTCTCCCTCTTCTATCTTCCTCCCTTCATCCCACCACGAGACCCTGCTGTCGGCGGTGCGCTGTCGGCGTTCTTTATGGAGTTGGATCCTCCGGCCGCCGGCGGCCCGGGGGAGGGGGAGGGGGCCTGGCGGCCAGGGTTTTTCTGCTCTGTGCCGTCAAGTCTGACCCCATTCATGGCCGTGGGAACCGCAACGTGGCAGGGTAGACAGCGCTGAGCTCAAGTATCGCGTTGACTGGTATTTGACTTCAGATACCGTCCCCCTGGGTTCGCCGCAGGAGGGCTTTCAAGGTGAGGCCATTTGCCATGCACTGGATCAAATCTAATCACGTCACGTCGTCAAGATATTTCACTTTTTGTCTGAATATGTTTTTTTTTACACGACATCATGACTCGTACAAATATATGGCTGACTATAGGAAATTATACTTTCCAAACTTTATTCACCAAAGTCAGAAAAATCTAAATTAGTTACGCCCACATGGCCTCCCATTCTCAATCAGACTTAAATTTACTTCCCCACACTCATAATACAAATATATGCAGAGGAAAACAGGTATTTTCTTGAATATGCATATCCATAAAAATGATGATGATCTTGATGATGATCTTGATGATGATCACCAACAATTGGTTGCTATTATGGACCACTAATTTTTCTAGTATATATATATATATATATATATATATATATATATGAATCATCATCCTCATCTGATGGAACACTATGTAGTCGATGAGCGGAAAGGGGAGGTTTTCCTTAGAAAACTTACTTCTCGTTCATCTCATCCCTAGGATACGAGAAAGGAATCTTAATTTATCCTCAACTTCATCTGCATGTGACTTTCAGGCCTTCCCCTCGAAGTAAAACCATGGTCGTCAACTGAAAGTTGATGGAGGGGAGGAAGCCCGTCTAATGCCATCATCAGTGTTAGTCGACCTCCTGGTCTGATGCGTCAGCAATTCAAATAAGCAGCCTTGACAGGTTTTCTAATATGATAGTTAAGATTGTGCTCAACAATTGACTCGTGACTGTATCGTGCCTAAAATGTTGTAAAATATCTATTCATCCCCCGCTCTCTACATTTTTTTCCTTTTTTCTGATTTTTTTATCTGTTCATCCAGAAAAAGTATCTATTTTCATCAACGAAGGGTAAAAGATTGAATGGTAGACTTGCTCGATTATCCTTTCTAAAGTCAGCTGATAAGGTTGACGAAGATGGATGATAAAAATGAGGGCTCACCAGAATAGCGAAGAGGACTTTTTGGAGCCCCTTACGGCCGTCAAGTAGGCCTTTCGATCTTATGGATTCCTCTCCAGCTCCTACTGACAACCTTCACAACTTGCGTCGCCCTCCCTCGTGAGTAAACTCGTTCTCGAAATGTCTGCCGGTGGGAAGGACAAACAAGTGATAGATAGGAACCAATAAGCGAGAAAGAGAGAGACCTGTGCATGGCTCAGCGGTCCAGACCCTAAGCTGAAAGAAAAACTAAAGGGGCTGGCGGCGGGAAAGTGGCTGCCTTGCGCCTAACAGCTGTTGTTACGCTCCCAACTCACCGGATCCAGGTTCAGGGCGCAGATTTGTATTGCCAGCATGAGGAGGGGCAGTCATCTATGTGGTCCCGTGGCGCGATACGAAGCAGAAGGCACGGCGCGACGAGGCGCACGACGACAGGGCGCGAGGAAACACATGGTGGCACAGCATGCACGGGAGGCGCGCAGGGCGCGGCAAACGTGTGGGGCATAAAGGGGAGGACCCCTACGAATGGGTTTCGGGGTAACGTCCCGCGAATCCAATAGGACATTGACACAGGCGGAGACGAGTGGATCACATTGATGTCTACCGCCATGTAGGCCATGGAAGCCCATGTCCAGGTCGTAGAGCGCCGGTTGAAAGATGTGCAAGTGGCTTCAAACCAGTTAGTCGCTCGTACTGGCAGTTCGTAGTGGATGAGAAGCAGATGTCAAGGGGTTACACGAGGTGTTGGAGGCCCTCCTTGTAGATGTCACATTGCTGAAGCGAGCAAATGTGGCACATCCGAAGGTCACATAGTGCAATGCTAGGAAATTGAATTTTTTCTATTGTTTTCTGGTGGTGCAGACCTTGAAATCAGATAAGGTAATGCTCGTGAGCATGTACCTTTCTTGTGACATAAAGCTGTGGTGGCGGATATCTATAGAGAATGGGACCTGACCCCTCATCAGCACGTGGGATGGGTTCGTTAAAGAGTTGATAGATCAATTCTTCTTCACGAACTGTGCGCAGATGGCACAAGAGGCATTTGTTGGACTACATCACACACACATCATAAGAAAATATGTGAAATAATTTACTTCACTACTTTTGATTTTGAAAAATATGTTCAATGATGACAAAATTATTCAATTTTAGGACAGGCTTAAAGGATTAGGCGTAGGATGGACTATGATGGTAGAACCTATAGACTTATTGTTGAGTTGTCATCCTCTAACGCTTTGGGTGCTGTTATTGCCGCCAATCAGCCCCTATCTGCACAAGAGGGATAGTTCTTCATATAATGGGGTTCCGAAGACAAACCGATCTCACCTCGGAGGGTTGACTTGTTGAGCACGACGTCTGGTTTAGCTTCAATAACTTGGCCCTTGTCCCGCTTCTACCTTCAATAACTCCCATGCGAGTCTCAATCACCTTTATGATTGGCATTATTCTCCTACTGGTTGGCACCTCCATCAAATTCAATAACTTTGTAGTCCGCCAAGGCATTTGTCATGGCCATGGCCAACTATATATCTTGTGTCCCCCATTGTTGTAACTCTGCTTGCACCCTATTCTACATGTATGCCATAAAATTGAACAATTTGTGCTAATCTGACGTGTTCTTGACATCTAAAAGCAGTGAACCAAACTACTTCACATACCCTCTCATGGTGTACCACAAGCAACCGAGTTCCTCTCATGACATCCACATGCTGTTTGTTGAAGGAATTGATCCTTTAGTTCCTTCACAAACCCATCTCAAGTGTCTATGAGGAGTCGAATCCAATCTTTCATTTATGTATTGCCTCCACAACTTCACATTCCAACAAAGGTACATGAGCTTCTCTCATGAGCATTATCTTCTCTCATTCTGAAGTATGCACTGCCTGAAAACAGTGGTCGAGATCCCACATAAAATTCTCAGTTTTATAGCCATTGGACTCTCTTTTCAATGCCTTGGCTCTGAGACCCTTTGTTACGTCACCCAACTCCCTTGCGCGATGCCCATCAATGTGCACGTCAGCAATGCAACGTCTAGTGAAGCCCTCCAGTACCTCGCCCATCTCCTTGACATCTACATCATTTGCCCACTAATTGGCGGTGCTGGCAACTGTCAAGCTTGCAGTCGCCTGCACATCTCCCAGCCGCCTTCTACAACTTGGAAGCGGGCTTCCATAACCTCCTCTAAGGGGATGTTCCCCTACCCATGAATCCCCAGAGCTCTGATAGCAAATTGTCATGGGGCTGAGGTAGAGCTCACCTCAGTTACTTCACCCGGAACCGGCCTTTGTCACCTTCAACAGCACCCAATAGCCTTCTCCACCCCACAGAAGTCTTCTTCTGCACCACAGGGGCGTGCCTTCTTCTCCACCCAAGAATACACAGAGGATGAGGAGGCTTTCTTGCTCTCTGAAGCTGAAATCCCCCCTCAGTCTATAGGGAAAGAGGTTGCCTCACAAGAGGAGCCCCATGCCTAGTCGGTACGCCTCCGACTTCTCTCAAGTTATCCTCTTGGGTCATCATTCTTGGGCCCATTTAAAAAAGAGCGGGTGGGACAGAGAGGGACAGACCGCCCCTGAAACCTAAAATTTCTCCGGAGGAGCTGAGCACTCGCACCTCGCCCGCCACCCCGTCGTCCATGGCCTCCAGCTGTATCAGATCCGTGAGCGGCGCTTCTCGTTCGTGCCTCCGCTCGTACGTGAAGCAATGCGTTTTATCGGGGTCGCGGCGGGCGTCCGCCCCGGGGGGATCCACCGCTGAGGCGACGCAGTTCTACTCCTCAAGGGCAAGGGTCCAGCCTTCCATCGCCCCTACCCGGTTTTCCTCATCTCCCAGGTTTGTCGAGCGGCCTTAAGAATTATTTCCGGGATTTGGTGGCCTTTCCGTGACTTCTTTTGGGTTTTCCCAGTAGGTGTCCTTCGGAGCTGGGTTGCTGCTCAGGATTCCTGCTCCCGGTGCACAGTGCGATGGCTTTGATGAGGCTGAATTCGAGCCTTAGTTCGACGTGCAGGTTCTACAGATCGCTTTCACAAGGTACGCTACGACGCACCTGGCCCGGACTCTAGTTTTGTTGTTCTTCTCCTCGCTCAGCGCTGTGTATCATCTTCGGATACCGTTTCCAAAGTTCTTAATTGGGGGATTCGCGTCGCATTCTTAATTCGAGATCGTATGCACCTTATTTTGAGTATTTTGTTCCTTTTCTGCAACAATTGCGGATCATTAGCTCAGTCTTCCCCATTTGATTTCCTATTTTCGTTTTGATTATAGCAGGAGGCTTGAGTGAGTTACTCTGTAGACTATTTTGTTGTCATATTCACATAGCATTCCCCTTATACTTCTTACTCGTAAAAGGATGTCTGTTCATTGATAAATTTCGGTAATGTGAACTGTCATTTCATATACAGACGCCCCTTGTCCAGTTGCAGCAGTTGTGGATGAATTAAATGAATGCGCCATGACAACTATCTACCAAACCTATCTTTTAACGATAATCGAAACTCCTTCGGGTGGTTTCATTAAATCATCTGATGAAGGGTAGAAAGAAGCCAATTTAGTGAACATGGAACATCTCAAGTGAAGACGTTATGTTTCTTGTTAAACGCTTCAAGTGGTGATGCTGTTATCCGCATATTTTTTCCATGACTTCTTTTTTCAGGTGCTGACTTTTTATACCGTTGGATACCTTTATTTTGACCATTTTCTGGCAAAAATAATTTTATTTTTTTGGAATTAGGGAGTTTCTCGATTATCTAACCCCATAACTCGGTGTAGGGACAGTCTTTTCTTATGTCCTAATGGCTGAGGTTCATTAAAAGTAAAGGTGGCCCGTGTAGTCAATATTAAGTGAAATGAGGTTCAGATCCAATCTGTATGTCTTCTAATCCTATGCTTAGGATCCGCTTGTTTGGCATGCTGCAGCATCGTTAATGGGAAAGACGATTAGAGAGGCATGATTAGACTATGATTGTCTTAAAACAGTTCTGATTCACGCAAATTAGAACTTCCCTTGACCCGCTGATGTTGGCCCATTTCTGGACAATGTGGATATGCCTTCTAATTAAATTGATCGTCCGAGACAGTTTTCAGTGTTTTGCCTAGAAACACTACTAAATGAAATTTTGCTTCCACGAATCACTGTTTATTGAAAGTCCATGGTGTCGCAGAAAATGTCCAATGTGGATCTACTGACTCTGCCTCGTTGGTTCAGCAAAGTCAACCAATTCATAGTGGGGGGAGATGTTCTGATACTGCTTTCTAAACATGTAAAAGGATATCTGTCCATTTGCACGTCTCAGCAATCTAACCTCTCCGCTTCCTATGCTTAGGACCCTTGTTGAATGGACGATGGTTTTAGAAGAATTAAATGAGTAGACTGTGCAAACAATTGGACGATGATTTTAATTTTTTTTTTTTAACAATAATCATGAATACTGGCGGTTTCATATTTCATCTTCAATCTATTTCTTTTGCTTGCAATGATAGTTTGAAATCCAATCATATTTAGAGATCATGAATTAATGCAGTAGGTTCGATTCTTAGAATGCTTTATGGATGCGTGCAGTAGGTGCATGACTTCCTTTCACTTAATAGAGATATCTGTCCATTAATGCAGGTTAGAATGCAGTAGGTGCATGACTTCCTTCCTGTGAAATTATGCGTGGATTATATCTTTGTCATTAAGTTGAACAATTATTTGTAATCTGACATTACTTTGATTGCGATCTGGCCTTGATACATGATTCACACAAGTTAGGTTTTCTCATAGTTTGTTGACTGAAACATGAGTTGCTATCGGTCGGTTGCCCTAATTTTGGATGTTTACAAGTTTTAGATAAACCTTAGCCTACTTCAGACCTCCAAGGACAGTTGGTAACATGATTGGCCAAAGATTTCCTTTTTCTTTTCCTTGTGCTAGCCAATTTTTTCCCACATGTAGTATTAGTGTAGATATTGGTTACTTTGTTAACTTTTATTTTGATTCTTGGAAAATAATTTTCTACAAGGTTAAGGGGCCTCAGTTACATATAATGAGCTTTCTTCTTTATCGCCATAAACATAAGGTATTTGGTTGCTGCAGGCACATGATTTTTCAATGCTTGGAATGACTAGACTGTGGACTTACGTATCTACCAGTCATGCCCTTAGCTTCACAAGTATGAATACTCTATCAATATCGTATAAGCTAGTTTATTGTCTTTTCCGAGTGGCTATCAAGGGTTGTTAAATCGTGCCGTTTATTGAATAATACATCATTGATACCGTTATTATGAAGTTTCTTGAAAATGAGTTGTACTGTATGCTTGAAAGCCAGTCACAAAGTTGAGGACATGTAAGGTGCCTTCTTTCTAAGCTACTTGCATATTCTCTCTTCTCTGTATGGTGTCAAGTGCTTAGATTTCACGCTTATTTATTTTTCTAATAAGTTATCATCCTTTTTTTCCCTTCTAACAATAGACTTGGTTTGTGAAAAAGTAATCCATTATTTCGAATTATTTATAAACCAAATTTGAGAAATTCGATGCTGAAAATCTCCTGATGTTCCAGGCGTGCGTTTAGATCCTTAGTTGATAGTTGACTTACGTTCAGCTTTGCTGTTTGACTTCTCTGATTTTCTTCTCACTATCAACCGTCTGATCTTAATTTTACTTATTTTTTATCCCTATATATTCTTGCATCTTCATTTTCCCAAAGTTAATTCCCTTCCTTCTTTTATTGTCAACGTTATTCCATTCTTTTGTGAAAAATTTGGTCTCCAAGCAAGCTGTTTACTCCATCCACATATCATCGTCTCCGCACCATTGAACCAGAAATTTGGTTAGAAAAACTTTATTCGTCATTATAATCCTTCAACTATGCTTCAAGCCACCCAAATACATAGTCTGGCTATTCATGTAGTCGAATGAAAGCTCAGGTATGGTCTGGGAGCTGCTGATTTCTTGTAGATTTGGAGATTTCCTAATGGTCAGAGTCCATTGGCTTCTGTGCAAGCTTATTATATTATCCATGGGTTGACTTAAAAAAGTGACCCAATTAAAGATTGGTTCATAGGAACCGAGTTTCCATATTTGCGCTTCTTTTGACTTGTTTATTTTTACCACCTATTTGGACAGGAATGGGATTGTAACGGTGTTCTATTTTTTTTCTAGATGGAACCGACGGCACGTGACACCCTTTTGCTGCTGGACGCGTCTCCTTCGCTGTTGACTTTCTCCATAGGTGGCTTCACCTGGATTCATCACCCACATCTCATCTTTCCCCTGCCATCGATGCCCAAATCAACCGATTGATTTTGCTGCTGAGGGCGAAATCTGCGCCGTTTTGATGTAATAATGTCTCATGGGCATTGAACATCCCGGTTTAGATCAACCTCAACTGATTTTGCTCAGATATTTGAGTGCCCACAGGGCCTGCTCGTGAATGGATGAAGATGGACCTTTCCCCTGGCGCCGCCTTGCAGGCGATGGCGTGGCAGCTGTCAGGGGAGGGACACTGGGAGCGCCTGCACTTGCAGGTAAGATGTTCGCTCAAATCCGGCACAGGACAGGGCCCTGGGCTCTCTTTCGGGCTGCTGAGCTGGTCTGGGCCCGGCCCACTTGACCACGCCTCGCTGGGCCCGCCGGTCCTCACAAAATTAGATAAATTTTCTGAGTCTTCACAGAGAAATGGTGTATGTAAATACTTAATTCATTAATAAAGCATAATCTGCGTAAACCTGCTTAATGCCCTGCCAACCCTCCTAGCTCTTCTCTTTGACCGTCGTCTCTGTCCCTCTCTCTATCTATGTGATGAGAGATGAGGAGAAGACTCGTACAATGGACCGTCTATCTGCTAGAACATGGAAGCTCTCCCGGGCCTGACGAGGCTCTGAGCGGGGCCCCACGGAGACCCACTTGCACTGCTCCGCGGGGCCATCGCCGGCAGGTCATATTATGGCTTCCTCCCCCCTGACGCCGGCCACATGCGCCGCGGGAGCGCCTCACCGCTGCCTGGCCCACTCCCACCCAACCCACCTCCGCCGCCGCCGCCGCCGTCGTCTTCCTCCGGCGGAGCTGCTTCCTCCTCCGTTCACATTACGCTCTGCGAACTCGCCGCCACTGATCAAAACTGAAGCAGCCGGAAGGAAAAATATCTCACCGACACCGCTCGCTCGTCAGCGTGGCTCCAGTGGTCCTCTCTCTCCAACGAGCCTCCGAAGTCCATGGCCCCGAGTTAGGACACCTCTCTCCCTCTCTCTCTCTCTCTAAAGATATATATATATATGTATTGTTTTTAGTATGCATGTATTACTCTTGGGGGGTGGGGGGGTGGGGTCGATAGGAGGAGGGGGAGAGCACGTGTGTCCTGGCGCCGGCGGGTCTCGGGATCTCCCCCTTCACGTGATTCGATGCCTTCATTTCCCGACAAGTGCTTTGGCCGGAGTCGGACTTTCACCAATAATTTATAGTATACTAATCATCCATCAATATGAAGAAAAAAACGAACAAAAGTGGGAGGAAAAGGCACCATTGAGCCAGCGCACGTGACGGCTGATTACAGTTGGCAATTTCTAGTGTCAACGCGTTAGAGGGACACGTACGGCCCCGTATCTTCTGACGCACAGATTATAGTCGTGGATGAATGAAATCAGACCACGTGTAATGGAATTTCCACGTGGCCTTTCCGGATTAGGAACGTAAAAGATTTGTACACGTGGAAGGCAGCCGCGAAGGTCGCGTCACCCCCAGCTGAAAGTCGGCGCTTATAATTCTTCCTCCGGCCGTACGAGCTCCACCGCCGCCACCAAAGCAGCAGCACCCTTCATCGCTGCCGTGCGCCAGGCGTACGCTGTTAGCGACAAATCCTGGCGCGCAGCCGAGCAAGACCACGGGGGCCCATCCCCTCTCTCTCGCTCTCTCTCCCTCTCTCTCACTCACTCACTCACTCTCTCTTGCTCTCTCTCTCTAGGCCCTATGTATGACACGTGCCTGGTGATCCAGAGAGGGGGTGTGGCCCTCCATGCAATCCTTCCTTTCCCCGGCTGCTGCCGCTGGTTGAGGAAAGAGAGAGAGAGAGAGAGAGAGAGAGCCCTCGCAGTTAATCCGTCTCCGTGACAGCTACGCACCAGCTGGCCCTTCGTCACCTGCCAAAGAGAGAGAGTGAGAGAGAAGTGGTAGCAGGAGGGTAAACCCTCCTGCTGAGAGGGAATGAGGGAGAGAGGAAGGGTTAGTCCGGAGAAGCGGCGGATGGTCCCCCGCAGCGGCCGACAGAACACGTGTTTTCTACGTTCTATTCGAACCCCCCCTCCTCCCGGCGACGGACCTCCCACCGTGCCCGCACAGCAGTCGTACTAGTGGACGGAGGGAGCGAGCGGCAACAAGCAATAAAACAGTGGTAGCAGCTACTCCGAATAGCCTCTCTCTCTCCCCTCCCAGCTCTTCAGCTTCTGTTTTAATGGGGCCGAAGAGCCCATACCCGCTCCCCGCTCTTCCTCTACCTTCATTAACGTAGGTGGGGGCGGATGGAGAGGAAGGCCGTGACAGCGCCCCAGACCCGTAAAGTTAATTACTCCTGCAGCTTATCTGGCCTCGCAACCACCACGTTCCCCTCTCAATCTCCGGAGAATCCAATAAAATATCGAGCACAGTGGAGATCACAGTGTCCTCGGGCCTTGAAGGAGCTCGTGGGTACTCGAGGAAGCTCCTTCCAGTGAAAGAAGGGGGCTTTTACTGTACTGGGTGCCCTCTAATTATCCACATCTAGAGAGAGAGAGAGAGAAATCGAGAGGGAGTTGGGGGGAGGAAGTCACCGTACGTATATGTTGAGGAGTTGTTTATAAAAGCTTTAAATGCCGACCTGGTTGGACGAGACGTGGAGGGATCGTGGACGTGAATTTTCCTAGGGTTTGTAAGGTAACGGGCATCGGCATGTTAGAGTAAGAAAAAAATTGGGGTGCATGGAGGGGAGTCACGTTGCCTGCCAATCTGTTCGACTCACCGTGGAGAGGAGACTCATCCCGTATAAATTACCCTCCCTCGCCCTTCCGATCCCCCACCTCTCCCTTTCACCTCTCTCCTCTCTAACTCCCTCTAACCCTACTCCTCTCCCTTCTCTTTCCCAGTGGTTAGAGAGAGCGAGAGAGAGAGAAAGAGAGTGAAGCAAGAGTGGTATAGAGAGGTGGAAGGAGTGGGACTGGGAGCTGGAATGGGAAAGATGCCGATAATGGGAATGGAGGCGGCCGGGTCTTCTTTCTCAACGGCGTATGTGTGCGGGCTGCCCTCATCCGATGCTATGCGGATAGACGACCTTCTCGATTTCTCCGAGCAGGACGACCTCTTCGACGCCACAGCCGCTTTGCCTGAGAGCATCCAGAGCCACATTCTTCCCCTGCACGAGATCTCTAGTACCGCCGGCTACCTCGACTCTTCGGTTCCCCAAATGTGCACCTTCTCCGACGATCTTTACATACCTGTAAATCCTGATAACCTGTAAATCCTTCAAACTAGTGCCCGCTCTCTCCCTCCCTTCCTCTCTCTCTCTCTCTCTCTCTCTCTCTCTCTCTCTCTCTCTCTTGCTGTACCAATTCGTTACCCTCTACTCGCGGATCCGAAGAAAAGAGATTGATATCTCGGGAAGCTCACACTGAATAACTTTGATTTCTGCTTTTTCATGAAAAATTGTTACAGAGCGAGGAGGTGGCGGAACTAGAATGGCTATCCAAGTTCGTAGACGACTCCTTCTCTGACATCCCTTTCCCATCCTGCCAAGGCTGGTCTGGGGGAAACCCTGTTCCGTCATCCAATTCCAGCGATGTTCGTTCGGACCCATCCACCGTCCCGTGCCGAGTCAGGAGTAAGCGTTCGAAGGCGCCTGTTGCCGCACTCCAGCAGGCCGCCTCCACAGCCTGGTCCTCTCCGCAGCAGTCTTCATCTTCCGCGACGTCTTCCTCTTCGTCTTCATCCTCGTCGGAGTTCCCCCCAGGTGTCGCCAGCAGCAATCCCAAGGCGCCGTCCACTTCGAGCGGCAGGAAGAAGGAAACGAGAGGCGAGGACGGTGGCGTGAGGAGGTGCACCCACTGCTCGTCGGAGAAGACGCCGCAGTGGCGAACGGGCCCTCTGGGCCCGAAGACGCTTTGCAACGCCTGTGGGGTGCGGTTCAAATCGGGGAGGCTCGTGCCTGAGTACCGCCCCGCCGCCAGCCCCACCTTCGTGCTCACCCAGCACTCCAATTCCCACCGCAAGGTTTTGGAGCTGCGCCGACAGAAGGATGTCCTTCGCCAGCCAGGAAGCTCCGCCACCGCCGTTGTGACCTCCCCCCGGCCGGAACTACTCTACCGTGACTATGAGGTCTGCTGAGTTTGTGACTCACCCTTATCGCATGCTTCCTTGTTTATTTGAATTCGAATTGGGATGCCACGGATAGGAAGACCAGTTTCTCTTTCAAATCTCGGACCCGCCTTTCCTTTCTCTTCCTCGGCTTCAAATTCACAGCAAACAGCATGATAATTTACCGAATAACTTACCGAAATAATTCAGCTCGCATTTAAATTTCCCAGCATCTCTAACAATGTATTTCTATTTCAATGTGTCACCTGAGCTGCTATCTATCACTTTCATCATATAGACGACAACAACTACATCACTTAGAGAACTTAGATCTCCGATTATTGTGTGGTCCAACCTCTAAATCAATTAACTAGGAGAGAGTAGCCTCATACGTAAAATCATAATGTTTCTAGTATGTGCTCTACTGCTACTAAAATAATTTTACAATGCAATGAATAAGTAAAATCAAATGGCAAAAATAGGTATGTTGACCCCACTGGAGAGTAATTTGTTTTTCTTTATCGCGATATTGGAGCCATGAGGATGACCAACCACATCATGTCATCATCTATTTTCCCTGCCTCTATCACCGCCATCTCTCCATGCGGTGTATTTTAGTCCAAGAGTATCTTTCTGTATGATCAAGGTGATAAAAGATGGGCAATCTTCATCGGTATGCCCAACTCCTAATTCCCTCCCCCACAGAAGCATCTCCCTGCCGCCCCCCACTCTTCTTCTACATTTGAAACGGTCGCGAACCCTAATCATACAGGCTGGAAAGGGCATGATCGATTAATTTGGGGATCAACACCATCCTCCACCCAATAATCTAGCAGGGACATAGACTAGAGGGTAGTGAGAGAAAGGAGGAAGAGAACGCTTCCTCTTACAACACTCGGGAAATCTCCCCTCCCCCTGATATATAATATTCTATCGTTTTTGTCCCTTTAAATGTGCCTTATATTATCCAGTATTCAGATTAAGATTGAGAAGGCATGAAGCCCCTGACCAAAAAAAAAAGAAGGCGAACTGATTGTTTCGATGCCCGCGGTGCTACAGTTGCGCCTCCCTCCCCCCACCCTTTGTAAACTTAACGACGCGCTGATCGAACACCAACGGATGGATCGTTCCTTCCTGCTGCCGTTTTTCAGAAAATCTGGGCTTTAGCGGTGGCCCAAGGTGGCACAAGTCAGATGGTGGTAGAGGACCACGCCGTGTCCTCCGACTGCGCAGCTCCACTCTTGTCTGTACGAGGCATGAGCGTCCCCAGGAGCTGCCGTAGTCACTGGCTGCTGGCGCCGCCGCACCTGGAAGCACTGCGTCTGAGTAGACGACTCAATCTGGCTAGAATACGCTGTAGCCACAATCCCCATCCGTCTCCCTTCATCTCCCTGCTTTTAACCGGGTTGCCGAACCACTAGAAGATGGCCTTCTTCAAGTCCCCTGCTTGGTGCATGGAGCTGCAGTTGATGTGGGATTGGACCCATCGAATGTCTTCGATGGGCCTCAATTAGGTTTTCTTCTTCAGCGCAAGGGCATCTTTCAACAGTCGGATAGTCTGTCTGGTTCAATCAGTTTATCAGTTGGTTGCGTACAATTAAAACTTATTCACAAGAATCTTGAGGTCTTGGTTACTTGGCCCCAGTGAGGCGTGATTTTCAAGAGTCTTGGTCCAATTAGGCCGGGCCCTTACACTCCTTCCTAAGCCCGTCAAGCTAGGCCCATCTGAACGGTTCTTAATCAGAACACTGGGGAACTGGTCGGACCTCGAATTGAAAGGGTCTGCTAGGTCTCCCGAAGATTTATCGACTAGGGCAGACAAGCTGGACGGTCTCGTTCAGTGCGTGGGTCAGAGTCAGTCGGCGACTAGAGACAGATGAGCTTGCATGGCAGCTTCCCGGTGCTTCCACCACGCTTCTCCACAGCTCCAACGACCTCCATCACCTTCCTGTCGGCAGACGCCCTCTCCTTCAGTTTTTTCTTCTCGGCCTTCTTCTGGGCGCTCAATATACTCCTCTGCATCTTCTCCATTGCCTTATCCCACTTGTCCTCCAGTTTCACCTGCCCGCGAGGTGCTCTCTGTTACACACCTTCCATGAAAGAAGACCCCCGAAATGCAAAGAGGATGGTGTACCTCGAATTCTCTCATCCGCATCCTGGCCTTCATCGTCTCCAAGTTCTCCCACTCGACGATCTCGTCTTCCTTCTTCTTCAGCCTGCGGGGATCGTGGAAAATATACAGACACGGTGTGGGGTCCGAGATTTCTGAGAAATTCGAGAAGGACGCTCACTTTCTCAAGAGCTGAAGCGTTCTGGCTTCCGTCCATTGCTCGAGCCTGGCCTCGATTTTGTTCATCTCGTTTCCAGAGGCGGGAGAGTAAACGGGGCCTCTGCTCCTCCGAGTTGCCCACTGGAGATGATCGTCAATTGCGCTCTCCATGTCAGAATTCTCGTCTCCACTGCTGCCGGCGCCGACGTTGGCGCGATCCCCTGGCCACATTCAAACATCAGTGATGGAAGGTAACCCAAAGGAAGCTCTCGTAGGCGAACCTGATGGTTATGCCAAGGGAGACCTGAGGAAGGACGATCTGCTGGATGAGGAAGATGCTGAGACCCAGGATGCAGATGATGCCCGGTCTTAGAGCCTCTGTCTTCTCGTTCTTGCCTCTGCATGACAGCCGTCACCTTCGAATGAGAGTCGTGGGCGCCGCTGTGGGACGAGGCGGTAGGGTCGCAGGGGTACAGCCCCGAGAGGCTGGCCGACGTGCCCCCGGTTATGGAGCAGCGGCGGGTGCTCGTCTTGACAGAGCTCTTGGTTTCTAGCAAATTGAGACTCATAGTGAATCCAGAGGTTAGAGAAAGATCGAGGGGAAAGAGAGAACTTTGAATCAGAAGGGGAGAAGGAGCCACCGGTTGATCTCGTCATAAGCAACGGGAACTCCTCTTGCAGATCCAGCTGACGGCCCTCCAGTTCCGAGCTCTGGATGATGGGTTCGTTCCTTCTCCATCGTCCTCCTTCAGGCGGCGTCGTCTGCAAAACCCAACTGATCAAAGGGATCCAAACCTCCGGCCAAGATAGAACGGGGGCGGGAGGACGGTAAGAACAGCGCCCCTACCGCTTCAAGCGGCGATAAGTGTTCAGGAAGAGAAAAAACTAGTCTACTCCCTCTTCTTGAACCCATATCTTTTCTACACTCAAGAACCAGGAAGAAGCTTTGCTCAACCAGAGTCCTCTTCGAATCATCCAGCAGACGTAGAATGGCGTCGGAGGGAGCGAGGAAAGAAGGGCAACCTGAAGACCGGAGGGTGTGTAGAAGTCGGAGGCGCCCTGGGAGTAGTACATCTCCGACGGTGGGGAGAAGGGGAAGGAGCTCACGGGGCTGCGCATGGGGGAGGGCGACGGCGGTAGGTCTCTGCTTCTGCCGGAGTTATCAGCGATCTTGGGGAGCAGCAAAGCCGTCTCTCCGCCGTCCTCGCTGGGGGTCCTCGGGGAATGATAACCACCTCCGTAGCCGTCTACCCCGGCGAATGACCGCCCCAGAGAGAAAGGCCTCGGGTGGAGTTGAGGGTGACGACAGTCTAGCTGCTTGGGATCGCTGACGCCTCCTAACGAGACGACGTCCTTTCCCACCTGCATTGCGCCCCTCCATCGCCAAGAATTCCCCTTCTCCATGCCTTCCTGCTTCCTCGATCAAGAATATGCAGTCAGATATCTATATATATGTATATATATGCAGAGATAGAGAGAGAGAGAGAGAGAGAGAGAGAGAGAGAGGGAGAGAGCGGTAAAGAAATCAACGATAACCACGATGAAAGAAAGGATTTTCACGATCTGGGTGGGTGGGATTGTCGGTCCCAGGCTTTGGCCGAGGTAAATTTTCTGGGCTTTTCTCGGAGCCCAGGGCGGCCCGGGACACCTACGTAAGACACCGATAAGAGGAAAAACCAAGAAGTACCCCCAAAAGTATGATGTTTTATAAGAAAAAAAAATACCCACGGAACCGAACGGCTCCCTCAAGAACGCCAATGTAGTTCAATCAATTACACACAAGTTATCGCTACCAAAATTCCCCCCTTTTTCTACAAAGACCTTCTGCTATGGGCAGTTTAAAACTAGCGACAGCAACTCTCCTTCCTTCCGGACCACCAGGAGCCAGGCACAGAGAGAGAGAGAGAGAGAGAGAGAGAGAGAGAGAGAGAGAGAGAGACAGACAGACAGACAGAAATAATAAGAACCAAGTTCACTTGAAAAATCTGACTCCCTTATTGCCCATTCCAGTGCCCGCAATGCTAGCTGCAAGTAGCGATCTGGAATCAGGCCGCCATTTGAGCTCCTTGAGAAGGGAGAAGAAGCCAGCGAGAGTAGGGGTGACCTCACTGTCTTTTATCTTGTTGCACGAGACGACCCGAAGCCTCTGGAGATCCTTCCATGATGCAATTACCGACTCTAAACCACTTATGGACAACAAGGAGCATCCTTCCAGGGACAGCACCCTGACACCTCTGCAAGCACATCAGAAGAGATATTAGGCTTTTGCAGAAACAGTGGCCAAATAAAGACCTTTTAAGCAGAGATTTTGGCGAATTTTACTAAGATTGGCATTCAAATGAAGAAGATTTACCAGGCAATAATGTCAAAACAATTCGGAAAAAAGGTCTCTTTGGAGAGTTCACATATCTTCTTATCAGCCGATTTCTCTCGCCAATTAGCAACTAAAAACCTAGCTAGGTAAAAAGTCTTCTGCATTACAAAAAAGTTTCATATATGCAAAATGGATATGTGTTTTTCGTCAACGTTCATAAAAAGAGCCCCTTTCTGCGGTACCAACCCACCACGGAATGTCCCACATTATGTAAAACGAGTTCATAATGATTGGATGCTGAATGCGAAATATGGAAATAAAATGTCAACTGAAACAACACCAATACCGAAGCAATCGGCGAATTATGTCTCCATGAACTAAAAGTCTTTAAAGTGTATTCGTTTTCGATCTTTAACAGGACAGAGAACTCTCCTCAGACACTGAACCACAAGCTTATCCTTTGCCATTAATTTCTGGGATCAGAAGCATAACACTGTTTCATTCATAGCACAACCAAACATTTTCTGTTCCTAACACTCCCAAAAAAAGGAATGAAGGTAGCTCCCCCAAATTTTCTTGAGGAAATTTATTTCATGCTATCTCGATGTTGATCAAACTAGTCAATTGGTCAATCAATTCTCAACTGATTTCAGCAATGTAGAATTAGTGTAAGTTTTCAGGATAGGCGCACCTAATTTCTGATCATAGACCTGCAACATCCTCATTACAGCTTTTAGATTTGCTTTTCTTTCAGATACACCTTTCATCTGAAGAGAAGACTTTATGTAAGATGTATTATCAATGCTCAAAGTAGGCCTCAACTGTAACTGGACAGGGAAGCAACAATCTTCCCAAAAAAAAAAAGCAGGGTGGGAAAGTGATGCTCAGAAAAACAATTTTCACTCTTGCTGAATGCTTTAATCATTTCCACAAGGGAATGAATTTAGTTATCATTGATCCGGTTCATCGTCTGCAAGTGCATACACAATGACACACAGTACTGAGGCATTCAAAAACAAGACCAGCAACACCAACATGTCTTGACCCAGTGCAAATGTGATATTTCTGATGAGAAATTGTGAGAAAAATTAAATGAGTATTTGTTTTGGAGTAGGAACCAAATTATTGCTCAAGGAACATCCCAATTAATCCCTCGTAAATATCTTTGACAGCATCATGAGACACGAATAGAATTAGACACTCCCACCAGACCCACCACAGTCGCTCATGCCTTATCCTTGATCAACCTGGGTATGACTCCATGGATCAAGCAATATTTTCTAAGTTTTGCATAGACAACAAGATAGCCCAAAAGACTAGTTGAATTCGAATAGGTGATCAAAGTATTTAATATACTTGTAATTATATTGAGCTCCTACCCATTGTATAGGCAATGAATGAAGCAATTTATTAGTTTGTTTCACGTTATAAACGAAATCATTGACAAATCGGTGAAACTTCAGAAAATGAAGAAGAAGACAAAGATAACTGAATAATGAACATAATTCCCTTAGTCGCATGTTTTCCAGCCCTCACTTTGCTATGATCCAAGAAACATCAGCTGGCCCCAAAATATGAACCTAAATAAACTTTGATGTACAGGAAAACAGCAGGTATTGTTAGGATTTAGGATGGCATAAGATGCTACAAAGAAATTAAAAAGACCGATAGGCAAGCAAGATTCACCATGGAATAATCCAGAACTCCTCAGTAGAGGAGAGCATGATCAGGACCTACAAACTAAAAAGGGTCACATCAAACATCAACTAACGTAGTCACTTTTCTGGATCATTGAAGTTGTGCCCTTGTACTATTCCAAGACATCATCCAAATTACAGAGTAAGATTGTCCAAAGCCTTTGCAACTGAACTGTTCCTCCAGAGGACAAGGAACAGTTCAGTCGCAAAGGTTACATAACCTTTAATGACTACATGAATGAACAAACTCTTAAATCTCTTGTTGTTTACTTGATCAAAGTTAGTTTTAAAAACGATCCTCCAGAGGTTTCTTAGCATAACCTTGCAGATGAAATAGTTCCAGGTTACCACTCTCACTCTACCCGACAGTGCATTGTCCAAGATATAGTCCAGTGTGCACGCAAGATTGGTAGCAGTGGCCCATTATTCTGTAGGGTTATATATTCACTTTTTGCTGCTTTCTTGATTGCCTCTTCATCAGGAAGACTCGGGAATTTAATGATTTTTTTTCTTCTTTTGCCTTTTACATGACTAACAGTCCAAATCGTACAAATAAACCCCTAAATTCTACTGAAAATTTGGTGGAAAAAAAGGAAAAGAGAAAGAGGTTCTTAAGAATCTTTGGGAAACAAGGAAATGTGGGATGAGGAGCAATTACAGTCTGGTACGTAGGTTGCAACAAGTGAAGGTACATCATAGAACCATTCTGCCCCCCAATTTATGTCCATGCATACTCAACATGGAAGCCCAGTTTTTATTTGCATTTCTTCTCAGCAAAAAATTCAATGAACAAAGCCACACATATATTTCCCACGATGATGGGGTGAATTCCTCCAATACATCATTTCTATCAGGATATTTGCTCCAAAAGTAGCGAATTGGTGGTGTTTTCCTGAATCAAAGACCCATCACAGACGACAGATCAGACTATCATACTTCCACAGAGTACCTCCACAATGAGGGTCATTTCAATCCTATCTGGGGCCGCTTCACAATACTTGGATAAGGCATAGTCTCTACAGTGACCATCTGGACAACAAATCCTTTCTTCTGACCCTAACTACCCAAGAATATTTTTAAAAAAATAAAAATAAAAGTCAGAATTGTCTTCATGTGGGAATTATTCTCAGTTTTATTTCACATCGAGAACCCTCACTCGCCTCTTAACGCAAGTGGAAAGCCCTAATTCGGTATACGCATTCCCTATTCCATAGATCACTTACTGAGCTTCCAATTATTATTATCTATTCTTCTGCATCATCCGGCATCAGGAAAAACTAGAAATAGATAAAATAAGCTGCAAGTAATCGTAAAACGGAGGGGAAGGCTCAGAAATGAACTCAAACTCAGAGCAAAACAAGAGGAATTATAATTTCAAATTAAGAGAAATAGAACAATCCATATGAATACGATACCGGCAAACGTGTTATTGGAGCTATTAAATGATGCTTAGTTATGTTTATTAATAGAAAATCTCAATAAATGGATATCTGAAGCAACCAAGCAAATGTCAGAGCACATGCTTGTCTATGTAATACCTGCAGATGATAGCTATGCCAAACATCTCATTGTCCAGCCCCCAGCAGTCCTGGAAGACCATTTCCTTTACCGCTTCACACACAATAAACAATGCATTCATGCTTCTCTTGTCCCGGAGTTGGCACCGCTGCAGATGCAGCCCTTCAATGGTGGGGCATGAACCCAGATGCTCAATAGGACCAGGATCTAAGTCAATCCTCCGGCATCCCTGGAGTCTCAGTGTCTTCAGATTTCCACAGAATGAGAGCCCCGCCATCCAGCCGGCATCCATTCTGTGCTCACATATCGTGAGTTCCTCGAGCATCAAGCAGCAACGTCCGATGGCGCCGATGCCATCGTAGCTCCCTTCGCATCCACAGAGCTCTAGCTTCACCAACCGTTTGCATCCGTGCGCCAATATCGTCAAACCTATGTCGGAGACACCAGGTCCGTCGTAGAGCCCTTCCATAGAACCGATCAGCTTTAGGATCTGCAGGTTTCTGAAGGCGGAGATCGACCGAAGCGACGTGTCCGTGCAGCGGTGAAGGTCCACCTCCTGAAGCGTGGGGCACTCATTGGCCACCTTCATCAGGCCGAGCTCCGACGCCACAGCCACGAGCGATAGCTTTCTTAGGGTGGGGCATCCTCGCGAGAGAATCTCGAGCCCCCGGTCGACAACCTTCGACGGTAGGAATCTGCATTCCGTGATGAAGCCCCAGGGAAGGGCGCCATTGGGCGTCTCAAATTCAGAATCCAGCCGTACGGAGACGGGGCCTCGGTTGAGGAGGATGCCGGAGGGAATCACCGGCGGGCTGATGGACGCCGGCACGAGGTCGACATCGGTGAGCTCAGGGAAGCGCACGACGAGGCGACGAGAGGGGCTGTCGAGGAACGACCAGTCGAGGAGGCTGAGCGAACGGCGGAGCTGGTCGAGCAGACGCAGCCATCTCTTGCAGACGAGGCCCGAGGACTCGCGGAGGGGCGGTGGGAGGTGGGACAGGATCCGAATAAGTATCTCGTCGGAGAGGAGTCCGGTGAGGTCCGGGGCATCGCCCGGCGGCGCAGGATCCTCCCGTCGCTTGGGGCTGCTGAGGGCGTCGGTATGGATCTTGAAGGCCACATGCTTGAGGGGCTTGCAGCGGAGCGAGAGGTCGGCCCAGCAAGGCGTCGTCGTCTTCCTCAGCTCCGGCGGGGGTACCGGCCGGCGACTGGGCATTTTTCTAGGTATCGGGTCAGGAACTCCTCAGCGAGGCCCCAAATGCGTCTCCGCATCGCCTCCTCCTCCGCGCTCCGGCGGCCGCTACCGCTTTCGGCGGCGGCTCCGCCCCCTCCCCCTTGCCGCCATCCACTGCAGTCCAATTTGCCCCTGGAGACGGCCCACATTGCGTTCACGCCATACAATAATTCCCTTAATACCCCTAGACGAAATACTATTCTTCAACCATACCAGCCGAAATATAGAGGGGTATACTGTCAAACGTGCTTCCGTCTCTAGGGGCCCACAGGATCGCAAAACTTGTCCGGAAGCAGCGATGCATGGGGCCCACTGGTAGCAAAGTGTACGGAACGACTGATTATGCCACCCTGGAAGTGTATAATTTTAATCATTAGTTGTCTATTTCCACTGCGCTTATATAATTATGGTGCCAATGTAAAACGAAATAATTTTATTTACATCACTGCTACTATGAATAATAATAATATAATTACATAATTCTTGTGGCAATGAAAATAATTTTGTTTCAATAATTTTAAATATGAAAGGTTTATTTACCCTAAATGGGGATAAAGATAATATTTAAATGATTAATCCTAGAAGCCACGTTCAAATATAATATTGAAAATTTTATCTCGTTAAACTTACCAAAAAAAGTTTGGAAATGAAGATTAAGCTGAAAACATTCATCTAGTAAAATGTTTTTGGATTGAAAATTATACGAGAAATCTTATTGCAATACAACCCAACATTTCTATTTCCTAAAAATATCACCTTATCTAATATATCTTTATCATTGGTGTCATTTAATGCTTGACAATCAATCTATAGGGCCTTTGTTGATTCCCAACTTTTTATATCTATAATACCTACAAACCCAAAAATTGCCATCTTGACCCTACTATGAGTGCCACCTTAGTCAACAACAAAAGGAAGGTAAGATTGATGTTTTCAAAAATATTGAACTAGATCCTCTTGTCATTCAATCAATCTGATTGATTGATCATGGCCTTGAATACTTTTCATATCAATGGCATAAAGCCCACATACACCTAGGAGGTCTTAGGATTTATTGAAAACCATAATCATTTCCCAAGAGGATCCTCGCTCTATAATCTTATTATTTTATCTTCATTCCAAATCATACAAGAAAAAGTAATGACAATTGATGAGGTGTTGTGTTCAATAAGCCTTGAAAGAAACAAAGAGGAGAGGAGTGAATGTGAGAGAAGGAGAGAATCAATCCTCTTTTTTATAGTGTGTTAAGATGGAAATGAATCTAATATAGTTAAAAAGTATGGATTTTTTTTTGAAAAAATATATACAACTTGATCTTCTAATGATATTAGAAAAAATAGTCTTTACATTGAGTTTCTATTGAACAAAATGTAAATTGTTTTCAATGTGCATAATTATTTTTCAATGTTCATAGCAATATCACTGTCATAATAAATTTTAAATAATAGTTTCACTTCAATTTCAAAATCAATTAAAAAAGTTTTAGTGGCAATAACTCAATCAGCCCATGAGTCATGATAAGATATTCAACCTATACACTCAATTTAGACCTTGTGATTTAATTCTTGCCACTCCACAACCAAATTACCACCCAAAAATATACAATAAAATATAATAGATCTGATGTTCACATGAGATACGGCCCAATTTTTATTTATATATTCCTTTCTTTTCATATGTCTTAGTTTGGTGAATAATATTTTTCCTTCTTATATAATATTTTAAATCTTTTAATATTCGATTATAACTTTCAAGTGGATGATGTAAGGAATATTTATATGTTAGCAATTAACATTCACTACAGAAGCTAAATTTAGTTTAGTCAAATATATGTATAATAAGTTTTCAACTATTCATTGATATGAGCATTCAGATTTTACTGATAGTTTTTCAAGATCAATGTTAATAAGGTGGTGGCTGTTCTACATAACGAGGCTAGTTAATTTACATCCCAACTTACTTCTCCTATTTAAAAGTTAAAGTGTATTATTCACTTGTTAGACGTCCAAGCATCCTCTAACTACTAAAAAAAAATGGCTATAATACTTAGATTTACGAAACAGGCTTGACTCTACTCCACCACAAGGAGGCATGATACATACTAAAGACTTAGAATCTACTAGATAAATTGACAAAAGGAAAAGAAGGAATTTTACAGACTTAATGAAATGAAAAAGATTTTAACTGAAATCTCCCAAGGCTCCTAGAGTGGCAATGAACTCCTTCAACCCACTTCTTTCCCTACCACAGAGTGTTCTATTAACGATCTTTAAATAGCTCAAGATTGTTAACTAAAAAGAGTCCACGTTCGGTGGTGTCGACCCCGTTATCAATCATATGGTCGAGCTAGCAAAACTATCAATGACTTAGCCAAGGACTTAGCCTGTAGAGCAATCGTCGATATTGGAGACGATTTGGTAGTACTTTCTAATGACTTTGTTAGGCGAGTCTTGTAGAAGAGTGTGGACTTTCTCTCTGAGGATATATCAGAATGCAAAATATAATGTAATGTTAATACCAAAGTTGAATTTGATGACAATTATCCCGATTATTGAGTGAGATTAACACGAAAGTTGAATCTTTATATGTGAGAGGAGTAATCCAATATTAGCTTTTGTTGAACAATCATACTCTCTTGTACCATCCAAGATGGGCTTTGGCTGAATTGGACTCTAACATACCGCCATTGCCATTTATAGGACTCTCTCTCTCTCTCTCTCTCTCTCTCTCTCTCTTCCTTCATCCAGCCCACCGACAGCCTGACCAGAATCTAATAGTTGATTTCTTATTCCCCCTCACTTTCCATATTATATTCGCCTCCCACGGACTGCTTATATATGTATACGACGGCAACGACCAGTCACAATGTTCTGCCGGCCTCAGTATGTTCTCGTGCCGCGGCGAGATGTCTCCAAGCGGGCTCCGCGCCGACATCTTCGCTGTCGACGGGCGGGACGACCCGTCCCCCCCGTTGGTGATATCCGTTCTCGCTTCCCTGCTGGAGAGGGCCATCGTCAGGGGCGAAAGGAGAGGGAGCCGCGAGGGGGAGGTAGAGATGAGCACCCAAAAGGCTTCGAGGATCAGCGCCTTCGACTGCGATCTGGTTCTGGACATGAGCATCCAGTCCTTCCTCGAGAGGATCTTCCGCTACACCGGCGCCGCCCCGTCGGTCTATGTCGTCGCCTACGTGTACATCGATCGGCTGTGCCAGCGGAGCCCTGGACTCCGCGTCTCACGGCGGAACGCCCACCGGCTCCTCGTCGCCGGCATCATGGTGGCTTCCAAGTTCGTTGAGGACAGGTAGAAATCCCGCCGCCAGCCTTCCTGCCCGTCAATCGTCGGCAGAGTTTTGACCACTCGTCGCCGGTGAACGCAGGAACTACGGGAACAGCTACTTCGCGAGGGTGGGGGGACTGCCCCTCAGTGAACTGAACAGATTGGAGGTGAACCTGCTCTTCTTAATGGGCTTCAGGCTTCACGTCAGCCTGAGCGTCTTCGAGAGCTACTGCCGGCATCTGGAGAGGGAGGTCAGCCTCGGCGGAGGGTATCAGATCGAGAGGACCCTGCGGTTCGTGTGCGGCGGTGAGGCGACGGCTAGGGAGAGGGGACGAACAGAGGTCGACCAGGCAGCCGGCGTGCTCTGAATCCCCTCCGAGGCATAGCAGATGCACAATAAAGGAAGCCACTACTCGCCACCGCACAGTACTAATCGGTCACGCCCATTAATTGTAACAAAACCTACTCAAATTGTTTTTTTTATTAGTTTAATAACATACCTCAGAAATAAATTGAACAACATCATTTTAAGTTCAACTTTGGTACTCTTCTGCGATCTATGTGACAGGGCGATTTGATTATTCAAACCTATTTTCAGCGTCGATAATGATCTCAGACGCGGATTACGACATTAGAACATGGTCCTAACTTCGAATTTCATATAAATTATTTCAATGAAAACAGTATTTATAAGCTATTTCTTTAATTGGACAAATTTTCAACGCGAACATAATAATAAGAAAAGCGTGTTATTTCTCCAATGAGTTCTTAGAGAGTGATGCTTTGCCCATATTTATTTTCAATATAATATTTAACTCGGAAAACTTCTACGGTCCTGCGTTCTCCTTGAAGAACTAACTCTTCCTGAAGAAATCCCCATCGAAAAACCCTTTTTATTTTTTTTCCGACTCCATCACCGGCGAAGGGTGCCTGCCATTGGTTGGCGCCGCCGCCGACGGGAGAAAACAGTCCCTTAGCTCGTGAGTAGTCGTCGGACGGTGATGTCAATAATGCCGGTGAAGGTGACCTGAAGGTGGGTAGTCGTCTGATGTCGCCGTTCCAGCGGACAACCCGTGGGGCTGCGCACGCAGTGGGCGTTTAAGAAAGGGGGATGGTCGAGATTTGAGCAGGGTTTGCTTCCACCTTTTGAACTCCAGCATGGCAGGCACCGGTGGTGAATGAAAAAACCTGAGGGACATAGAAATTTATGTGGCCCGAGAACGAGAGAAGTGCAACGTGAGGACCATATGGTTCAGACCATGGGCACTGCTATAGCTGTCTACAAACATTTTATGTGCGGGGCTTAAATATTTATATGTTTTGATTCTCACGTAGGATTAAAATTATTACTAAAATTACCTAATACTCCTATATTTAATGGCACCTATCCGAGCAAGGTCTGAGCCTGGGTGGGGGTCCCCGCTCAAGCCAATCACCTCCCCCTGGCATCAATACCTTTCGCCCTGGCAGCTACCGACTTCAATGTCAGGTCGGGCTTCGAAAGGGTCGTGCTCGTCAGGACTGGGCCCAATGCCAATGGTTAATGAGCCCGGGCACCTAAAAGCGATCGGATGGCGAGCTTGGCCTTCCGACAGACCCCCCTTTCCTGCCTCCAGCATCTTCAACCGATCATTCTCTTCATTGACAATTCGGAATGGATGCTCCTCACTGAAATGTGAAGTAAACTTCTCCCTATTAGTTCATGCTGATAGGTGCTGGCCGTCCGTAACCTTTGAGAGTTCATGTTAAAGTTTTTTTTATTTCCACTATGTTCGACCTCATGATGAGGATCGGTGTCTAAGTTTTTATGTCTATGGAAACTGAAACATGATTTCAAATCGTATCAATAGTTTTTTTACGGATTTTTAGACTGGTGAACAGAAGTCTTCCAATGATCAACAATAATGTACGAATTTTTATATAGTTTATTCTTCCAAAACTACCCTGGTGGCAAGCTAGTCTTCCAACCATGTAGTTCATCATTCAATCAATGATCTACTTACAATCCTTCCAATATCTTTAGTGAATGGCTATGGTACTTCTAAATTAAGAAAAAACCTTCTCGATGCTTATCTCTCACTAAGCATGCTAACATAGGAGGAGAGTAAATCATAGCATTCTATTTCTTTGTTCACTAAATCAATAATAAACTTATCTATCTTAATGCTATATAATAAAATTATTAAAAACGTAGTTGAAAGTTTTGATGGACCGAAAACAAGAAAAATTGTATACTTGATGCTACATGTTATTTAATGATTTTGGGTGGACCAAAAGCTCAAATTTTCTATCTTTTTTGTTTTATAACGGAATCATGTGAGAAAGTACCATTCAAAGATCTCACATTGAACAATAAATGAATTTAGCATAATTTGGGTACAAAATATGGTCAAGGAACACAGTATAAAAACGTACAGTCATAAGTACGGCCATAAAATGCCATAAAATATTTTAACGTCCTATGTCATATCACATCCATTACCCTAGAGAAAGGTTGCGATAGAAGGGGACTGAAGCTACTTCTGTTCTCCTCGAAATCCCTCATGCCGGTCTCTGCCTTGCCCTCTTTCCGGAAACATCTAAATATGGCCTCTCTCGCATCTCTCTCTGTCTAATCTCTCTTACTATGTTCCTCTCTGACTCAACACCCCCCCCGATCCGACGGACCTTCGATCTGTACGAGCCGGGCAGCTTCGCTTATAATAAAAGGGTGAACTATAAGGCCGGAGATCATCGACTGAGCTCGTGTTTATCAGGGTTATTGCATGTCCAAAAATTGAGAAGACACTTTTATTTATAATTAAAAAATGTAAAGACTTTTGCGAAATATGGGTACGACAGTGATTGACCAAAATGGATGCCTTATCGCTTCGGCGTGCACAACTATTTCACCCAAGAGTAGACGAAGCAGTAATCGTGTATACCACCCGGACCTTATCGGAATGGTCGTCCCGTTCAAAAACCATTTATCAAGTAATAACGAGACTGATACATAGTAAAACTTTGAACGAGATACACCGAGTCACACTCTTATTACTATATGCCTTCAGACGCGAATAAAATTTAGCACATCATTTATGAAAAAAATTAATATTGTATTAGTAGGTGGGGAGGGGAGCAATAAATAAAAGGAGTCGTCATAATTTTCAAAGTTTACAATTAGTAAAAAATGCAAAGTCAATTTTTTAATCAAAGGATAGATCAAATATTTTACATAATAATTCAGATATTCCTTGAATCAATTAATTTAAAATTTTCACTTAACTTATTTCTATTATTTTTCTCCTGAAATATAGAAAAATCAATAATCCAAGATATTTCTACTTATGTGAGCCCACTATACATCAGCACCTTGATGTAGATGAGTACTTAATAGCAACAAGAGTCCTTGAATCATTCATTATATATATTTTAAATATTTTTTATTCCTAACATAGTTATGTTGAGGGCTGTAATTTATTATATGTATTGCATTAGGACAGGGATACCATCACGTTATTATATCTACAATATATTACATGTTATTGGTTTTGGGTCCATATGAATTTTCACATTTGGTTCTAGAGTGCATAATTAAGGGAATCAACTCTCTTGTGAGGTTTATAACATAGAAGTTATAATACCTTAGAACCTCTTGGTTACTCTGCTCTTCTAAGAGGATCACTCTTAAGTTTCACTTACCTCCAATTAGCACAACATGTAAACACTATGGCAATGTTCCACAGCAACAATAAATTATTACATCATATGTTTTTTATCTTCACTGATCATGGAGTATGAACCTTTAGTGTTAAACTTTACATTTTAATATAGTAGTTGATTCTTTAGTATTTGATAATTTTTCCATAAATAATGTTGGCTATATGTCAAGCTTAATCCTTACACACATTAATTTACAGATTTTAAACAATAAATTCATTGAAAATTATTGAAAATTCAGTAGGTAACTACAATCATTCCAATAGCTACTGGCAAGGACCCAACAGCCACTTAATATTTTACTTAGACATTTTCATTATTTTATTAAGTAATATTTATGTTATTTTAATCATATCTCTCTTTCCGCAAGGAGAGTTAACTTATTTTGTTTAAATAAGAAAAAATAAATCTTACTAGATATAAGTCTCAAATTCTCATGAGAGTTTGTGTAAAATCAAAGTGATAATTTCCAATGAATCCATATTTTTCCCTCATAAAATTATAATTATTTTATCCACTTTGTCAATATTAAAATTAGGATGACTCTAGAGCCAGCTAATTTATGTGTTTGCTTATTTTATGTAAGTTCAATACATTAGATTATGCTACATCCAAATAATGTATGAAGTACAATGTAAATATTTATTTTATAAAATAATTAAACTCCAACCATATTATATTGGGTTCTTAGAGAAGCAAATAAGATGTCATGAACACCCTCTTTTACACAACCTCTCATCCATACCCTCTCTCAACTACATCCTTTGCCAGACTTCAACAATCAAGATCTTGGAACCACATTTGAGCTCATAGTGAGTGTCACAAGAACAAAGCTGATGAATTGAGTAATCCATACTTTTAAGAAACTTTTGAGACAAGAAGATTAAAGGACTAAAATTTCAACAGTAGAATGTATTGGGATCTTGATGACACCAGAATTAATATGGGTAAATATTACATAATATTGAAATTTCATAAGTAATAGACATGTTAAAGAATACTTGTCTTTTTCCAATATTGCGAGAAGTTTTTCAAGTAAATTAATATTCATTAGGACTTGAGTTTGATTCTTGGATTTATTGTTTCTTAAAATAAGATATCAGATATCACACATATTTTCTTAACGTTTGTGTTGTGTACCTCTAAAGATTATTTCAATCATTCACATGCCATCAATATCAGAGCCCTAGGTTGAGTCTAGTCCTGAGATTTTGACGGGCTTACAGAAAAAACTATACTCTACGTCGAAAGCCAAATCAGCGCAAAGCCCATGTCAGATCCAACCATGCAAATACGGCTCTTGCACAGAGTGAAAGAATGTGATAGATGAGGAGATGATGATAGACAGAATAAGAAGTTAATGTTCTTGAGATGGTCGTCCAATTAGAGAAATGGCAACAAGCTTTTGTGCAGGACGTCCAATTGGTCGTCCTGACTATCGACGGAAAAACAAAAACTAAGCTGACGCAAGTTTGTGGATTAGTCGGCCGATCCCATCGACATCACTGTATGGCCTTGATTGTTGTCTTAAAAATTCAATCTTTATGGTTTACTTTAACCCGCAGTGACCTCACCTTTCGTGGAAAATGGTTGCCTCCTTCCCCAGAGTCCGCCAACTATTGCGGCCGTTGCGCATAAACTCCTGCTGGAGAACGGGGGCTCACGGTCTGCTAGGACGGCGGGACGTGCGCTGGGGGGCATCATGCAGAAGACGGATCGCCGCCTTTCAACGGTTGTAACGAACATCAACGACCGGAATAACCGGGGGTTTCTTTTATCTTCGTCGAGTTAGGCGACAGGCGGCGGATCATTCCGGCACTTGAACGGCCGACGGCCCTCCATTCTTCCTTTGGTGTCAGAAGTTAACACATGCCTGTCGTCAGATCGGACGACGGCGTAACGGCAAAACCCAAGTTCGGACAGGGAGGGAGAGAAGTATTTCGGCGCAAAGTGGCGTCTACAAATTGCCCCTCCGGGCTCTCGTGAACCCAGAGCTCCTCATCTTCCTCCTCCTTTGTCCTTTTAGAGGCCTGAGCACTTGCGAGTTCTTTTGGAACCCATGGCGGTAGTCTTTTCTCTTCTTCACATCTGGCTCCGCTGTTTCTTCTTCCTCTTCGCACTCCCAGACCTATCCTCGAACTCCCATAGCTGCTCCGCTCACAGCTTCAACCGTAGGCTCTTGCCATCTCCCAATGCCTCGGCCATTGCCGGTGTCTGGTCGCCGGCCGGGGCCACGTGGTACGGGAGCCCAAACGGCGCCGGGAGCGACGGTAATATCTCTTCATCTTCGTAAGGTACCTTATGCATCCAGCGGCGATTCTCACCTCGACTCCCATACAGGTGGAGCCTGTGGATACGGCGAAGGCGTGGAGAAACCTCCCTTCTCGTCCATGATCGCCGCCGGAGGACCATCACTTTTTGAGTCCGGCAAGGCGTGCGGTTCTTGTTATCTGGTGGAGAAATAAGACTAAGCGCCATTATCTTTGATTCCTTGCTTGAGATCAGATTAAGGACCGTTCTCTGATTTCGATGGGCGGTAGGTCAAGTGCAGTGAGAACAGAGCTTGCTCCGGCGACCCGGTGACCGTGGTGATCACCGACGAGTGCCCCGGCGGACCCTGCCTCGCGGAATCCGCACACTTCGACATGAGCGGTACTGCGTTTGGAGCCATGGCCCTGCCTGGGCAGTCCGACCAACTGCGTGGCGCCGGCGTGCTGGCTGTTCAGTTCATGCGGTGGGTCCTTCAATGAGTATATTTTCGGAGTTAGTTATTGGAAATAGTGCAGCAAAAACATAATTTGGTAAATATTACAAATTTCATAAACCGGTATATGCGGCGGATTATTTTTCTCCAATATTATTCCCTGCCATCAAAGCCTATGAACGATGAAATTGACATAGTGAAAGGCTTGTGTCACATCACAAAAGTGTTTTATTCTGTGGAGTAGCCCTTAATTTATTATTATTCTAATGAAATAATGCTAAAAAGCCATTTCTATTAGGCTAGAAGGCCTTACTCTCGTCATGTTTCTTCACTCCCACTATATGCAGTTCAGAATGCAGCTATGCGGGGCAGAACGTCGCCTTCCAGGTTGACGCCGGTTCCAACCCCCACTACCTGGCGGTGCTCATCGAGTACGAAGACGGCGACGGCGATCTCTCCGGTGTTTACCTCGGTCAGTCGCCGGGCTCCGGCTCGTGGCTTCCCATGGAACAGTCATGGGGTGCCGTATGGAAAATCAATTCGGCTTTGGCCTTACGGGCGCCATTCTCCTTCCGCCTGACCTCGCTCACATCCGAGAAGACGTTCGTCGCCACCGACGTGATTCCAGCCGGGTGGCAGCCGGGGGCGACGTACAGGTCCTCGGTAAACTTTAGCAGTTAGAGGGTACGAAGAGTCATGAAGAAGCCGGGAGCTCCCTCGAACCTAAACCTGTTTTCCGTGTCTTCATGCGTGACCACAAGAAAAAAACTGCAAAAAAAATAAAATCAAATAAATGGCCAATGGGCGAAGAGGACGAGAGGAGGCCTGGGGAAGGTGTAATAGTTTTGCTTAACAATGAAGAGTTCCCCTGGGGAAGGTGTCCGAGGTCTGCATTAAAATTTGCTTTGATCTACTCGGCTGGTGGGGAAACTGGACATATTAGTTTTGAATGAAATACGAGAAACCACCGATAGAATGAACTTGTGGCAAGAATATCATCAAATAGCTATTTATAAATCACTTATTACGCATTTGAAGTAGATGCCACGTGGGGAAAAAAATATGCGATGTGTTTCCGACACACTTGCGAGATTTTTTGGGCTTCATAATTTAAAATAATATATTATCAAAGTACATGCTTAAAAAACGAGGATTTAAATTTCCAGACTTCAATTTTCCAACTGTGGTGAGAAACTAGGTCATAATAAAATCGTTCATCAAGATGACTGCTTAGAAATAGTATACCAGTTACGTTACCAATCATTGTATATCTTATGACTCCATAGTAAAGTTAGGAAAACAAAATTACTAGCAACCTTGGAATGCGTTTGTAACGAAGCAAGTAAGCCGTTAGACATCCGTGGCAGTATTTAAGCGACATTATAAATATTGGGCAGACATACATGCTCCAAAGAGAGACATAGTGTAAGTATTATGGATAAGTCCGTTAAAATAATGCACGGGCATATATCAGGGTATTTACTTTTATGTCCTGGAAAAATCATACGTGATTATGGGGTTTGAAAAAGTTTTGAACTTGTTTTCCAAGTTGTTTTTCGAAAACTGCTCTCTAATGATTCTTTTCCCCATTCCTCAACATACCATGGTTGGAAACTAAGGAATTACATTGGGATTCTTCTCTGCTTTTGGAATTTTGAAATCTAGACAAAAGACCATAGATTCTATCAACTGAACCTACCTGGGAACAGCCAGAGAAGCGGATGTAGACTCCCCTACGTGAATAGATGGTAGCCGGTGTGAGGATTGGCGTGAGTGTCACTAAAAAGAGTGTGAGAACAGCCATAGATGATAACCGTGTGTAGATTAGTCAGCAAGAATTGGGGCATCAGAGAGGCAGTGGAGGAGGATGGTCGGTGGATGAAAGAGGAGAGAGCAGCTAGGGGGATGGAGGTTTCGGTCATCTGATGGAAAGGGGCCGGGAGGGAGGCAGCATCCATGGGAGCCACTATGCTTTGAGTAGGGGATAGGGAGCAGTCTCAAGCTGGCGAGTAAAAGAGTAAAAGAGTATACTGTCCGGATTTTGAATTTTCAGCTTATATTAGTCACTTTCCAGCATCATATAGCCGATTAAAAGAGCACTAGATGGTAACGTTGGGAGTATAGATACGTAGAAAATTTCTAAGATGTTTATCCTCATTTAGGATGAATGAAGCAAGCCTCTTCTGTTGAGGGATAAATGTGTCAAGTGACTCACAAGTAGAAATTAAATAACATTAAACATTGATTGATCAGCAGCACTGTAAAGTGAGGTACCATACCGATGTATATCTCGTAACGTTGAATCGGGGGTAGGTTATATCTATGTTCAGTGAAGGTTAGAGATTTTTTTCTTGTTCAAGGTACCTTGAGGATCTCGAAACTAAAACACTAAGTTCTGTCAATAGATGAATTGGATATGATGCATCTGAACATTCAATAAATACATCGGATGAATCCCTCAGTGTATCTTTGAATTATTAGCATGCCATCTGATTCTCCATCTTGATATTTGAAACTTTGTGCCCATTCTCATTGCGATAAAAGATATAATCTTTATAGGGCTCGCCTATCCAGCTGTGAGCAGAAGTTTGTTAGCGTTACGCCCCTTGGTCAAAAACCAGGTTTTAGAAGGCGATCAACGCGCTGAGGAAGGTCGGTTTTAGAAGACCGTCATCATCTGTTAATATGCATATCCAACATGAATGACAGAGATTACTGTATTTCTAGACTCGATTCCATCGCAGCCTCCGACAAAGTAAACGCGCAGGGTCCCACGTGGTTGATCCATGGAGAGGGAGAGGGAGAATTTCGGAGCTAACTTGTCTCCATAAATACCCATCAGCCCCTTCTCTCGGAACCCACCAGGACTCCTATCTCCTCCAGAGGTCTGTAAAACTTGGAAGGTCCTTTCTCTTCCAAGTTTTGACACCCATGGCGGGAGTCCATTCTCTTCTTCACGACCAGCTCCGCTGCTCCTTCCCACTCTTTGCTCTCGCGGCCCTCCTCTTAACCTTCAACGGTGTCTCTGCTCACAGCGTTAACCGTAGGCTCCTGGCTTCTCTCAATGATTCTGCCATCTCCGGCGGCTGGTCGCCGGCCGCAGCCACGTGGTACGGGAGCCCTAACGGCTTCGGAAGTGATGGTAAAATCCCTACATCTTTGTGAGACACTTAACGGATGTTTGGCGCTTCATACTTCTGAACATTCTCGATATCCTGAGCAGGTGGTGCCTGTGGTTACGGCAAAGCCGTCGGGCAACCTCCCATCTCGTCCATGATCGCCGCCGGAGGACCCTCACTGTTCCAGTCAGGCAAGGGCTGCGGAGCTTGTTATCAGGTGGGAGAAATATGAACAAAGTGTCATCATCCTACCTCTTTCCTCTAGACCCAATTAGCAACCGAGCTTTGATTTCCATCGGTGGCAGGTCAAGTGCACTGGGCACAGCGCTTGCTCCGGCAACCCGGTGGCCGTGGTGATCACCGATCAGTGCCCCGGCGGTCCGTGCCTGGCGGAGAGCGTGCACTTCGACATGAGTGGCGCCGCTTTCGGAGCCATGGCGCGACCCGGGCAGGCTGAGCAACTGCGTAGGGTCGGAAGGCTGGCTGTGCAGTTTATGCGGTTGGTTCCCCGGCGCACAGATTATATATCTCACACCCGTCTGTTGGAATATAATAATTGATGAATAGTTATACGAATAATACGAAAATTTCAATTGTAATTATAAAGGTGACACTTCCGCTCGTTTATTAAGTGATTATAGGATTTTTTTTCTCTACATTCCCATTTTTTTTGCTTTTACATTTCTTTTTAAATATTATCTATTTATATATGATATATTAATTGTCTTTATATTAGTAAAGATTGATCATTTTACCAGCGAAAGTAAACTTCTTATTCTTATCATGTTGAATATTGGCTTGACGTTTCTTGACGCCGTCATGCGCAGTGCTGAGTGCAATTACCCGGGGACGAACGTCGTCTTCAAGGTCGACGCTGGATCCAATTCAAACTACTTGGCTGTGCTCATAGAGTTCGAGGATGGCGACGGCGATCTCTCCGCCGTCGACCTGCGTCAGGCTCCGGACTCCGGCCCGTGGATTCCCATGCAACAGTCATGGGGTGCCGTGTGGAAGATCAACTACGGATCGCCGCTGAAGGCGCCGTTCTCCTTCCGCCTGACTTCTCTCGGGTCCAGGAAGACGCTTGTAGTCCCAGACGTTATCCCGGCGGGCTGGCAGCCTGGAGCTACGTACAGGTCCCGCGTGAACTTCAGGGGTTACGGTGTTCTTCCTGTTCCTTCGTTCGTGAGAAAGAAAGTGACGAAGTATTAAAAAGTATGTCATATAAGTTAATGAATGTTCGTTCAATAACATGAAAGGAAAAGCCAGTATGGTCTTCTCCTCTTGGAATTTCTAGTGAGATGATTTCCATGGCCTTTGCTGAACATTTGAGAAGTGTGATGGTTTCACTTATTGGCGTAGACACTCGATAGCTGAGCCTACCCATCAACGGTCTGATTTAAATATATGGATATCTATCTTACGTCTGTATTAATAATCAATACACAAGTTAGTTAGCTTTAGAACATTTATCATTAGTGTTCTTCACATAGAACCAGTTTGAGTTCTTGCAGTAATCCTTAACATTAATGAGTAGTTGTCTATTCAATTGGTTCCATTACGAGTCTCATTTAACAGGAGACGTAGATAAATCAAATAACTCAAAAGGGGTACCCCTGTTCCACAACGCTAGTTATCTATCTTCGGAAATCTCACAAGAAAACCAACAAGGCTCATTGTAGCTATAGCAACACCTTTGAAGGTAATTGAGAGAATCCTTGTGCTCATCTCAACAAGGGTGTGTGCTATTAAGGTTGTGGGAGCATCTAGCATCGAATAAATTGAGTGTGAGTGGAGTAAGCTCGTATTTACTAATTATAATACGACTATTGTAGATAGAGGATGAATTGGATTTTTACCCACCCTAGAAATTGGCTGAGCATTCGAGATTTTTAAAAGTCAGAGTTTTGTCGTTGACGTCCCCATGATGTCTGAAAGTTCAAGAATCATTAGACCAGTCCAAGTATGTCCCTACAAAAAAATACGGCCAATGGGCTTCTTTGGCAAGGTTTAGCAGCCATCCAACAAGAATCTAGCCATTAATAGTTTTACTATTATATAGTTTTGATTCAATCCGTTTGAAGATTCAAATATGTCATTTAAATAACCACGGTATTCCCTTCTTTTTTAGCTCGATTTTTATCGGTTGGCGTCACATTACATCCCTAACTGACATGTTGCAGAGTCGTGTCAACTAATTCATTTACTACATAAACTATTCACCAACCGTCAGCTGGAACAAGGTCTCTAACGCAATACGAGTAACTAGGGTTTATCTACAAGGCCAAGCTAAATGAAACTCATATTCTAACTCTATGCGAGCTTTGACTTGGGGCCACATACAGTCTGGGTTTAGAAGCATATTTGGAACTGAGTTGGAAGCCCAAGGCTCAAAATATCTGGTCTGAGTTTCCTCCACCATTGTCCAGAGTGTCAACGCCATGGGTAGTTTGAAGCCATAAAATATCTCTCTCTCTCTCTCTCTCTCTCTCTCTCTCTCTCTCTCTCTCTCTCTCTCTCTCTCTCTCTCTCTCTCTCTCTCTCTCCTTCCCAGTTTACAGACTGACATGTTAACTTTCTGAGTCAAAGCGGGGAGTACGGTCTTCTTAGGTGTCCGGCCCAAAACTAACGTCCAAAGTCGGGCCAGGTCTGGACATCGAAATAGATATCCGAGCTCAGGCTCAGGCAGGGCTCGGCTGGACACCCACAACTACTAACGCACCTCCAACTGACAGTACTACAAAATACTTTTGTCTCCAATTATTCTCAGCATAAATCTGAAATCCAATCTATCGGAAATCCCATCTATTTGCTCAATTCAACACCAGAAAAAGTATCGGTCTGGATTACGAAACTATTCAAGAAATCATTAAATTTTGTAGATATGAATATTTATCAACAAAAATAAATGCGGACAAATATATGTAGGAGGTATCAACGGGTCAATTCTCTCCGGAGACCCAGCCAACCTAGAAACCTGTTCTTCTGCGGCATCTACCGACCTCCCCCTTCGTCATCGGCCAGTTCTCTCCAGAGCCTCGGCCAACCTAGAAACTTGTTCTTCTACGGCATCTACCGACCTCCTGTCATCGGCCACCTCCTCCGGACAGCCTCTGCTTCACATTGGTCTGCCCTCATCACTCCTCAAGACTCAGGCCCACTCGGAACCAGTCACAAACCTGCTTTTAAATGTTTTAAAAATACGTATTTATAGCGGGTCTTGGGGTCTTCATGTGGAAACAACTTGGTTGAACTTGATTAGTACTCCCTGCCAGTTGTAAGATGTGCGAGTGGACTAGGGTCAAGTATAGGATAAATGATGTCATCTGCATGTTTAGGATCTGATAGGTATTATTTATCGACTCCACCGCACGCTACCGATCTATCTGTAGCATGGGCCTCCCGGATGCACGTGGGAATGGGACCTCTCGCTAGTCCGCTGCCCGTTTCGCTAAGTCAACTACCCAAGTCTTACCTCAGGTTATCGAGGCATTTCTGTAAATGGGCGAACTAAGGTTTAGATCGGAAATCGGGGACACACTCTCACTCACAACTCATAGGAACGGTCGGCAAATTATTGTAACGCATCCCAAGCACCAACTCATTTTCCAAAGTTTTCTTCGGCCCTTCTTGTTCCCAACCTTACAAAAGATATCTGGATTTACATTTGTTCTAGTTAGGCTACCTAAATTGTTGATACTCTTGCTTTCCGATACAACTAATAATAATATAAATAATATGCTGTACGTGGCTACTTAGGGATTGTAACATTATAAAGATAAGAGTTCTAGTTCATTTAATCAGTTAGCTCTTAGTTCTAGTAGGAAGCATGCCAGCCAAGCCAAGCCATTGTCTACTACTCCCCCGTAAGTCAATCTATTGCTGTAGGTGGAAACGACTTTGATAGCCACGAATGAGTACATGAAGGGTGGTCACTCTCGTCGACTTTCTAGGAGTGTTCTACCTGTTCAACGAAAGCGTAGATGCAGTGACCCGGCTAGCGACTACGAACTCTGGCCTTCCATTCATGGAAACTTGAAGAGCGTGCAGGTCTGAAGAACAAGGTCAAATCGTCTGCGCCGGGCGGAGTTCAGAGGATCCTTTCCGTGTTCCCAATGCCTCTAATGTTCAGATCTTCGAACTTGACGACGACTATTTGTCAACACGAGTGTCAGATGCAAACGCTCTTAAATGCCCTCCTGTCGCACTGAAGCTTGAGAGAGATTGCGCAATACAGTTGATAAAAAATATTTAGCCGTCTTCCACGTTGCAGATTTTAATTAGCTTTTTAGTTAATATTGCCCACAAAATAATTGAAGTTTTTTAATCAATCTCCGTTGTCTTTGTAGATTTTTCCCGCAAGTCGATTCGAACTCCGTCTTTCTCAGTTTTTAACCCTCCTTTAGTGATCGTACGATTTTTCCAAGTTAATCTCATATTGGCAAGCTTAAAATATAATTCATGTCAGGAAGAATATAATACTACTTTCTTGATAACCTTAATTGGCGATGAATCCTCCCCACCCCCCATATTCTCGCTCTCTCCCTCCCTCCCTCTCCCTCTCTCTCTCTCCCCCTCGCGGGCATCAGTCATTAATCAATGGGGGGTGAGCATAATCTTACTACTGTTGGCCAATAATAAAACAAAATCGTCCGAAGAGACTAAATGTTCCAGTACAAGTCGAAATTCAATACGACTTGAGCTCTCTGTCACTAACTCGAGCATCTTCAATCCATCCCTAAAAGATTGACTATCTCAAGGGTTTTCTCCAAGGAATCGCCAGGAACAAAGTCTAGCATTACAACACGTGAATACTGGTGCTACAATCTCACCCATATCCACTTCATTTAAACCGTGGCTAACGTGTTTGAGTTATCGGGTGAGGTGAATCTTATGTTCTTGAGAGAGAAAGTAGACAGCAAGCCTGCACTCTGTATGACTATTCCTTCAAGGAGAACATGAATGTTCACGGACGTGTACGACTCTTCCTTATGCTTCAACCCCAAGAGCAAAGTGAATGCGAAGCTTACTGGGTAGTCTGCCAGGAGGAAGGAGAAGAGGGTCCTCTGCTGCCTCCGGCGTCTGCGTCGGCGAAAGGCACGTTTGTGTTCTCTCTTCTTTTGTCATCTCCTTCTCACGGACGACCCCATGACAACCATTGCAGTGAGAGAGAGATCTCTTCCCCCAATAATACTGGTGTTGCGGGAGAGACAGGTGACCCTCCTACGCTTCCTTCATCGTGGAAGATGCGGGGCTCGGAGTATACCCTCCGTGATATCTGGATCCCGGGGGGTGGAAATCACGTGAAACTGACGTCGGCAACATCCATTGGCGTCAGCTCTGTCGAGCCATGGCCACTGACACGGTGAATTCCTCCCCCCCTCATAAAGAGCCTTAGCCTACTAGGAATCCCATGTAAACGACGACGGGGGTGTAAACTCTGACGACGCAAGGACTTACGCCGGTGAGCATACCATCTGTATCTCCGGCGGTATCTCCAGCGAGCCTACCATTCGTGAATGGTAGTTGGAGCTCGGTATCTCCGGCGGAGCTCCAGCCCCTGCCCATCCCAGTCAATCGTCGCTACACTGCCTCATTTTCTTTTCTTTTTTTCCCTGCCATCGCCTCTCTCTCTCTCTCCCCTGGTTGCAGACTTGTGCTCATGTGAGGTCGTCGATTGCTGAAGGGAGATGGAGACGCAAGCCAGGCCTTTTTCCGCCCCATTGAATCTTATTGAATGATTAGACGGCAAACATTGTTGGAACCCGACTGGTGAAGCCCGCGTTTGGTTTCAACCATCAATGTCGATTAATGCGCTGGTTCGTCCTCTACATTTATAGTTCGGGATGTACGAAAGTTGTCTACGAACCCAATCTTATTTTTCATGAAGGCCTCGATAAATCACTAACCTAGAGTGAATAATTAACAGAAAATCTAATCGGCCTTCTGAAGAAATTACTTCTTCACCCCCTCGCAGCGGTCCCGATGCACCATATTTTAAGAACCCACGTTCTCGTAGATTCGACCGAGATTGAATGAAACCCACGTCAGACCGAGGGCGACTCCAGTTAGCTCAGCTGAATCGAGCTGGCATCGATTACCTGGGCACGGGGGCGTCTGATTTGCTGACATGGACGATGCCGAGCTCCTGCGACGCCATGGATGGAGAAGCGGAGTCGCTCCGAGTGGGAGGATGGTGCCAGGGTGGCTCCGACCGCTTCCTGCCAGGTGGCTCGTCTAGCCCTGTCGGAGGAGTCACGCGCCGATTGATGACGGAGCGGCAGGAGCAGTGGCAGCTTCAGAGCGAGTGGAATGATCGCTGTCGTCCAATCATCATTTACGGCAGACAGAGAGGTCGAGCTTTCCTTGCCCGTCATGCAGATCGCTTCGGATAACTCGCTCAGTGCTGATTTGACTCGTCGCAGCTCCGCACCAGATGCCCACCTCCTTCCGAGTTGTATCTATCTTTCTCCCTCCCAATGCGTTAAGGTCTAGGCAGAGGAAACGGGGAGGGAGAGCAGTAGAGGGAGGAGGGACCGATTCTCTTCGCAAGTTGGATCTCGCAGCCGAAGAGAAACCCCGCCGTCGCCTGGTGGTGGAACTGTCGAAGATTCTTGGAACGTCTTAAACTGCAGGAAAACTATATTAATGGCCGGGTAGCGATGCCGGGCTGTCCTCTCATGTGTGGGCGCACAGCGTTAAAACCCCCTTCACTGCCCTTTCCGGCAGCCGAATGATTCGGTTTACGCTTTGCGGAGCAGTGAGACCCCCCCCTACAATGGAGATCGTACCCGCCCCTGCGGCAGCTCATTAGATGCTAACCAGGGAGTTTTATTATCTACCAACATATGGTGTTAAGCAGGAGCTTTAAATTGCTCTCACGAATCCGAGCCCTTCTGGTGTTGAGATCCTGAGGGGGGGAGGGGGTGTGGGGTTGTGCCCGGGTTCGGCGGCAGGACTTGGTAGTATGCAGCTGCGGAGGCGGCTGAGTGGCGAGACCGGCCCTCAACGGGCTGGCATGTGCGGCGACCGAAGCTCTGCCGGAGTTCGCTTCCCCTGCCTTCCTTCTCGGAGCAGTCGAAGGGCAAGAAAAGGAAACCCAAAAATGAATTCTTGAGAGAGAGGGAGAGAGGAGGACCAGGTGGAAAGTGTCGTCCCGGGGGGGCAGTTACAGTTGGCTCGGGTCACGAGCTGTTAATAATAAAGAAACCCCGAGGGGGCCGGTTGTCTTTCAATAAATCGGGGGCTATGAGGGGGTGGGGAGAGAAGGGGGCTCGGCTGATAAAGAGAGGGGGAGGAGGGAGGGGGTCTTGTGTTCCCGCCGTCACATGTTCTGACGTCGTAATGGAGTAAAACTGTGTGTGTGGGGGGGGGGGTTTCCGGTGGATCTGGAAATAACAGCCAAAGATCTCTCTTTCTCTCTGTCTTTCAGTTTTGGGTCCAGAAAAATCGTCTCCCCTACTTCCTTTGATTAAGTCCGCATCAAAGCTTCTTGGGGTTTTCTTATTCGTCTCTCTCTCTCTCTCTCTCTCTCTCTCTCTCGGTGTGTGTGGGGATGATGGGGGGGTGCGAGTGTCCTTCGTTGGCGGGCTGAGGAATGCTTGTCACCTACTCCTTTCATCTAGCTTCTTATGCCCTCTTCTCCTCCTCTCCCGTGCTTCCTTCCACAAAGACCCCCCTCCATCCCTTCTATTTCTAGGCTCTGAGCTGCTAGGAGAGAGAGAGAGAGAGAAGCAGAGGGGAGCTCTGGGGCGCCTCCGGTGATGGAGAAGCATACTTGCAAGCTCTGCTTCCGGCGCTTCTCCAACGGGAGAGCCCTCGGAGGCCACATGCGGTCTCACATCACCGCCGCCGCGCCCACGGGGGCACCCAAGATCCAGGTTCAGCATCCACCCTCTCCCTCTTTCTCTGCATCGGCCTCCGAGGAAGTAGCGGAAGTTACAGACCGAGCGGGCCCCGTGTTAATGGTTGAGGGCGTGCTGGTGGCGGGTTCCGACGACGGGAAGCAGTTTGTCTACTACGGATTACGAGAGAACCCGAGGAAAAGCTTCCGGCTCGTGGATCCGGAGTTCTCGTCCACTTTTCCGGCCGTAGACTATGTCGCCCCCGGCGGGTCCTCCATTGTCCTCCAGGACCGGGAGAGCGAGACCGAGTCGTCGAAGCCTCCGTCTCTCCGCCGCCGATCTAAGCGACGCCGCCGCTCGTCCCACCCGCCGTCGGCGACCCAGCCGGAGCCTTCTTTCGACCCGGAGCCTGTCAGCTCCGTCTCCAACTCGACGCCGGAAGAGGACGTGGCCCGGTGTCTGATGATGCTCTCCCGCGATGTCTGGACCAGCGGGTTCTCGCCGGAGAAGAAGCCCAAGTGCTCCAATCGAGGTGGGGCCCCCCGGGAAGAAGCGGCTGCGGAGAACCGGCAATCGGACGATGACTCAGAAGAGGAACACACCACCATGGCCAAAGCTCGACGAGGTGGGCGGAGCAGATACCAGTGCGGAACGTGTAAGAAGGTCTTCCGCTCGTACCAAGCTCTCGGCGGTCACCGAGCGAGCCACAAGAACATCAAAGCATGCGTCGCGCCGGCCGCCGTCCGGGGACAAGATGAAGAGGACGAGAAAGACGTCCATCCCCACACAGAGAATCAGATCCAGGAAGCCGATTCTGAGGTTAACTTCCCCCCATCGACGGGCTCCACCGACCGGAGGATCCACGAATGCCCTGTTTGCTTCAGAGTCTTCGGGTCCGGCCAGGCCCTCGGTGGGCACAAGAGATCACATCTAGCCCAGTCTTCCAGCTCGATGAATCCCTCCCCAGTTAAAGTGGCGCCGACGGTTGCTGCCACTAAGAAAGCGACGGCTACCGCGGCTTCTGCTGTTTCTCCCGTCCACGGCTACGGCGGCCGGATGCTCGTCGGCGAGAGCCTAATAGATCTTAATCTACCGCCACCGGCGGACGAGGAAGGCGAGCTGTCTGCAGTTTTCGATGCGGAGCAGTAGAGCACTTGGAATTCAACAAATTCGAGCTCGCGCCTTCCCCAATCGGAGGAAGGATGAGGGGATGAAATCGAGCTCTTCCTGGCGACCAAACGGTAGGTGGACGGAGATCTCCAGGGCATGCTTGCTGTTCGCGCCTGCCGTGGGTTTGGAATTGCGGTGCGAAAGCCTGATTCTTGAATGCTCTGTGCACCTAATTTTCCCCGCCTCGGACTCCTCCGCGTCCGCGGCAGCTGCTCCGCCGCCGCTCCCACTTTCCTGACAGTAAATTCTCTTCCATCTTCCTGGTTTAAAGTCATATGGCCGTCTTTAGTTTTCGTGAATCGGTTCGGCTCCTCCACGCCCGCCGAGAAAGCCACCGCCTTGCCATCCCCGTCTCCGGAGTTCCCGCAGGCGGTGGTTGTGGAGGGCCGGGGGGGCGCTCTGTTTCCAGCTGTTCTCCTTAAACAGTCTTCGGTCCAATTTATTATCAGCGGCATCGTCTGTGTGATCCAGTCTCATGCTGCTCCTCTCATGGCTCTTCAGCCGCGCCGTCCGGCCACTCGCCGCACGCCTCTCACTTACCTCCTGCAGGGAAGTTTCTTTCTCCTGCTGCCGCCTGTTGCGCCTGACGTTCTGATTGCCGTTCCCCTCGCTCTCTCCCACAGTGTTTGTTTTCACGCTTGTATTCTCCTTTCTGTTGGAGTCTAGCGGCGGCCCCCCCTCCGTCGCGCTTTCTCTCACATCAGCGGCGGAAACCGCATCGCTAGCTCGTCATTTCCGCTATGTGTGAAGGACGAACCATGTGGGCGTTTGTTAACAAATCCCTGTCTGGGTCTCCTCCACGGCCACCGCGACGGCGCGGCAGCCGGCCGTCGCTTGCCGCCGGCTGGCACTCTTCGAAAAGAAAGGAAAACGTGACATGATTACAGCAAACCTTTAACTGCGGGATTCATGCTCACGGGGGCAGGTCTTATCATTAATAATATCCTTGTCCCCACCACCGCAGAAGGGACCTCGCCCGGCGCGCGCGCGCCATGCACGACGGGATCCCCTCGCTGGCGCGCTGTTGGGGAGCGGCCTTCCGTGCCGGAGTTCGCCATCACGCGCCGCTCGTGCACGCCGTCGGCACTCGACGGCCCACACGCGGCGGCGGCGCCGGGGCCCGGGAGGACCCCCCCCGTCTACTTCGACGGCCCACACGGGGTTTCCGGCTCGCCGTCGGAGACTCCTCAGTGGGGCCGGTCCACGGGCGACCGCGGTGATTTTAGCGATTTATACTCTTTGCTATTCCTAACTCTGGGTAAAAAAAGAACAAAACTTTATAAATGAGCCGACATACCGAAAGTCAAACATTAATATTGATTATCAGAGTACACGGTAGAGTGCCCCCCTTAATAGTGTTAAAAAAGTCATATCAAATTGAATAAATGTCGCCATATGCTCATAACTCGCTCGCATAAGTTTCTTAATTGAGAAAAAAGTTACTTAATTGTTAAGTAGAACCAGGTAAATATTGCATTTCCAATGAAGATTTTCATCAGATTCCCTAGCTATATAAAAAAGGAAAGTATCGGTGAATCCACCATCGTGTGATTTAGCGAGAAAGCTCGGATTTTCATACTGCGAAACGAGACTGGGGATCCGAACCCCCGTCCCGGAGACCGCTCCGGCGCCTCCCCACCAAATCCGGTCGGACGCATTTGGGAAAGGAGGGGTCCGGGGACAACACCGGCGAGGATCCTCGACAGGGAAGCGTGAAGCGGACTGCTCCCCGTCGGTACGCCTCTTTTTACTCAGCAGGAAGCCCGGTCAACTGGCCCGCCCACCAACATCCGCCGGATGAGGGGGCCCCGGATGGGGCATCTCCCTTGTGGATTAAATTCGACGGAGTTGTTCCATAAAATGTCCGTCCATACTATGCCCCATTTTTACGGCAACATGAAAATATTGCTGTTAACTAAAGGAGAACAGGTTTAAGTAAGTATTGATCAACGGCATTTGATAAGTAACATTGGCAATGCATGCGAGCTATTTGATATTATGTTTCACTAGAAGGTTTATCTTTCCGTGTGTGTATATTGATCGAATATTTCATATAGTTGCATGTTTTCTCGGTGAAAATCCGATTAAGAAAAAGGGGTAGGATCTCATGCATGCTCTTAAGAAATCTTCATTACAGAAAACCCACATTTGGTAATTTGTACGACCAAGAAAGTTTTCCACTATTTTGTTTGGTGCATGCCCCATCGACCCCTACTAACGGGCAACTTTATAAGAATACTAGTAAAATAATGCAATAATCTGCAGATGAGATATTGCGCATGAAAAACACATGATAGTCAGTTCTCATGTTAGAGTTGAAGTTCTTCGGATTTCAGGCAAAAAAAGGCGTTTCCAACTAAGGTATCCCCAGATTGTTGGACACGTCTCATTGACCAAAAATGTAATCACCATGTGAAGTGTCCCAATCTCTGGTTTTCAAGATACCATGGCGAAACGATCAGACGCCATGACCTCTCATATTTACGGTGTGAGAATCCCAGGGTCTTATTACCCGTCATGAATAGTCAACAGGCAGGACGCAGGGTGTTCTTCGTGTCGCACGCCGGATGGAGGAGAATCCGTCATGCTTTCGAGGCTTGGCATTCCTTCCGGGGAGGTAGAGCAGGTCGTACCTTTTACGCAGAAGGGAGAGTTATGGGTATCGGAGTATAATATTGCATCATTATTCTGAATACTAATCTCAAGTATCAGATGACATTGACACTTGCCCTCTTGCTTATGTTGTGATCTCCTTTCTGCTTTGTTGACCAAGATCAACTATTGTTGCGCCGTAAACCTCTCTCTCGCTCTACCTCCCTCCCTCCCTACCTTTCTTCTTCTCTCTATCGATTTTTATCGCTCTCTTTCTCACCCTCGAGAAGGATTCAAACGCGCAAAAGAACACTGTAGAATTCAAGGTCGACGAAATTGAGGCCTCATAGCTTGGTCTCCCAGTGGACGGCGGTTGAATGGGAATTCCATCGACCTTGACACGGTTCTTACGGGTCTCCACCGTTTACTATTCTCATCTCATTTCCCGAGACCCCCCCGCCCACCTCTCTCTCTCTCTCACTCGATATATATATATATATATATATTATACCTTTCTACCCATTGGGGTTTCCCAGGAGGCGCGCACACTGGACAATCCGACTCGTTGAATCGGAGCTCGTACACGGAGAAGACCGAAAGTTGTCTCAGTCTGCTGCATGACTGATGCAGACAAGCACCAAGTTGGATGCCGTCGCAAGTTGAATGCACAGGGAGCTCACAGTTGCACTGTTTAACACCCTCGAGTTTAGTTGTTTGTCGATGGAAGTCCCCGTCCCCGTCCCCGTTCGCCTAATCGTCATCGTTTACAAGATCGAACCGCTCTTCTTATCGTCATCCCATCTCCCCTTCTTCTTCGCATGAGTGCCGCCATGAACAGACTTATAGGAGGCCGAATCAGCTCGACTCTGCCCTTGAGAAATCTTGAAACCATCTGGTCAAATCTTTGAACCGGGAATCGGGTCCCAGCCGGGCCGCGGGCGACTTGAGCTTGTTCTTTCCGGGAAGATGTACTTGATGTTTGCCGGATGGAGCCAGACTTCCGATGACTAAGATGCTCATCAAGACGTCTTACGATATCAGAAATGTCCAGAAACGACACCCGGTGCGATTCCTACCCTTATCAGAATCAACGGCCATGATCGAGGCGGGTTGTTAATGACCGTAGCGAGAAGTCAACGGTTCCCATCGCGTTGTCAACGCGTTCTTCTCGCGGAAACGTCGATGAAGTCAGCCATAGACGAATCAACTATGGATGCTTCATTAAACCCAGAAAAACTTCATCGTCGGCTCTACGGCAGGTTTCTCGTAGGTTCATCGATTCATCATGGCGTTCTACACTTACTGTCGAAGACAAGTATATGGAGATCCTTAGATGTTGACCAGGAATAGAGAAGTCGAGAACCAAGCATGGGGTTCCGTGAGCGGCACGTCGCTGCTCCTCTTCTCTCCTCCTCTCAAATTAATGGGATTGGACTTGCGCTCGTACGCCGCGGAAGGCGCCCCCTGTTCATGTCCTCATCGACTTGATAAAACCAAGGACTTGAGAGGCTCTTTGAGGCGAAGAGTAGGTTCGCCGATACTCTACCATTCAATTAACAGTTCCATTTCGTGAGGGTGAGTTGACCTTTTCCGGGCCGTTACGCTCGTCAGATCCCTGGCCTCATCCGGCGACTACCTTCCTCCCATCGGCAACCAGTGGGGGCCGAGCTTCCTCACATAACGCCAGCCGAGGCTCTCCATGGAAGCGAGAAATAAATGGAATAAATGAACCAGCGCGGGGGATAAGAAGGACGACAGCATCTGTCGGGAGGGGATAAGAAGATGGAGCGGCACCGTGGTTATATGCGCCACCGGGACGTTGAAAGGAGAGGGAGGCCGTTTGGATCCTATCGCCATTACCCATTAAAGAATGGTGTGTGGCTTTAGACCTCGTCATCCGGCTAGCCGCCCACTTGAGACCTTTCTTGGCGTCGGAGACCTGCCGCTCCTCTGGCTGGTCCCCCACACCCACCGCCGCCACAGACAACACACACTTGAGAGATGTGATTCCATTGATGATAGGTGGGTGACACATCGTATGCTCTCGGCTACCATCTGCTCCCAGGAAGCCCAGAGCAGAGCTCTGACCTAATCTAATGATGGCTTCTTCTTCTTCTTCTTATTCCCCATGGGGAGGAAAGAAGGGCCTTCCCCCTCCCCTCCTCCGCCCCGATCCAAAGCTTGGAGCACGTCAAGTCTCTTAATGGCCAGCCTCCACCGGAAGGGGACCCTCCTGCGGCCTCTTCCCCGTACGGCGAGCCCTACACCTTCTGCTGCATGCTGGAGCTGAGGGATGGAAAGGGGATCCTCCCTGTATTGTCCACTCAGTAGTTACCCAAAGAGGGACGACGGCTGGATCCGATAAGTCAATAAGGGCGCTACGGGCTCCGGTGGCTCCAAGTTATGATTCGAGGGATGCTCAAGCCGCCGGAGCTGAACTATGTCTTAATGAAAACTATTTCCAGTGTTCAATCTCCTCTTAGTTCATCAAGAACTAGATTTAACTTCCTCTTTTTTTATTCTCGTTTTGGGCATATTCATACGTTACTTACTATCATAGCACAGATCTAGGTAGCTTAGGAAGCCTCTATGCGTTGACCTTTCCAAACCAAGAAAAGGGCTCACTACAGGACCCACACTCCCGTTCCATAGGTCACTCACTGTCGACGAACACTCCCCTAAAACGAAACGACCCTTTTATGATTTTTTTTTTCTCCCGAAGAGATAAACTAAGTCATCATTCAGCAACGTTTTATAGTTGCAAAAGCAATTCGCATCGAAGGGTGCTATTGAGGAAGATATGACCTTTCATAATAAGACAATTATGGCAAACTGTGACATAATTACATGAGTTTATGATTGGATAAAAAAATATCACCTAATGAATCATAAAGCATCGCATACCCTGCAGTCCTTTTTTTCATATATATATATATATATATATATATCTAAATTGATGTCTTAAGGGAACCCATGAACATCTAATCTAATGAAATAACTATTTCTTGTTGTTTTCCCTCTAAGATCGACCTTCATATTTTCTATCTTTGAGACCATAGCCTAATAATTATATGATGATCATAAAGTATCTCAGACCTTAGAATCTTTATATATATATTTTGAAGACAAAGAAAATAGTATTATTATTATGAAAAGAAAGGTAGAAGCTTTACACACGTAGGGGTGATGAGGAGAGAGAGAAAATAAGCCAAGCCTATAAACCCAAAATATATATTTACAGCCCCCCTCAAGTTGGACTATAGAGATCTAAAGCTCCAAGCTTGGAGCAAGAGGAATGCAACTGAGGACTATGAAGAGCTTTCATAAACATGTTTGTAAGTTGTGCTTTTGAAGATACCTTAATTGAGAGAATTAACTGAACATGCAATAGATAATGGTGGAGTGTCTTTGAACTTACTCAGTACGTACTAAAATAATTATGAATATTTAAGGGAAGAAGAAGGTTTAGACAAAAGTCAACCAAGATGTACCCTCAGATGTCGAAAGATCCTCATAATTACATCATATTGAGTAGTATGTGGATTGACCATAAATTGATTGGCCACATAATGAAAGAAATGTCAAGGTCAAGTAATTAAGTCACCCTACTAAATAATAAAATTGTCTCCAATTCTCAAGAGCATCACTTGAATATGAAAGTAACTTGACTTTTGAATCTATCAATGTAAGAACAAGTTTGGTGCCCAATATTTGTACATTCTATAATAGATTAAGAATATACTTTTGCTAATTGACAACTAAGCCCTCAGAAGAGCAAGCAACCTAAATGCCTAAAAAAATACCAAAGCTAACTCAAATACTTGATCGTCACTTTACTCTAAAGAAAGACTTGAAATCAAAAATACCATATCTATCATTACTCGCTAGAATGATATCATCAACATTGACAAACAAATTAACATAACTTACAACAATATGATGATAGACATGTTGAGATCAAAGTCACTTTGACAAAGACCAAAATCTTGAATTAGTATGCAAAAACAACTGAACTAAGTTTGAAGAGATTGCTTCAGGCTATATATAAATTTATGTATAAAGTACACAAATTTTGGTGAGTTTGCCGAAATAAAACCAAAAGGTTGCTCCATATACATTTGTTTTTCAAGATCGTCATGAAAAAAAGTATACTTCACATTCAATTAATGAATAAGCCATGAGAAGTTGACTACAAGCACCAAAAACATATGAACTGAAGTAAGCTTTGCCACCAAAGATAGGGTTTTAATATAATACTCTCCATATGTTTGAGAAAAATTTTAGGTCATTAAGTGAGTTTTGAGACAATCAATAGAAACATCTATAATCATCATGATTGTGAATACTCAATGATAACTCATCATTGGAGTAGATAACGGATGAGGAACCAAGCGTCATGTCGAGATATGACAAAGACTCTTGATCTCCTCCACCATCATAGCACATCAACAAAAGTGATTAGAAAGTTGAGATATGACGACAAAGATGGTGTGAGTGGAGCTATTGGTGTTAAGCATAAAAGAGAAGGTGCACATAGAGAACCATCTAACAAAGAAGAATCATAGTTGGGGTGAGTGTAGATGACGAAGTAAAAACCTATGACACATGAATAGAAAAAGAAGATGAGACCAATGAAGAAAGAGACAAAAAATATCGACAAGATGAGTCCAAAGTCATATGAAGAGTCTTATTTAACGATGATACATTGAGGCTCTCTATATGTAGGGGTGAGGAGGAGAGAGAGAAAATGAGTTAGGCTCATAAGTTTAATATAACTCTATATCTATATATATAAATTGACTTATTAAGGAGACCCATGAGCATCTAATTGAATTAGATCACTATTTCTTATTATTTCCCCATCTGGATTGACCTTCGTGTTTTCTATCTTTGAGACCATCACCTAATAACCATATGATGATCATAAAATATCTCATACCTTACAATCCTTATATATATATAAATTGACTTCTTAAGGAGACCCATGAACATCTAATCGAATTAGATCACTATTGCTTGTTGTTTTCCCATCTAAGATTTATCTTTGTATTTTCTATCTTTGAGACCATCAATTTTAAAATCTTGAGTTTAAGATAATGGAGACAGACATAAAATGCCTTATTTTCAATGTTGACTAGCAGACAAGATGCTTAGACAATCTAGCCATGGATGTCAAAGAGCTTAAAAACCCACCTATCATAAAACAAATATGAATGTGACATATCCCTTTAGGCAATTGCCAATGACAATCGAGCTGAATGTTTGAATGAGCTCTAATACGTTAGGGAATCAATGCCAAACATCATCTCTAGCTATGGAACCTCACATAAGAGAGTATACTCACGCTTGGAAGAAGTGTGATTCGACCCCACTACCAACATTAAGAAAGCGTAAGGAGTCATGTACTTGTCATGTGATAGGGGTATAAATATAGCACGAGAAGAGAAGGGTTAGGGGGGCAAAGTCGGTATTCTAGAGAGGTGGGGAAACCCTCTTGAATATTGTTCCCCACTTTACTCTTCTTCTCCCTTCTCGTCTCTATAATTGGGAGGGTTGCCCTTCCTGTCATTTTGTCTCTCGCCACTTGCGAGGGTTCGTGAGTTCAATGTGAAGTGTTCTATTCTTTTTACTTGCTCAGATTCAAGCCTACCATTGAAGATTGTATCATTGGTATTAGAACTTCATTCTTGCGACGATGAGCATAATGACGCCAAAGATATTAGGTGCATGTTTTGAAGCCCTAAATGCAGATAACAAAAACCTTCGGGCAGACCAAAGAAGGATGGTCGAAGACATACAAAAAGTAAGGGAAGAATCTATGGATTTGATGTCTCAACTTCTACAGAACATGTAGCGATTTTAGCTGACAGTATGTACGAGATTGGAGGCTTTGGAGAAAAAAGAACATCATAATTTGCAACCAACATCAAGCTACCGACAAGCACAAGCAAAATCACAACACGATGTACCACCTCCTCACCCTCCTCAAGAATACATTCTGAATGACACCAGCTGGTCATACAGTCGTACAGTACACCCAAAAAAAGGAAATACTAATCTTTGAGGGGGAAAATCCTGAAGGCTAATTCAGATGTGCTAAGAGGTTCTTCAAGCTAAACAAAGTATAAGAATGAGATCAACTAGAAATGATAATGATGAAGTTCGAAGGCCTAGCATTGGAATGGTATTTATAAAAAGACAAAAGGTATCCTTTCTACAACTGACAGGACTTCCGAATGCAATTAAGAAACACTTTGGCACTGTAGTAGAAGTAAATATATTTCACAAATTCTTGAATCTCTAACAAGATCAATCAGTCTAAGAATATCGAGTTGAGTATAAGTGTCTTTCTACATATCTACCAAAACTCAAAAATGTGGTCGTGGAGAATACTTATATGAAGGGCCTAAAATTTGAGATTCAAGTAGAGTTAGCTCATATAGGCTCAGTGGGACTGATGGAAATGATGGACGCATCAATGGAGACAGAGCAACATGTTTGGACCCTGTGGGAAGCTTGGGATAATCACCTGCCCAAATCTTATCAGCAAGGTAGTTCTACTTCATTTAAGATTGTTGATAGTCACTTACATTCACTATCTAGTGATCAGGAAAAGAATATTACACCCTCTTTATGAGGATGAAACCTTGAGAGTAATCCTTGACCTCAAGTGTCAAGGAAGGACAACCAACACCGTAAGCTGATCACTCTCATTGATGAAGAGTATCAAAGTTATCATGAAAAGGGACTTTTGTTATATCATTGTGAAGAAAAATTTGGTCCAAAACATCATTGCAAGAAATAGCAATGAATCCAATATGATTCTAAGGAGGCTCAACCAGTAGAGGGAGGGACGCCATTTACAGCACAAGTATCATTGAATCCAATGATGAGAGCTAGTTTGTAATATTGTTCATCAATTTCAAGAATTTCACTTGGAGGACCAAGTGAATTTAGAGAGGGGGAGTAATGACACTGACTCCACTACCAACCTATAGAAAGCGTAAGGAGTCATATGGTTGTCCATTGATAGGGGTATAAATGTAACATCAGAAGAGAGGGGATAGGGGGGCAAAGTTGCTATTCTAGAGAGGTGGAGGAACCCTCTTAAACATTGTTCCTCACTTTACTCTTATTCTCTATTTTCATCTATGTATCTGGGAGGGTTGTCCTTCTGATTGTTTTGTCTCTCACTGTTGATGAGGGTTCGTGAATTCAATACGAAGTGTTCCATTCTTTTTGCTTCCCTAGATTTGATCGTATCATTGAGGATCATATCAAAGTATTCTGCATCCTATGTAATCTTAGTTTTACAGACCTAGTCCTTAAAACATGACTTATGAAACAAGCCCACAATGCCCATAAACCAATCTCAAAAACCTATGATACATAAGGATTCTCAAAGTGATCCAAGAAATGGTTGCCATGAGAATAATCTTACAGAAGTTCATTGGACTAAAAACTTTATGTGATGGTGAAGTCTGAAAACTATAAAGAAAATTATGCAGTCGATCTGAAAGATTACTAGGACAAGGAGAGAATTTTTAGTCAAATCCTCCACAAAGGCACTGTCTAGTCTGATCAGAATTTCATATGCTCAATTATCCTCGTATGCTAAAAAAAGATGAATTTAATGCAAAAATAAACCGTCACAAAAACTGTGTAAGGAGAGTTGAACGATTAGGAATATCACCCACCAAGAAAGTAAAGAGGACAAGGAAACTAGCCGAGAAATGGGACAGATAGTGTACCTGACAGCGCCCCTGATAACTTGGAAGAAACAGGATGAAACTGAAATATCACTGCGGCTAAGGTGGCGGATTCGACAATTTCCTTGTCTCCAGCCGGACGGACTCTGAACATGCGCTCGCCAAGGCTTGCTGCCCCAGAGAGTGCCGTTGGCGCTTACTTAACCCGTGGAGATGGCCAGCTCGAGGAGAAACCAGCTGGGTGGGAAGCACACAGTACCCTGAAGCAGGATGAAACTGAAATATCACCGCGGCCAAGATGGCGGATTCGACAATTTCCTTGTCTCTGGCGGGGTTCTGATCATGCGCTCGCCAAGGCTTTCTGCCCCAGAGAGTGCCGTTGGTGCTTACTTAACCCGTGGAGATGGCCAACTCGAGGAGAAACCAGCTGGGTGGGAAGCACACAGTACTCTGAGAACAGGATGGACGACGCCACATGCGGCCATTCTCGGAGTGACCAACTAGTTTCAATGGGGTCGGTTCACGTCGACTAGGGCGGTGTACTTCCGTTCAGAGACCAGAATGGTGCCGAGATCCTCACCGAAGTCGAGTGACCTCGCAGACGACAGAGTAGAGCCGACTTGGTGGAGATGAGGGAGGCACCTTGGCGATCATGAGGGATTGTAGGATGAGAGATCATTGCTAACTTTCGATCCTGCGAAGAAGGAAACGTAATCTCGAGCGTAGTATCTAAGGAGGTAAACCATCTAGTGCTCATCATCCGGCGTAGAGTAACTCCCCGGACGCGCGCGATTGAGAGACCAGAGAGGAGTCAACAGCGCGGAAATTCTACCGGAATACTGATGGGCTCCGAACAGCCGCTTTGCGGAGGATGGAGCTGGCGGATGGAGAAAGGCGCTCAGCTTCACGTCTGATGGATACTTCTGCTTCTTCTTTAATCCCGACCCCCGACCCTTGCTCTCCCATTGAATCATCGGATGATCTGCAATTCCTCTCCGAATCACTGGCAAGTTTGATGGTCTTGTCCCACTTCTTCGGAGAATATCTTCTTTTTTTTTTCAGGTCTTGGTCTTGGTTTCTGGATTTTTAGGGATCCCAGTTGTGCCCGGTCCGTTGACATTTGGGAATCGGGAGGCTTGGTAGCCTGGCAAACTTGCCAGTAATTTTTTCTTGGCGTTGGTCTCGTCCGCTCGGTGCTTCTCGTTCGGATCTGGGAGGAACTAGAAGGTTCACATTTGCGGAGCTTCTGGATTGGTGATCTGCGAACTTAGGTTCATGGTCCGATCTCGGAGAGGACCCGTTTGCAGATTAGCCTCGTTGGTTTGTGATCTGCTGGGAGGCTCTTCGGATACAGGGCTTCTTAGGGTTTCATCCCCAGCTCCACACAGATGAGGATCTCTTTGACAATCTTGTGGACGATGGCAGAGCATGCGCTCCCAGTAGCTAATTCTACTTCAGGTGGCAATGTGGCAGATGTTGATTCGTCTGGATCATCCACGGAGAAGAGTGCAGGATCTTTGGACAAGGACAGCTTGACATCGGTGGATTTGGGCTATACTCTGATGTCCTCCCTAAAGATCCAAGAACAGAGCCACTGATCTCTGAACACAGAGAGGGCGAAAATGAACACTCCATGTGTTTGATTTCATCAGAGCAATTAGATGCTCAGAACTGTGTATTGCATAATGAACGAACCAGAGCTGCAAATGACTGTAACCATTGGGAGAAGATCTACCCCGATTGGAAGCACGACTAATCTGGGCAATGGCATCAAGTGGGCACTCTTCCAGCGATAATGCGTTCTTCATGCGCAACTACCTGATTAAGGAGTATTCTGTGGCAAGTCATGTTACTAATTTGGAATCAGGGTTCTAGTCAGAATATTAAGTACCCATTTTACATGGTATTTGATCCCAATATCCTTGATGGGTTCTACGATAAAAACACTCTGGAGTGGTACACCCTGGAATCTTACTGTTTGACTTTTCAGTCGGCTAGCCACACAATGCAGAACCAGCAAACCAAATATTCTGCTTGTGTCTTCTTGGAGTAAAGTAGAATATCATATGTCGATGTCGCTGACCAATTCTGAAGCCAGATATCTGGTGGTAATCTCGTCATATGGAGGAAGATTGGAGCGGATACCACTGGAATTGTCAACGCTTTTACCAATTTTTATCCTCATGTGTTTGCTGCGGTCTTGGTAGGATTATGCTTGCAATATCTGGTCAAGTTTGACTATGTTGGACCTTTTTTTTTGAATTTTCATATTTTTCATCTTTTTCAGATTTGAGGTTTTTTCATCTATCCTTTATTTGTGTTTGACTTAAACTGATCACACGCTTTGCTAATTCTACATAGGACTGATTTTTATGGAAATTGGAAGACTCTGGAAAACTCCCAGTTCATCTTGACAGATTTTCTGAGGGGATCACGCTCATATGTCCCCAAGGAATGGTTTTCTTCAGGCTGACGCCAGCCGCTAAGGGAGTGATCTCTGACCCTTAAGTAAATTCTTCGTATTTTTCTGAGGCATCATATCACAGATTGATCAAGAGCAGCATAAGGACTATTACTCCTCCCAAAATAATTATATTTTCGGATGATGCCTAAATAATTATTTTCCTGAAAGTAAGAAAATAATTACCCAGTTTTTTCTTAATTTTCTCTTCAGTTTGCTTAACGATGGATATGTAATTATCTCCAGGACAGTATTTAATTCGGGCAGATATTTAAGGAAATTGCTAGATTTGCAGCGGAAGTCTATCTGATAGCCCATCTATCTGATAATCCCGGAAGGGTCGGACCTGGGTAAGCTTAGTTGCCTGATGGTGATGCGAACAACCCCCGCTTTTTATTTATATAGATTTCATCGCTCTCCCTTCACCTGGGTGGGTTGACCAGCGAATGCACAGAGAAAACAGACGATCGATTGCCGTTCGTTATTAGGTGAGAAAAAAATGAATCTCGCGAAGAATTTGCGTTGCGTTTATTGGATGAATGCACACTTGAAAACAATGCCGCCTGTTCGGTCGTAGCGGCGGCGGGGGGTTCCCTCAGGCGTCGGAGGGGTCAAGCCAGTGCCTCCCATTGACGAAGCTCTTCGCCAGAAATGGCCTCGCCGACTGGTAATCCAGCTCCCGCGTCAACGACGCCCCCCGCACCGCCGCCGCTCCAGGGCCCGAGCACCTGTACACACCGAAGAACGCCGTCCTGGAGAGATTCAAGAAGAAGATCAACAATCCGGAAGAGAAATCAGGTCAAGTGTTCTGCGTTTAATCGAAAAATCTTCTCCCTTCCCAGTTCTCTCCTCTGATCGGCGGAGCACACTCGCCTGTTCTTGCCGGTCGTATGGTCCCAGTCGTCCCACCCTCCCTGCGCCACCACGTCGTCGAAGTAGGTGTAGGAGTAGACGATCCTCGAGTACTGTCCCATGGCGCGGCCCACGTAGAGCGGTCCCGTCCCCGTCACCCTGCAATTCACGAACGCGAAGCCCGTCTGCTCGCAGAGGCCCCTCCTGTCCTGCGCCGCGATCGACCCAAACCTCGTTGCGATCGAATGAAGCTGGCAGCTCTGCAACAGCAACGCGCCGCCGCCGTCGGCAACAGCTCCGGCGAAGAAGAAAATACACAGAGGGTGAAGAGGTTTTGTTACCCTGTACATGGAGCGGCCGTTGCCGAAGATGAAGTCGATGGAGCCCTCGATATAGCAGTCCTTGAAGTAATGGCGTCCCGCGTCGTCACAGAGCGTGTCCTGCGCGCCGTAGAAGCCGCAGCCGAGGAAGTACGCCTTGTCCCCGGATATGCGGAACGCCGCGGCCTGCCACCCCTCCATCCCTGGCAACGGCGCCGGCGCCGTGTTCTGCAGACCACCGGCACCACTCGTTTCAGCAACCATGGCGGTGATGACTGAAGCAGAATCTTCCGCAGAGGGAAAGAGCTGAGCCGTTTACTTTACCTTGAAGCTGATGTTTCTGGCGCTGAAGTGACTGGCGAGAACAGTGACAGAAGCCGTGTTGTAAGTTCGAAGCTGCTGGCCGTCGGGGCCCCGGTCGCTCGCCCTGTCGTGCCACTCGATCACCGTCGTCCTCCTCCCCGCCCCTTGAAAGGTGATGTAAGGCTTCGTCGCTGGAATCACGACCTTCTCTCTGAAACAGGAAGATGACGACGGACGGGAGGATGGTAAGTAATGGAAGCCCATCACTGAGAGTTGCAGGGAGCAGGAAGGTTTACAACATGTACACGCCGGCGCGTATGTTTATGAGGACTCTGTGCCGGTTGTTCTCCGGGACAGAGTCGATGGCGTCTTGAACAGACTGAAAGTCGCCTGAGCCGCCACCGTCGACGGTGATCTCGCGCCAGCCAGTCGGGCCGACCCATCTGCGGTGGCGGCGTGCGACGGTGGAGTTCGCCTCACAGGCGCTGAGGTAAGGCGGGAGGGTGACGAAGATGCAGAGAGCGAGGAGTGTCACGAGATGAAACTCCATTATGGATGTGACGGATCTCAGCCAGAGAAAAAAGATGCAGAAGATGCAGGAGGAGGACGAGGAGATGAAGAAGACAGTCAGATATATCTGTGCTCCGGCGGGTGGGAGGCTCCGTGGTCGACCCAACGGTCGTCTCTCTCCTTTTTCCCCGAGACCTTTTCACCCATCCTGCTGTGGAAGTGGTGGTCCGATCAGGGTCCTGTCAGCGACAGGACCACGTGGAGAAACCCGACGGGAACGGCTGGCTGGGCCGGCCAGAACATGGCCGGCGGCCCTCCACCGGTGGAGTAGGAGCTATGGAAAACTCAGATGGCTGCCCCTCGAGAATCCTCCCTCCCACGACCCACTTCCTCTGCCGGAGACGGAAGAGTAAACGTCACCGATATCGCCGGAGATGTACCAGCAGAAGAAGAAGAAGACAGCCATGGCCAGAGAGGAACCGCTGCCGTCTGAGTCACGGGCTCTTCTCCTCCTTTCGATGAAAACCAGCTCTGGCAAGCGGCGGGGCCGACCATGGCACCGCCTCAACGGTCGCCTGCCCCCAACCATATATCTGCGGTGCGGCGACAACGGGGCGTGGGGAGGAGGAAGAGGATGGAGAAAAAGACGACCTTTTCCGTTTTGTATGGTATCAAAAGCTGGCCCCCACCTGAAGCCAGAGCAGAGTCTTTTTGTTGTGTCCGTTGCTGCGACGGCGGCGACGGCGATGAGAAAACGGAATGCCGCTGCCTGCGACGGCGGCGCTGGAGGGCAGAGATCACGTGGCCGACCGAAAGCGCTGGTGAAGGTCACTCAGTCATATCTGTGAATAAATTTCACTGTCTCGTGCTTATCGTTTCGGAAGATAGATGCCCACCAATTACTTTGTTGAAGAAGATGAGCTGGCCGGCAGCATCCTTTGACTTTGTGTCACGTCTCTGATCTTGTGCATGTCTTTGACCTGGTTTTTACCATGCACGAGCCCAAATGGGTTATCCCTCCGACTTTCTGGGATGTCATCAGCCACCAGCTTCCCAAGTACTAATCAGGATTACTTTCTACCATGAAATTCAATCGATTACAAAAAATCCAAAAAAGGTTTTACCAAGTTTTATTTTTTTACGCAGAATCTGCATCTAAATATCTCAGCAGACGAAATTTTATAGAAGAAAATGAAGATTGTGATCCAGTAATCTGGCTAAATTGTATGATTCCAAAGCATCTTCACCTGAAACTTTTTATTTGGTCATGGAAAGAACAAATTGGCCCAGTTGGGTATGCTAATAGGCTGGTTGTCCCCCGGGAGGTGGGAGAGAGGGCGACACCTGGTCGGCCAGGGAGTGTCAGGATCAGTTATCGGAGTACATCCGCAGCGAGGATGCTGCAGCGGCTACTCTTTCCCTGCTCTTCGCCGGCGGCGGCACCGCCACCGGTAGCAGCTCTGTCGCCCTGTCCTACCCCATCTGGAGTCCCTGGGTGGACCCTGCAGCGGAAATTTGAGAGTAGATCGCCGTGTTGCGGCCGTTACCCCTCTTTTCGTTGGGGTGATAAGGCCGCGGGGAACGTGAAGGTGGCGTCCTCTCCCCGTTCTCTGGATGATGGGCTAGCGGCTAGCGGGGTTCTCCCTTCTGACCCCGCTCTGCTGCCGAATGCCCTCCGGCGGGAAAGACACCCCACATGGAGCGTTGGGTTTAGCTTGGGTGTCGACTTGGGGAATTCCAGGACCGGTCTCGCCCTTGGGAAGGGCCTGGCCCCCCCTCGACCCCTCATCGTGAGCGAATACGGTTCCTTCCGTTCCTCTTTCTTTTCTTTGATTCTCCATTGAGTTCCTCGTTTTTCTCAGTTCCGTTCCTCTAGCAGGTGTTGGAGATGCGGGGGCAGAAACTGGAGACACGCATAATGGAGATTGCCAAGCGAGAGGTCCGAGCGGGGGAATTAGGGCTTCCATTTCCATTTCGGTTCTTGACGATCCTATTTTCCCGCTAATTTTCGTTTTTCGAGAAATTCAGGAGGTGGATGAGTTCATCATTGGGCTCCCGAGGTCTCACGATGGGAAGGAGACGGTGCAGTCGAACAAAGTCCGTAGCATTGCAGGAAGGCTAGCCGTGCGCGCTGCGGAGAGGTGACCGCTGTTTCCTTCTCTCTTCTGTTCTTCACTTCTACCGTTCTTCATTGATATGCTCAGTTATTTAATCATTCGGAAGCTATATTTCCATCTATGGTGCATTCATTTTCTTAGATGACTCCAACCTTCTGATTGATTCAGCGGCTGGAGAGTTTTCCTGCAAGATGAACATGGGACGTCAGTGGAGGCCCTTGACTATATGATAGATACGTAAGTTCTTTCAGTCGGTATCTGCTTCTTGACTCTCACTCAGCTTGAGCTCATTGTCACCTGCTTGCGATTTGATCCTCGGTGTGATTAGCAAACCAGCACACTGGAGCTGTGGGTTCTACAGCTATCTCACACACTGGCTGCAGTTTGTGGAATTTTTGGTTGAGTTTGCTCCGCCAAATTGCCTTATAAACATGAACTCCAGTAATCTGTGATCTAGATGGAGATTTTTTATTAAAAATGAAATCAAATGAGTATTTCACTCTTCTCTCTCCCCTTCTGACGACCGCTGATGAAGGTTGGATATTTACTGATTTCTACATCTTCCGAGGTCTGTAGATTGAGATGAAATCATAAAAGCTATCAGAACTTAAATGCCTATTTCTTTTATCAAAGAGGGTGTGATGACGATTACACCATACAAATGTATTCCTTTGAATTTTTGTTCAACAATGGTAGATGTAGAAGTTACAGCATAAATATTTTATCAGTTTCTTCTCTTTTTTGTCTCAATAACCTGTTTTCCATCCCTTGGAAGAAACCAATCTTCACAAAGACTGCTGTTTTTAATCCAATGATATCTTGCAGAGTCACGAATCTGGCAGTCTAAACCAAAATTTCCTCTCTAATTATGGATTCTGATGATGGTTTTAAGAGTGGAAATGAAATTTTCTGTTTGCTTTACCTTCCAGGGGTCTGAAGAGGTCTGCTCGCCAAGGGAAGATCGACTCCTACGCCGCAGTGGTATGAAACTTTTCTCCATATAAAGTGTTCTGAGGCGTACTTCTTCAATTTTCCCTGTGGTCTTTACTTGCCAATTTTCCTCAGATGGTACTGGAGAGATATTTCTCAGCCCAGGGTCATGAAGCTGAGCTCGTCCTTCCCAAGCAGTTGGAGCTTCTAAACATGCTTAGACGAGGGCCATGCCAAGACGAAGATTTCTTGACCTGAAGTCGTCCCCTCCAGTGCCAGGAGTTCCATTCTGGAAGCTTTTTTGTCGTGTAGTCTTCAAAGGGCACGAAAGCGCCGGCCTTGGCGATCTATGGAGTCTCTTCAACGGCCGAGAGGAGGTACCACATGAGAATCTTATTGAGGAGCCCTTCAGTCTGGGTACTTTGCTACGATCGGCTGATGCTTGATTCAATCCCTGAACCAATCGGAGAGGCGTTCTGAACATGCTCTTCATTGGGAGTGTTAGAGGTCATTGACCAGGCCATGCGCAGTCTAATGTGAAAGGTTTTTGACCTTTTTCTCACCCATTTGGGCAGATGAATTTCTGGCATTATTTCTCCGAACTTAGCCGGCGTATTGCTACCAACCCATGTAATTATTCTTCAGCTTTTGATCTCCGTATTGGGGAGGCGCAGCAGGCCCAGAGAAATGCCCAAGCTAACAGGTTCTTAAGCCGAATCCTCGTGAAGATCCTCAACCCTTCTCATTTATACACCCCCGTGTGTAATATAACACTCGCATCTTCTACATGTATGATGATCTGTTGTATTTCTCCAAAGAAATAAGTACAATTTTTCAACGCTCAGCAGAGTTTGACGGACTCTGGCAGCTGGGAGGCGTCCCGCCGCAGGGAGCCCATCACCTTCGTCGCCGAGACCCAAAGAAAGGGGGCGCAGCAGAAGGCGTAGCCGAACACCGCCAGCGCTCTGACGATGCCGTCGGAGTACCAGGGCCACGCCATGACCGCAAGGGAGCCGGCGATCGCCATCCACGGCGTGAGCACGGCCACCGGCGGCAGGAGGAATGCGCCGGCGGCGACAGAAGCCAGCGTAGAGGAGCCGAGTAAGTACAGCGGCCAGCCCACGAGAGGGTGAACCGTGCGGGGGATGAGCAGGAAGGGCGCCGTGTAAGCCGCCAGGAGGCACCAGACGACCGCTCCTCTGATGACAACATGGAGAAAGGCGGAGCATTTCTCCGGCCGCCGGCTGCAGCACAGCTTCGACAGGTTCCCCCGTGCGAGCCTGGTGATGGCCATGATCGCTATGTACAGGACGGCTTGGGCTATCGCGGCCGAGGCCTCTGCGCCGTACCTGTTCGACAAAATGCCTCAAAGGGCTTAGCTATACTCGTTGGCATCAATCTCGCGAGGCAGGTATTACTGCGGTGTGTCTCTCACCCAAGCGAGCTGCGGCGCTGCTCGTGCCACAAGAGGCCCAGTGGCAGCACCGGCCACGACCACCAGTACCAGGGCTTCAGCAATGGCGCGCTGGGGAAGGTGATCACGCTGTTCGGCCCGCATGGAACCCTCCACCGGAGCTTCAGGTCTGCACCAGACAAGGCGCCGTCTGAGTGATTCGTGATTCTCTCTCATCGTCGGGAAGAGATGAGAGAAAGGGTGAGAGAGGCGCTTACAGTAGTAGGAGGCATCCATCTGGTAGCCCAGAGGAAGCCGGTAGGTGCCCTCGAGCTTAGAACCGTTCCCCGGCGGATGAAACATCGTTCTGTCCAGCAGGTCAGGGAAGTAGCTCACAAGGAAGCCCTGGTCTGCTCCATCCCGGTTCCTCCTGCCGGCTTCCAGCTCGTGAAGCATGTCCTTGAAGACTTCGGCCGACGGCTGTAGTAGCAAAAGTTGAAAAACCTCCGCCAGTTAGGTGAAGGTGGCCGGGTTTGCAGAGAAGAAGATCCCCCCCTTCAAGACGCACCTTCAAGACGAAGAGCCCCGTGTGGAAGATGCAGGGGTTGATGAACACGGCGCAGAACTCGCCGCAGCCGAAGAGCTCGTCGGTGTTCTGGAGGAAGATATTGTCGGCGTCGAGCATGACGATGCGCTCGTACTCCACCAGGCTCCACGCGTAGAGCTTATTGAGTGTCAGCCTGAATCTCTGGTTGAAGTTTCTCTGCTGCTCGTAGGGATTCCTTAGGTTTTCCACCACCACCACCTTCACCCCGTCTTCTTCCTTCCTGCACACGACATACGGGGTGTAACGGCGGCGATAATGGCCGTTTTCACTTTGTGCGGAGGAAAAGGAAACTAACAGTGCTCGCTGCCATGCGGTGGGGACGTCGGCGGAGGCGATGACGAGGAGGTCGGCTGCGGCGTTGAGCTTCGCGAGGGACCTCAGCATGACCCGCGTGGCGACGTAGAACTCGTAGTCCCTCGGCGTGCCCATGTAGATCATGGCAGCGTAGGCGTGGCGGTGGTGGTGCGATCTCTTCCCTTCCTCAACCTCCACCGTCGCCGATGGTGGCTCCTTCGCCGCCGGCGCCTGCAACTCCGCCGCAGCGTGCAGGCCGAGCTGCAGCACCACCACCACCGCAACGAATGTCCGCACGAAATCTCCCGGTTGCTCCCGCCGCCGGGCCCAAGAGCCGTTCGCCATCTCTGGCAATTCGAACGAGCGCTGGAAGTTCGAAGGCAGCTCAACCTCTTCCTGCTGCTTCCGACGGGGGAGAAGGGGAGACCAGAACTCTTAAGAGAAACCCATTGAGAGAGAGAGAGAAGGTAGAAGAAGATATTTTGCGGGATGTAAGTGGAAACACGCAGAAGACCCATTCCGGTCTCCGACGCTGGCGAAGATATATTACTTGAAAAGGCGGGGATTTTTCCAAAAAAGCAAACTGCTTTCCGGAAACTGTAAGTTGCATCGGGGATTGCCTCAAACTTTCTGATCTTGGAATGCATTGGGCTGAGCCCATTCCAGAGCAGACTCTCTCCTCATCTCTCTCTCTCTCTCTCTCTCTCTCTCTCTCTCTCTCTCTCGCTCGCTAGGATAGGTAAATGCGGAGGGAGGATCAGGGTGGGGCTATCTGGGCCGAGCCTTGGACGCTTGACTCAGCCCGGACCGCCGAAAGGGCCGTACTACCACCAGACAACATTATGAAAGAAACGTGGTTTCGGTTTGACTCGGCCCACGTGTGGCGCCGCCACCTCGTTGTGGCCCACATACGGAGCCCTAGTCAGGAACGGCGAGCAGGGACAGAGGTAAGCGGGGTGGGGGGTGGGGGGGTGGGTATTCTCTGACTGGATCCTTCCCCAAGTCAAAGCTTCCCGCTCTCAGGAGGTCAGATACAGTTGGACTCGCGAAATGATAGGCGTTAACTTTTAAGGTAACCGAAAGAACAGTTGGACGACAGTACACCAGCCTTTGTTAAGAGGCCCAGGTCCGACTTGCCCCATTGAAACCCCTAAGGGGGGGTAGAGAGAGAGAGAGAGAGAGAGAGAGAGAGAGAAGGCGGCTGCTGGGTTCCAAGAGAGCTAGAGTCCGATGGCTGGTCCGCAGCGCCCTTCTCTGCAACGCCGTGAAGCTTTGGCGAACTGCGTTCGATTGACGATGGCTCAAGCTTGCAGCGATTTCCCGAGGGAGTCCTCTCTTATTCTCTGCTAGTGCAACGCATTATCCGTGAGTTGACTTTGAACAGAGCGGCCGGCTAGGTTTGGTATTACTCCATGGACTTTGAACAGTCGTAGATCTTGATTCCAAGATAAACGGGAGATGACAACAGTGGAACCAAAGTTCTTTGCCTCGGCGAAGATCTTGGTTTAGAAGGAACCGTCTCTCACTAACTCTAGCAACAGTAGTTGACCGGTCGGAAGTTCTTCACGATGATCATTCACATCATTAACACTGAGAAACAAGGGGGGAGCTTTCTTTCACAGGACGAGCATGGAGACCGCATGGAGGCTGTCCTCGTCGGGGCCGGCCCACCGCTGGCCGCCGTGAGCCCTGCCGGAGACCACCAGCCGGAGGGTCCTCCCCCACCGGCCATCGCCGCCACCGGCGGCGGCGGGTTGGGCGTGGAAGAGAATCCGGCTGAGCCGGAAGAAAAACAGCCTGGAGGAGAAGGCCAGGTCCCCAAGCACCAGCGGCGCGTACCGGCGTGCGGGGATCTTGAGCAGGAAGGGGACCAGCAGCACCATCAGGAGCTGGCCACCGCCGTGGCCGGCGGCTGCGAGAAGCGGCAGCACCATCGGTAATGCCGGTGGTCTGTCTCCTGTGCAAGCAGAGAACACCATTTTTGATATTTAATATCTCCTCCCACAACCATCTCCTCCGTCTGATTTTGCCAAAAAAAGCTTCCGGACTAAGTAACCCAGAAAAACTTGTGTTGAGGGAGGAAGCCGGAGGATGAAAGCTAGGCTTTGGAAGAGAGCGAGGTCTTTCTGGCAGGAGACAAGAACCCAGCTTCAAGGAGGCTCTCTCTTTGGGTCCCACAGGGTTGCCTGGTGTGAGCGACAATCTGAGTTGCTCTCTCGTGTTCTAGATGGTACACAGGGCAGCCCAATCCTCTCACGAGTTTCTTCTGGGACTGCGACTGCCCTGGTGCCCACGTGGAGGGTTTCGAATCCGGTGGTCGGTCCCACCTGCGAGACCAACAGGGCAGTTGACTTGATATTGAAGAAAGAAGGGGCGGCGGGGAACTCCCGCATAATGTGAAGTAAAAACAGAGGTTGTGGAAACTATGATCGATCAAGATGATCGTCTACAAAGCGAGATAGCCGATCTCCAAAGAGGTCAGAACAGCCTAGTCGGAGCAAGTAAACTATAGCCATTTAGGTCCGCAGGGACCAAAGTCAACTGCATTTGAGATCTTATCCGCTTCAGTCAAAGGATACAAGAGCTACCACACACTGAAAAATATGGTATTGAAAAACGAATAAGAGTAGCTTTAAAGGTTTTTATTATTATTATTATTATTATTTATTTTTACCGTGGTCCAAAAGGGTGGAAGCACAAGGAGCCTCTAAAAGAATTTTATGACAGAAAAAATGTAAGTGGGGGGCTTCTGTCCATACCTTCTGGTAAAGGAGGATTGTGATGCCATGCTTCCTGTTTGGACTCCTGTCCAGAATTGATGCCTCGAAGTACCACTACTGATTAAGCGCATAAACTCCATCAAGCAGTTGGGTTCGAATCTGGCGAGGTGCAGAAGGGCAGAGCAGGTTAGGAGGCGATGATGTTTAGAGGTATTATGTCACTTATCAGAAGAATGTGGAAACTTTGACACAGACGTCAAATATAGAGGTAGTGTTGACCCTTTAGAACTCATACCAACTGGGAAAACCTATAAGACTATGATCAATACTTCACACCAAAAGGGAAACAACATTCTGCTGTTTAAGCCCATCAAAGATGAGGCCTAAGCCAGGTACAGTGCCTTTGGAGACCTGCATGTCTGATCCGAGTTCCTTAGCTTTATCAAGTTCAGATTCAGAAAAATAACAAAAAAAAATTTAAGCGCCCTTTATTAAAAGCCTGTGAAAACCTTTATGAGCATCCGGCGATTTCAAAGCTGTCCTGTGCAGTTCTTAGAAAAGAAATCAATCTGATTAAATTGACCCAGTGCTAGACCATAGATCATGGTTGGAGCATTTAAAATTTTCCAGTTCCAGAATATTAGATAAGAACGAGAGCTTTTTGTGCTGGAAGTAAATTCTGGACAAGAATTGTGAAACTGTTCCGCACTAAATCAAGCAGATGGCCTTGAACATGCTCAAACACATGTTACGATATGAAAATTGCTTTAGTGCAGTCTTATCCTCCAAAGTACCAAGAAGCAAAGTCTAATGACTGGCTTTCGTGCATGATGCAAAAGCAGGAGAAAAGTCGCTAACCTTCGACATAATGATCTGGGCAGTGACGTCACTTCTGAGCTTTAATGTTTAGCGACTCTTGCGAGGGAAACTCAGGAGTTCCTGGAATGCGTGTCTGGTCTCAATCCCACCGATAGACCAGCAAAACAATGGCGGGAAAATGCACTGGCAGGTGCTACAAAAACCTTTTCTAGCTTCCTTCATCATCCTGCTGAAAACAGCTCCTTTACTCATTAGGGAGAGTTTCTTGACTCATGATGGGTAAGTCGCATTCTCAATTTGCACGAGCTAGTGCTTAATTTAAAGAAAAATGGTTTTATTACTAAATGCCAGAAAATATCACCAATGAACAAACACTGACAATTTGATGAGAAGTCAACATAACTGAATTAACCAAGGAAAAATATTCGCATTTCCTTAGTTGGATCGTTTCTGTTTGCTATTTTGTTAATATCTCCAGAAGAAAGTTGATAGAATGAGACAAGGCCCTTCATAAGTAAGCATGTAATATAAATAATACTAGAATGATAGCCAAGAAAAGATAGATAACACTTCAAAATAGTCTATAGATTGCAACCAACTCTGACTCATCCTTAGCATTGATACGTTTTGTCACTTTCTTACGAGTCTTGGACATGAATATTGGACAAGTACCTTTTTGTATAAAATTAGGTTAGATTGACATCATATGCCTTAACTTGACTCAATGCAAAAGCTGTTTCTGAACGACTAATATGTGGATTCCAAAATTTACATCCTTGCCCTGGAATCTGAAAGGTGTCCTAAAGATGATAGAAAGATAAGCTTTATTTGGGGAAATACCAGCAATTCTATTCACTATTTGATGTTTCAGTATTCTTGCACACGTTTATCCTCTAGCTGTAAATACAGATATTAAAGTTATTCCTCTCAAATTATCACCTTGATATATCGGCGAGGAAGCTGAATGTTCTTTTGTAATCCATGGGGAGTTTTGACGTCGTTTACGTTTCCAATGGACCAGAAAAGTGACCATTCACAAATTTATGTCCCTGATTTCTCTTAAATGAGAAATATTACGATTGGTTACCAATAGAAAAATGAACAATCTACCCAATATGTATAAATTTTACGAGCTACGAATGTTTCTCATCACTAAAAGAAAATTGAAAATTTCACTGGAGGCCAAAAAGTGGATGGGATTACCTGAGAGCATAGCTTGCAGAAGACAAGAAAACGTAGGCATTCGGGAGATTTTATGTATCAATTTTCTTCAGCACAGTCTTGAAGTGGGAATGTTCAGTTAAGGGAATCTCCTTCCTCTTCCATTACATAATCGTGGTTCATCAAATGTGACGTAGTAATGGGCGAGAAGTACGATAGATGGAGGGGGATATCTCACAAACAGCGGAGTTGTACTCGCTTATGAGGAAATACCAAAATCAGGCATCAACCTATAGTAAAAAATGGCAGGGATGATTATGTAACCATACCATATTATGTACAACGTTTAAAATTAAGGTGCTACCAGTGACATGCTACTAAACGCAATAGACTTCAAAATACTTGTCGAAATAGTTACCTCCCTTGAGTAATCAAATTGTTTTTACGACGATCAAGTGCACTCACAATCTATGCTGGGGATAATCTTTCGCAGTAGCCTAAAAGGCACATGATTTTTCGAATCAGAGCCACTGGGCAGGGATGTTAATTGATTATCCATCACAGAATAAGCGTCAGCAAAAGCCTGCAACATATAACTCAGAAAATTAAATCGTAGATTCAGAAAAACTTATTGAGGTTGCGTCGACTCAATGGACAAAGTCATATGAAATAGCAGCTTGGTGGACAATGAGACAGATTGGTGGACAATAGACATGTTGAAAATCAGCTCTCCAAGATGTGAGGAAAATCTGTACTAGAGTCAAGATTATTAAGGCAACTAAGTTCATAATGGTGGTGGTCCAGGGCCTACTGTCTATGCAGCGAGGCAAGGAACTCAGGTGACCACTTTCCAAAACGCATAAAAGATACCAGTAATATATTAGTATCTGTACACACTATTAGCATCATAAGAACACGTCCATTAAATATTTATGTCATATATTTAATTTTTTCTTATTCAAAACACAAACTATCTGATTTTTAAATTTTATGAATATTTATTTTATATATACAATAACAACAATAAAACGTGAAAGGAAAGTACCGTTCAGCTATGTGGCCAGGACGGTTTGATATTACCTTGAATACATTGATAAGATCGAAAAAATACACCAGATACAAAATTCTCAACATGGAAGGGTCAACTCTGTCGTCGTTTCAAAGCAACCTTGATGAACCAAAAGAAAAACTCTATCCACCAACCAGTTTGAAGGCCTATAAGTAAAATGAGTGATAAAGTAATACATCGTGTAACATCTAGATAATGCCTAGAAAAAGACGTTCCAACTGAATATCACGACCTTTTAAAGCAATTAAGTCCTCTAAATCTTGGATGCCAAGAAGGTGGATTAGTCAACGTAAATAATCACAAGATCGTCAAATATAACACCTCAGAAGAAAGTAGCAGCGATTGCAGAAGTTAGATCCTAACCTTGATGCATTGATGTATACGAAAGCAGTTTTTCCCCACGTTATTTGTTGGACAAAGAGGATCATCAATGTGAATTGGATCAATGCTGCACACAAATTCAAATTATCAAGGAGTAACTTGAAAAACCAAATGAGAGTCAACATAAAAAAAACGTTTTTAAATTGGTAATGAGTTTACCAATACAGAATGAATATCAGGAGAACGAAAGTAAACTTTCCCATATCTAAAGAGGTTTCCTAACCTGTGTCCTCTTTCTCTTTTCATATAGATCCCACTTCCTTGAATTGACACGTGCATTTGACGAGGATCAAACACATTTCTGACAACAAATAGAAATCTTGAAATCATTAGATGACTGCAGAAGCCTGAAAAACATTTTCACAAGTCTGAAGAGGAGGTCATGATTCCTGGCTTAAGTGCCTTCGATGTAAAGGAATTCGATTGACGAGCGACATTGGTGCTTACATAAAATATTAAAAAAATGGAAATAAATTTGAAAAGTCCATTTTTACTGTGGACGGTATATGTTTGTAAAACGCCTAAATGTTTGATAGTAAAAGTGTCTGTACAATAACGTTCCGTTAATACATGTTTTCTCATTCATTAACAGATTGATCATAGACTCCATCCCCTCAATCGAGTCAGCATTGAAAGAAGAGTAACAATTTTAGTCTTCAAATAATATCCACACCAATATTTTTATCAAGTCAAAATAGAAGGATTACATATGCATGCCTATTCGATCCATTTATTGCACACGTGGATGCCTAATAACAACACATTACCATAGACAGATGTCATCTAAGACTTGATCATAGGTGGAACATGAGAAACAAAGTTTAGCATCAGTGTGAGAAAAAAATTAAGAAATTACAATCCAATAACACTTTGAATTACAAGGCGAAGCAAAAATCGAATGCAATAATTACCCGTAACGTTTGATATATTCCTTAATAAAGAGAATCTCATTAGAAAGAATTATATGTCAGAACTTATTAGCTGCAACAGGCATACCCAAAAAAGTAGAGAAAGTCCATCAGTAGGCTTCCCAGATTCTGAAAACCAAAGATATGAAACAAACGAATTAGACTGTGATATACATCCCAAATTACAAACACCAGAGAAGGGTATTCTGAAGCAAAGAAATCATACAATAACATCACTATCTTCACAAATAAAGTTATCACGGCTGAGTCATCAATGATAACATATCTATCTTGACTGATGAGCGTTCAATAGACCCGAGAGAAGCTGAACCACCATACAACATGTAAACACTAAAGAAATTATGGGATTCTCATATTTTAGCCAAGATGCATCTAGTTTCCAGGAAAGGAAGTAGCTTTGACAGCCACTTGTTCTATGAACCTATCTGGGATGTTTTTCAAGAGTGATCAATACCATGTATCATCATCTATACCAGCAAAAACAAGAGAAGGCAGAAGAGAGGGCTTTTCGGCAGCCACAAGATGAAACGATAGGCAACAGTACTCTTGCCAATCATTATTTGAGAACTACAGTTCTTTCTCTTCCTAGTCCTCTTGGCTTCTTTGGTCTTCCAGTAGGGTTTTTTTCAAATCTAAACTTCAATGTCATCACTAATCGTGGAATTTGGAAAATCAAATACATTCTTCAAGGTTGCAATATTCATCTGAAGGAGAACCAAAGGGGTTAATCCTCCACCAAGCCCATTATATGATTGCTGCCACCAAACACACAGAGAAGAAAAGTAAATGATAAAGCAGGATAAAAAATAAGAGAACAACAAGTCAGACGAGTATGCTTTGTACAATATTTAACAAAACAGGTCCAATCATGTCCTCCATATCTTCTTAATTTTCTCGTGTTGTTTGTCTAACTCACATGCTTCATTTCTTCATACTGATTATTCTATATAGGCCCATTCGCAGAACCATAAGCGCTCTAGAGGCATCAACAGAGTCAACAAAATCTGTAGGAAAACAGTTATCACATGAAAGCTTTCGGGAAGGAGGATAGTAGCTTCAAGTGACAGATTCCCACACTCTTAACATGGTTACCAGACAGAAAAAAAGTCCCAACAGTTGGTGACATGGAGGCGGTCCAGAGAAGTGATGAACAGACTTTGCTGCGCTTGTTTGAATGTTAATTTTGAGCAGCACTCTATCTATATTGCAATTTAATGACAGTCAAAAACGAATGAAAAACGGATCACTGCCCTCGTAAAAAATGCTACATCAATGTAAGTTCACAAATAAAAGTTCTTTCTGTCTTTCATCATTCAGGTACTCCTTAAAGAGAAGGAAAAAAAGAAGAAGTATCAGTCGAGTAGTAGTGAGAATTAGCCTGGTTCACCTCATCTATGTCACAGTTTCAATGAGCAAAACAAACTCTACACGCGAATCAGACTCACAAAATGTCCAAAATTTTATTGTGAAAGAAGGTTTTAAGCCCCCATCACATCACCTCGAGGTGACTGCAATATTCTGATGGATCAATCTAAAACGATAGGTGCAAACACAACCAAAATGGGTAGGTGCCTATATGACGCTACATATTAAGTGCACTTATTTGTGCCTGAGAAAGGAACAATGCTGTAACGGTTGAAACAAGCAAACCAAAGGTTTTCTTACTTGACTATTGGAACGACCAAGATGGTGCTCATGCTGCAGAAACCGTATAATCAATAAAACCTGCACAAGGCTGGCAGATAAGGAACATCCTCAAGTTGAAGAAAAACACGAAAGTAAACTAGGAATATGAGCATAAAAGTCATCATTATCAAATATAACTTTTAGGTAGCATGAATGACGTGAAGGCATTTCCTAAAAATGTTTTCAAAAGGTTGCTAAAATATGGGGGGAGAAAACGTGAACAAGAATATTGAGTATTGTACAAGTACTGGAGCCATAAAAATGTTATAGAGGAAATTTTAGAAAAATAATAATTTATCTAATTTTATTTAGAAGGCCATCAACATTCTGTCAGGTCCGGAACTGTTGGGCCCAATACCAGGCCCAATGTCTGGGTTACTTAAACCTGGAGAGGGAAAGTTAAGAGGTAGGTGGGTCAAAGGAAGCTGGGGCAAGGGCCCATTAAGGAGTATGGGTATAAAGACCCTTAGAAGTCCTCATTGTGGGGAACTTTTGGGAGAAGTCAGCAGGAGAGTGGGGCGCTCTCGAATTCGTCCCCAACTGTTCAAGGGTTTCCCCCGGAAACCTTCTTCTGTTCTGTTCTCTTATCTATCTCAGTGGAGTTTAATTCCCATTTCTCTTAGTTGATTTCCTCTGTCGCTACCATTGTTCTGTCGTTGTTTTAGTCCCTGCTGTGGGATCCTAACACATTCGCATTGAAGGCGAGAAAATACAGGCTCAAAATAAAAAGAGAAAACAAAATTACAGAAGTAAAAACTTAATGTGTACTTGAAATGTCGTAGTTAGATAACCAGGCAATGACACAAGTCCAGTATAGTTGGACAGGCACTATGGAGGTTAGATAGCCAAAGGACCTCCGCCAGCAACAGATTTAATATGAAGTAATGTCCACGGTCTTAAGGTTTGCTGCAAAAAATCATAACAAGAAGACTCGGTGCCAGCCTAGGGGCATTCCACCGCACATGAAGAATGTGTAGTTTTAAAGTGCAGTGACAGATTTCAGTTTCCTGTAAGCTTTTTACAGAAACATCAGTGCTGGTCCTCAAAAAAGGGATGTCATGATAAAATGAACAATGAACCGGACAATCCAGGAATTCTATAATCCAGAAATTCTACAGTATTAATAGGATTGAGTAACGGGCATGGATTTCTAGCATGGCTCGGAGTGAAAACTTTGATTTGTAATGGCCAAAGACACTTCTTAATGTGAAGTCTAACCGTTCTGTGATTGAATAGCACGAAACTAGTGTTTTCTCATTCAAAATTCTTGGTAGAAGACGAAAGCAAAGGTATGTTCTTGCTGCAGACAATTTTCAATCTGATGAGTCATAGCCCTACAGAAAAATGATGAAATGGGACACGTTGGCAACACGAGTTGTCTGATAACTAGTCCAAAAAAATTCACCCCATCCAAGGAATATAGATCTTAAAAACAGAGAAAAAAAGCAAAAAAAATTATGACTGGGCGAAGTTTCAACCAAAGAATTGAATGAGTTTTATTTGGGTTACAGGCAGATTAAGCTCATAATTCAGCTGTTGGATTCAGCAGGATCTAACCCGAACGGAATCCAGAAATTTTATATTGAATCCTCTCTTTCACATCCCATCACTGAGGTCAGATATAGAATCAAACATTAAAGACCCAACGAAGTTGGTGAAAATGAGATTCCGATGTCAGATCAGCTGATGCCAAACTAATCATCAATTCCACAAACGGGATTCATACGAAGTAGGTAGGACAGAAACACCTGATACGCTCCATATTGATAGTCAGCGATCAAAATATTAGAGGTTATTTCATTAAGGAAAATACGAACCGTTTCACCGAAAAATAATTCTTTATTAATCTGTTTGATATATGCAGAGTAAAAATGGTGAGCAGAAAGTTCGCCAAATAATGGATAAATATTGAAGTAACAATGCACAGCTTTTGAGAAAATATTATGAACAGGAAAATAATAGATGGGAAACCAACACTTAATAAACAAAGAAGGGAGATGAAAAATGAAGAAATCTGACCAAACAGTAAGAACTCAAACCGCCAGAGTACGAGTGATCCAAATTACGATCTGCCAAGAATTGTTTGAGGACCAAAGCCAGAGGGATGGATGCAGGAAATTGCTCAGTAAGCTGCCGAACCTGAACACAGAACCAAGAAATGATAAAATAGAAGCTTGAAACATGAACAGCCTGCATAAGTGAATCTAAGAGAACAATGGATAGCAATAGATGATTAACTCATCTTTTCACTTATTATAATTGTCTACCGAAGTCAAGATATTAATGTAATGTTTTATCTGGAAGGATATAAAAAAAATCCTCTTCCGCAGTTCAGCAGGTTAAAAATTTGAATTCACCAGATTTATTAAAATAATTTCATCCTTTCATAATTTCGTGGGTTGATATGAAAACTAGTGATAATCAGAGAATGATTTTATAATTTTCGAATAGATTTTAAAAGGACTATCTGCCTGCGTCTCTAATCCGGAGCCCTCAAACACCTCTACCCTAGGACACTGAGGAGAGAGGGAAAAAGAAGAACAAAAAAAGCAGGGGTTGGTTCCCACAGATGGTGGTCCGGCTGCCACAACTTTTCCTTTTTTCGTCCTCCCTTCTACTTTCTACTAATCCTGGATTCTTGGCACCATAAACCAGAGGGAACCAGTTGTACCAGCCAGAGCCGGCAAGTTTAATGCATTGACTATTTTTTTCATGCAATTCTATGAATATTGTCAGACTGATAGAAAAAATGGCTGTTGTGATACAAATTATCTGACGTAGATAGAAATCTCTGGAGACAAAAGCCATTTTGTGCTGTAAATCTCACTTATACAAATTAGCAGGCAACTTAAAATTCAAGTGCATATATTTAATGTGGACCTATAAATCCAAAAGGGCTAAATTATTGCCCTCTAATATTAAGCATATAGACTACTGAAAAGATAGCTGTACATCTCTTCTTTAGAACGGAAGATTTAAGAATGCAAGTAAATGGTCTAACATTTTGCAATTAATACCAGAGAAAATGTTTTTAAAAAAGTGCAAATCAAAGCTAGTAATAAAACATCCTTTTCAATTGAAACGTACATCTTAAAATGCCAAAAAAGCGTATAACCTACATCCAAAGGATAAAGCGATCAGAAGCTCCGACAATTACCAGTCCTGTGGTTCGGAGCCCAGTGTGTGTTGATGACATAAAACTGATGTCAATTCGAATTGATTTCACAAAAGTGTTGCCGTTCATCATTGGCTTAGATATGTTTGACAAAGAAAGGCCCTCTGAATCAGAGGAATTACGACCTTTAGGAACATTTATCTGTCCTGTTTGTACTTCTGGTGACCGAGCACCGGAGGAAATTATATTTGCATCATTAATATCATAAGGAACTTCGGCAATGAGCATGATAAGAGGAATCTGCAGGCAATAGTATACTAATAAATTAGTGGAAAATCCGTCATAATCCATCTACTTGGAGTTAAGAGAACAAGTTTCTGTCCTCCTAAAACCAGCAAATATAGACAAGGACATAAATGCGAAAACAGTCCAGGAGGAGATTTACAGCTGTATTTTCTATGGTCTTCAGTGAATCATTCTTAACCCAATCTTGATTGGCAAGGTATCTAGCTGCATGCTGGAATGACAAACATGGGTATCAGTACTTTTAGAAAGAGAACACAAGAAAAAAAAAAAAAAACCGAAGCAGGAACAAAGTTTAGAAGGTAGCATGGCTTTAACGAACCCAAAATCTTGTTACCTCTTCTAAACATTTCATTTTATATGATTTTAATGTGACGCAATAATTTAGAAATCTGTTGACTGGTTAAACTGACAAATTTTTGTGTGGTCTGGCTACCCATTTGGTTGAGTTTGCATTTTGCTCAAGGTTCACTAACTTGGGCTCAAGATGTGACTGTAAACCCAGAAAACTATTTGGATCAAAGTCAGATTGATAGATAATCTGTATTTCGTGACTTTAACATTTCAATATTGAGCCTCATTTTCTTTCGGGATTTAAGGCTAGATCTTTTTCCTCAAGTCCAGAATCTTTTTAAATTGGATTTTCAACATTAATGATAAAGACTTCATATACAGAAAAGAATAGGTCAATACGGTGTACTAGATCAATTTGATATACAAGGCTAGAACATGTTGAATTAACATGGCAAAATCTACTATATTAGACTACATGAAAATCACCCCAGTTTATAATGGGGTGATGAACTTAATAGGTTCGAATACATACATCTGAACCATTGTAGAATACAGAGGATAAACGGATACCTGGAGACATGTTTCTTTAATGCCATTTCGACCTTCCAAAATTCCTGCTTCTTTGATGGGTTCCTGGCAAATAACTTGCGTAGTTAGGAATCCATGGAATCAATGGAGTAATAGCAACATGAATAACAGGTGAGGCCCATAACAAAATGTGAGTCTTGAGAGACTAAATACAAATCATTTTGCAACTTACCAAATTTCTTACAGGAGGAAGGCAAATTATGAGGTCAACATCGCTGGATGGAAGAGCCAAACCATTTGCATTTGAACCAAATACACTGGTCCGAGAACGCGGCCAAAGGACCTGAAGAGACTTAGCAACCCTCTTGACAGCCCAGTTAATGAAGGGCTTTCTAGTCAAATTTTCAGCAGCAACCTATGTTATTTCATAAAGTGAAACAAAATGAAAACTGTAATAGGAAAAAAACACCAAACAACAAAAATTCCGATCGCAAAGAACTCCAAAAAGATGAGTGCACGTGAGGTCCCATTAAAAAAAATGCTGTAGTTGTCACATTTAGCAGAAAACAGGTGTCATTTTTACAAAATTAACTATTCACTTCAGGTAAGGAATTCAATAAAAGAACTAAAGTGAAATCCCCCAGAGTAAAACAATACTTGTTTCAAAATGCAGATTCAATGAATTTCTGAAGATGGTACCTTTTTACAAAAAGAGTCTATCTCTTCATGAAGAAGACTGTGCATCATAGAAAGGGACATCTTATGCGAGGAGCAATTTGATTCAGTAGATTGGACTGGAAGTGCAATGTCTGGCTGAAATATTAACTCAACTGTCAAACATAAAATATTAATAAATAAATAAATAACAGACCAGGATATCTACGGGCTCACATGTTCCTGATCACGATGGGAGATAGCAATCAGCCGGTCCTGAAGCAAAGACTCAGGAACAGGTTGCATCATTGGAGTGCCAGCACGTTTTCCATTTTCCCATGATGCCCAGATAACCTCGCCACCATCCAAACAAATGTGAGTTCCTGGAGAGGTATTTTCTTCATGGTGCCAACTTCTCATACCCCAGCTCCTTGGACTGGAGCTACCTGACCTCACAACAGGAAAGCCTCTGCGCTTCCGAGAGTCTCCAAGAGATGGTGGAGGTGGTCTAGGGGCTCGGGGAACACAAAGCACGACAGGTGATGATGGCCGTTTGATCCGAGGGAAGTCCCTATCAGTGGAAGTTACACATGGACTGTTGTGGTCATGATTGATCTTGAATTCTGATCTCGACCCTTTCCTTGAGATACTTGGAATGATAATTGGTCGTAAAACTGGATATGAAAGAGAATCCCCTTTCACTCCCTCGGGACAGGGACCTGAGTTTTTGAAAGATAAGGCTGCCTTTTCTTCTGGATTGTCGACCATTGGTGATGGGGATTGCAGCCCACTGGCGTCATTTCCTGGAAAAGCATAACCAAGGGATGGTGGCCCAGGCCCTAATGTTTCAAAAGGTGAACAAAAAGGTGTAGCAGGAGGAGATACAACACCACTAACACTAAGTGAACCTGATAAGGTAGGCATCCCAACCATGTCATCAATAGACCTATTCAGGTCTGCTTCATGCCAAGCCCAGGAGCCATCTTCAGAGCTATGAGAGGGTGCACGAGAAAAACCAGTACTGACATGATCAGATGTATTCCAGTACATCACTCCACCACCAAAAAATTGATTGTAATCTCGTCCAGTGAATATGTGCATATCAGATTCATCCTCAGATATCCAGTAGCTCTCAGAATCATCCATAACTTCTAGTGCGTTCTTGAATTCACAAAAATCCAAACCATCTCCAGAATATTTCCTGTCGCCATCATTAGCAGTTTTCTGCATTCCATGAGCATTTGGTCCAGAGCAGAATGAAGACTGCAATCGTGAATTGTAGACATTATCAAAATTTAATGCCACCGACTGACTAAGTCTACTATAACCTCTTACCATCAAAGGCCAGTCTAAACTCATAGGTAGAGTTCTGGGTGGAATAACCCGGCGACCACCAACTTCACTTGATGCATTCATGGCCTGATGACTAGCAGTTGCAGAATAGAAAGATTGTGGAGTGTGATTGAGAAAATTGTCCCCAGCATCCAAATGCAATATATCAGCCCCAGGAGAAAGACATTGGGAATAAATTGATGCTCGCTGCGGTGCGCTGTCAGTAATGACTTTCCAGTTGTGTTGCTCAATTTCATCTTCAGAACAAAACTTTTCACGTTTCCTTTCAGATTTGGCACTCTCAGCTGTTTTACAGCCTAAGATTTCCCCTGATTCCTCTTTCGTAACTGTCCCAGGACAGTGGGTCTTAGGTACTGTGACTGGGTTTACAGGTGAAACTTCACGATGCAAGCCTTCATACTTTGGAGGATATTCTGAAAAGTTCTTGATTGGATCATCCGATTCTAATTTAAATGAACTCTGAGAACACTCACATGTAGTGAGCACAGTAGAATCTACAGGTGTGCATTGTTTGCCAGTTTTATTCTCCAAAAGTGAATCATCAACAGCATTCTGGTGCTCTGATTCTGCCTGAAAGTTGCCATTAATCAATAACCCAATCGTCATGGTGCTCAATCTTAAAGAATCTGAAAACTGTGCAGATTTTTCCACCTCATTTTTTTCAGTTGAGGATGAAAACAGTACTTCTACGGCTTTGGACTTGGGATTTTCTACTGTATGTAGTTCATTACCAATGGAGGATCTGATCTTATCCCCTTTCCTACCACTATTCGGTTTTCTGGCATCAACCCTGCGATCGGCAACTGAATTTTCCTAGACAGTGTTAAAAGCATATTATTAGATCAAAATGTCAAAAAAGTAAGAACGAAATAAATCAAAAGAATTACCATTCCAGTTTGTGGTTTTAAGATCTCCTTGTTAAGAGTCTTTCCTGGAGCAGAAGTACCACCAGTTCTTATCTTCCTGTTAGACATACCATTTGGAATAAGGTTTCTCTGGCAACCCATCTTGGACTTGGGATTCTCTTTATAAATTGTCCCATCTCCATGTTCCTGAAAAGTAAAAATCATTAAAAAAGTTAAATTTTGGCAGTCTAAAAACGAAATTTCCAATAAATTAACATTTATAGAAATACCTTAAACATCAGAAAAAGATTTCTCTGGTAACTGACCTTTGAAGCCTTTGTTGTGGAATTCAGCCTCTTTGAATTGCGACCTTTCTTCTTTACTTTACAAGAATCCTCGGCCAAACTTCCTTCAGTATTGCTCAGAGATTTATTCAATCTACAGTCCTCCGTAAGTTCAATTTTTATGCACTCACTCGAAATTGACATAAGGAACCCTCGTAGTCTCCTCAATATACAATCAGAAATGTCGTTTACAGAACCTAATGTACTAAAAAATAAAGTATCGCTTACACATTCAATACTCTGAGATGTTAATAACTTCTCACTAATTTCTTGAAGCACAAGCACCGCATTTAAGAGATTAGCCAACCTACAAGGTCTCCTGGAGGATGAGATAGATACAGAACCAAAGAAAAAGTTTGGATCAAGAGAAGAGCACAATTCGCTTGTCCTCTGAAAAGGAGAAACAGAACTATATCTGGTTGTCGATTTTGATCGAATCCAAAAGGAGGCTGATTCATTGCTCAAGTCAGATAATCGTTTCTCAATGATCTCCTTTACCTGACAGGCCACCACCACAAGAGCTCAGTATATGAACACGCTCGAAATGGAAAGTTTTTACAAAGACAATCAGCATGAGGTGATACAGAAATAACCAGATTTGTCAATAGAACCCTACAAACCATTTGAAGGAGAAAACATATCATGGATCAATAACAAGCATCTTTATTGATTTACTATTTCACAGAGTTGATGACAAAGGAAAATGGTTACTCTGAAGGAGTATAGTTGAAATCAACTGCACAGAGTACTGAGAAAATGAAGAATGAAATACTACCAATGAACAAGAGACCTCAGCATCTTGAAACTCCAATATCTGAACTCAATCTAGCAAAAGGGTATAGACTGCCAATGACAGACTTTGGACGTTAAAGAGCTTGGACCCTCATATAATTTGCTTCACAGTAGAAATAGTTAGACAACTTAAATTCGAGTGACATCTGTGAGGACATGAGATCGAAAAATTTAGAGCTGTTGGACAATGCATTGCCCTTATATCCTTGAAATTTGTACACACAATATTTAAAGATGGCTTAAACGAGAACAGGTATGTACATTAACACAATTAAAAAAATTCACAAAAGGCATAATCCTCAGTTGAAGTATTATGTAAATCAGGGCTGTGGATGGAGAACATTGCTTCATATCTACCCTCTCGATTGTTCCAACACAAATATTCCTGCTTAATCTTCTCCTTGTTCGTCAACTTATCTCTAAACAACTCAAAAGACACCACAATAAATGACCACACATTCGCTTCACCAGCTGGCACCTGTTTTTGGCAATGGACACGGACCTTGACTGGGTTTCTTTGCCAAAATGACCACGAATGTTTCCCATAATATCGTCCACACTACCACTGTCCTTTCCTCAAGAAACTTGTGCTCGCCTTCCAAGCAAGAAATATCATGCAAAGGCATGTTTTCAAGATCCATTGTCAATAAATTGATCATAACTGACAGGCTCGATTTCAAAAATTTCATCATCCAAGTAAGATGGACAGACAAAGAGCTAAATCAAAATTTGGTCTTAAGATGTTGAGCAACAATTATGAATATCATTCTCTTAGACGAAGTATAAGACTTGATATTGTGAATATCCTTTTTACTACTTTGCATGCAATGAAAATAAAATGTCACTTTCTCAAACTGGTATAGTTTTGTAAGAAAGATGACGATGGAGGAGCAAAGGTTAATGAGATGGTCCTGCAACCCTCGGAATGAGATCTACTAGTTGCAGCCATGAATCTTGCGTGGGCAGTGCATGAGGGGAAGAGGTCCACCTTGGTTCCCATGTCGTCAAGCCATCCTGTCAAGGATGATGGCTAGACCACCAATCCTCAGGTTCTGCATTCTCAAGGTGCTATCGAGGATTAAGGTCACATTAACGCCATGGGCTTATTTGGGAAAGCCATGGAACATTTCCCTTTTGGGATGGGACCACGACCTCAGAGGTTTTATCCAATTACTTATTTGAAATGGAGAAGATTCCTAAGTTGATGATTCTTCCCAGATTTCCAAAGCAAAAAAGAGCCATAAAAATATTCAATCTAAGCCTATGAGATTCAATATGGCAGGTGAGAGGAAGACAGAACCTGCTGCTATGATTCTGACTAGCCTTATTACCTAGCTAAATGGCATGAACTCTCACTAATGGATGAAGTGATAAGATGTGCTAGAGTCATTGTACTGTGTAAACTAATGACGGAATACAAAAAATTTAAAGAAAATGGACTACGCAAAGTGATAATCTCAAACCTGGCAAATACAACTATGTATTACCCATTATTTCTAAAGAAACGAGAAAAATAAGTAACAGATGGTTTTGATTTCTTTAAAAAAAACCTCTGGACAGCATTGAAACAACTGTTAAGTTATTAATGTCAAATCAACTCTGGACATTTGGTAATGAAGGCAAAGCATTATGGATGAGGATTGAAAATGGTAAACAAATATTGTAGATCCTTCTCAGGTATGCGAAGCATATTTCTAAAAATCCAGATTATATTACGGATCTTCACAATCCACAATTGGAGGAGGACTAAATCATAATCTATGGAAAACTTTGTGATCAATCAAAAATCTTTTTTCCGTAACTTATCCATCTAGATGGGGTGCAAAAAGCTTGTAGGAACTAGATCACAATAAATTTTCATGGGATGACATATTGCATATAATTCTGAATGAAATTGAAAAGAGAGAATCATTGAAACTCACTGCCGTAGGTCATAATAAATGCAAGGGTAAACAAGAGAAATGATATATATGGGAATCAGGGGAATATGTTTCTTTGGTGACAGCCCTTTATTTCGGACCAAAATAGCCAGGGGAAAAAGCATCATTCCATTGGAAGGAGAGAGAGGTTGAGAGAAGTTAACGGTGGTCCAAAAGACTAGCATCAAAGCGATGTCTATATAATGGAATCTGTGGAACATTTATTATTGAGATGTAAACTCGTTAATGCAATCTGGAAGGCATTTTTCAGGTCCATTTGAGGAGGCAGATGACGCTTCTAGAGTGCAATAATTCATAGTTCTCGAGAAATAATGAAAGTAGTTGAAAGGATTCATCAGAAACAATATGGCCCGCATACCACGAAAACATCAACATTTCCAGAAAAGAGAACCACCGTCAATTTTAAATTTTCAAATGTATTCCTAGAGTACAATCTGATATTCTTCCCTAACATTCAAATAGAATACAAAAAAGATACCGATTAGCTTCAAAGAAAGTTCTTAATAATATCGCTTATTTTGCTTGTATAAGTGGAAATGAAAAGCTGTCCATTTATAAGGATGTAGTTTTTTCTCACCAAATCCTCTTATGGAAGTGGTAGCCTTTCCATCATCCTGTAGGCGGGCTAGACCAGCTTGAAACCAATGTATTTAGCTATTGACTAGCACGTTGAAGGCATATTCCAAAGAGTAACTGATACAAACTAAATGTATCTGCAGATCTCTAGTGAATGGGATACTTAGATCCTCTTCTGTGAGGACAGCTTGTGTCCATGAAGCTGTCAAAACAGTTAATGACAGAATGTAAGAATTCAGTCTCGAAACATTAACCAAATGTTTCTGCTCTGTCCTTATAACTTTTCTGAGAAAACTTCAACCTCACATTCAATCTATATGTTATTATAAAATCAAATTCTACTTAGACAAATTACTAACAACTGAGATGCCTTAAAACATCAAATCCCCTTTGAAGCTATTTTATTTTCTATTGTGAAAAAAATCATTCCATGAAAAGAAACTGTCTTCTCTGCCAACAGAGAAGGGCTCTAAAAAGGCATATCCTTTAATGCCCACGTGTATGATCTAAGTGTGAACTCCTTCAAAATTATTTTTATTTTCCATGAGGAAAAAGAAAGTTTCTCCATATGATTTATTATTTTCTTCGAATGCAGGAGCGATCATTTTTATTGATTTTGAGTCACGATTATGCGTGATTCAATATGCAAACTCCAGTCAACAACTGTGAATCGAGCCAACATTTCTGCATTTCGTCTTAATCGAGTAAAGTAGAAGTGGCATCACCAGCTGTGAGTGAATTGAAATTGACACCACAACCCCTACTATGACGTAATATAATCACACATAGGCTATATGTGAGAGACAAGAACAAAGTTTCAGCCCACTATCATAGGAAAGCTTAAATAAATTCTCCACCAAATTCCGGGCCCCAATCCAGCCACCAGCATGTCTATAATGTATCCTACGCGATCAAAGTGGCCTCATAATTGTATGATCAAGAACAAGTACACTGGCAATGGTGCGATAATAAAACTATAAAATAACAGGAAAATGAAACCACATCAGTGAGATGCGTTTGCCAAGTACCAGTGTTTTAGCTCCCTTGCATAGGAATAATAGAATAATTTTCTTCCTGACACCAGGACCTAATCCCAGCCACCAATCCAGGCATCCCTTTTGCCTCCAGAAAACGTTAGCCGCAACTCCAGCAGTACCAACTTTGACCCTAGATTTCCCAGCTCTTGGCTTCTTTCCGCCGTGACATTCTAGCCATGACATCCTCAGCGCCAACTCCAGTTTATTTGAGAGAAATGACTCTATACTGTAATACCCCTTGGCCTTTAACCACTCAAACTCCACCCAAGCCGACTTAGAGGTATTCAAATCAAGCTCTCTTAAAAACCCGCCGCTCGATATCCCATCCATAGCCGTTACAAATTTTTCAGGATCTTGTAAAAGATCTTCACTAACCGTCATCGAATCAAGTGCGTATTCGGTGCCTTTTTCCCCATCCTGTGAGCCAAATAAACGAACAGAGCTAGAAATCAACCTTTCTGACTCATTCGAGGCACTAGCCCTGGACAAAAGACCTCCCGACAGACGGTAGCACAGGCTAGGGAGTGAAGAACCGGGGGTGGACGGCAAGTCCGGTAGTATGAAAAAGTGACAGTGACCGTCGTTTTGGAGGCGCGCGAGCATCTGGAGAAGAATCTTCACAAAATCAGAATCGACGACGGTCAGGCAGGCCTGACGCTGGTGGACAGATAATGAAGAAAACCAACGGAGAATGGCCTTCCTAGGGTTAGAGTTCGAGGGAGAAGGATGGGCAGAGGAATGGAAGAGCGCAATGTGAGCGGTGAGATCGTCAAATATCTGCCTAGCACCCATCTCCGGCTTCATCCGCCACCCCCTGCGCATAAACCTTCCCACGATCCGCCGGGCAACAAGGACGGAACTTCTGCAGGTACGTATCACCGCCGTGGGGGGGAAGAAGAGGGATTGGGCCGCCGAGGCGAGAAACCCACAGCAAAGCCGCTGCGCCGGGGTCCGACGACCGTTTTGGCTCCCACGATGTGCGAGATTTGCGGTTACACCGGGGCAGAGACGGGGAAGACGACGGACGAGTCGGATCACCGCCCCCAGCGCGGGGCCTCCAAACCGCACGGGAAGGTGTACAGATTCGAAGCGGTGTTTTTTAAGATTTCAGGCAAGAAATCCAGACAAAATTACAAAAGTAGGGACTTACGTCAACGTGGCTGGGAGACACTCCGACAACCGTTATATTCCTAGTGAATTTTCGACATAGCCCCTACATAAATCGTTGCTTGCCAGAATCTCCCCTCCATAGACTGGCATTTTCTTGCCACTTTTAGAATTTTCACTGTAATTTTTCCTACACGGCATATTGGGTTATCTTAGTTTTTTGCGACAAAAATAATCGGACAACTTCTAAGTAATTTTTCGTCGAGGATATAAAACTAATATTTTTTTCATTTATTCATTTGTTATTTGGATTTTTTTCGGGAGGTAGTTCAAATCTAAGAAAAATAAGGATTTTTAAGGATCTTTTAACTAATAACTTACCCAGCTTATTATTTTTCCTATACATTTATTATTCAATAATAATTTAAGCATCTCTAAAACAAAATATTTGTTATTCTCAATATATATTTTTAATTTAATTTATTTAAGTCTTAATTCTGCCCTCTGTTCAATTTTTTTTTTTCTTCTGAAAATTGCAAATTACGCCATCATATCACATCGATTCAGCCGATCCGGACCCGTTGCTGCTGCAAAATCATATCAAACCCCTAAAACCCTTCCCCACGACAGGCATAGCGAAGATACCCCCGCTTGGCCTCCCCAGATTTCTCCTCCCACTCCCGGCCATTCCTGTCTCGGATTCCAGCATCCCCTTCGTTCCCTGGCCTCCGCCGCCAGTGAGGGAGTTTGGAGATCGATGAAGCAGCCAAGTTCGCTGTCGGCGGAGGCCTCCGAGAAAGAGCTTTACGCTTTGCTGCACATTTCGCCGGAGGCATCCGATGAGGATATACGGAGAGCCTACCGCCAATGGGCCCAGGTCTACCATCCCGACAAATACCAGGATCACCAGGTACCGATATCCTTCAACCGTCCTTCTTCTGTCATTCTTTGTTTGTTGAAGTAGATCAATCGTCTGTCTCTTTGTGAAGCTCAGGTTCTCCTCGGCTTCAGATATTGCCGGTTTCATCTGTATGTCTTTCTGAGTAGACAGTCTGACCAGGGAGGCGGCATTAAGATCTTTTACTAGTTGGTTACCACCAGTCGTTGGTCACCAGTAGGAGGTCAGGGCGGGATAAGGGGAAAAAACTAAGACGTTTCAAGAGTCGGACGGTGGGAGTTCCAAGAAATGCAACAAATTCGGCCTATCTATAGAAACAATAGTCCGCATCACAATTGGATGATGTCTTTAATTCCAATGTTTGTAGCATTTTTGCTACTTAGCTATTATTGCCACGTGTACGGGTGTATTTAGTATTTAATTTTTTTATACAGTGGGAGACACGGTTAGATGAAAGGTGGGAAGAACATGTGGAAAAAGGAGACTAAAGGAATGATGAATTGGAGCGTTAGAATCGAAATCATTGTCAGGTAAAACTATGGAATGGCGGAACACGTTACCTTGCTTTGCTTAACGGAGTTTTCTGGTTTTTTTCTGAATTTTCTGCCGCTGTTTTTAGGAAAAGAGGTTGCATACCATATAACTCTCATTTTCATAAAGCATCTTAAACCCTTTGCCTATAAGATGCGTTGAAAGAGGACTTTGAAGGTTTGAATGTGACAGATTCCTTCAACATAGATTTTAGTCATTTGACGCCACTAGTAAACCTTAAAAATGGAAACATAACCAGTTTCATGTTGAATAACTGCAAGTTAATTTTTTCTTATGGATGACATTTCAAATATGGCCTGGTGAGACAATGTTGCATATCCTCTACTGCATAGATAAACTGCATGACTGGTGAAGCAGGTGACTCACCAGCAAAAGGTTATTTTTTCATAGTTATTATTTTAACGAATTATCATGGATATCCTTTGATAATAACTATCTGTATTGACGTTTAAAGCTTGACTGTCAAGCGTTGCAAAGAAAAATGGTCGGAGCATTACTTTTAAGTAAAGAATAGAAGATATCTCAAACCTATTTCTGATGTAAGGGGCACCTTTTGTTCTATTACTACTATTCTCGGGTTGGGACCAGCTAGTGCAAGACTTGATTTCCATGTTCGACATCATCCATGAACCTTTGCACTCTAAATTCATCTTGTACCTTTTTAATTGTGATGTGTGATGTACCATGGGCTTTGAACTCAAGCCAATGGGGCTGCTAACCACGAGCCTAGCTGGTTAACTCATTTCGTAGCAATACCCAATGCAGGCTTTCTAAAACAATCCAGATTCAAATTGGACCATAGTAACCCAGGATTTGGTATTGATTAGATCAATGTTTGGCCGGAACTCTATGTGCAGACAAACACGCTTATGCTTTGGATTGTAACATGAATTAATGCATGATTATGAGCTCTGAACTTAAGACAATGGGTCCACATCCATGACCTGAGCTGGATGTCACTATATGGTTTTGTTGCCCTAACAAAGGTTTTTGCCTCCACGTTTATGCTTACTTTGTCAATGAAAATACCGTGCATGCATTCTCAAGTAATCAGACTCCAGTTTTCTCCTCCCATGGGTTATGGACAACTTCTTTCCACAGAAAGTGTTGTTCTCTATAGCCCGCGTGAAAGGGTGAAGTTCATTTTTTTAATGTTATGTGATGCCTTGCTACTCTTATGTTCTGTCACTTTGACTGGTTTATATTTCATTTTGACTATTTTTTTTTCAGATGAAGGATATTGCAACGGAGAATTTTCAAAGGATTCGAGAAGCCTACGAAATTTTAACTGATGAATATAAAAGGCAAATATATGATATCTATGGCATGGAAGGGCTGACTTCGGGCTTAGAATTGGGTCCAAAACTTAATAAACTAGAGGAAATTAAGGAAGAATTGGAAAAGCTGCGTCGCCAAAAGGAAGAAGAAAAGCTTTCCGCCCATACACGAACTACTGGTTCACTTCTCGCAAATATCTCTTTACCCCAGTACCTGGAGGGTGGTGGCATCATGAGAGGGTATTCTATTTTTATTTTCGGAAGTTATGCTTTCTTTTGTGCTTTTTCTATTCAGGTTTGTGGATAGTTTAAAATTTTTTTGAACATCATGCTTTGTTGTTTTGTTTTATCCAAGGAGCTGTTTACATGACACATCCAAGAATGGGTGGTAAGATCTATTTTTTTCAACAGAACACACTAATCTTCATAAAATGTCAATGATCGTAATAGTGAGAAGCTGATAAATGTAGTGGGAAATGGCAGATTCAATACGGCTCGTACAAGGTTGATTCATAATCCAAGACTTTGATATTGCTCAACGGGATAAAAGAAAGCTAAGTATGTGGAAAAACTAATAAGTTTTTGATTTAGGATGGTTGAATCAGTTAGTAGTTTGTAATTTCCACAATGTGTTATGCCGAGGCACGTGAAAGAACGATGCTAGCATCATTATCTGCTCCATCATAATACAGCCTCTGTCTGGTATCCCTTGTTTTATTTATGCCATAGTTAAGTTGGAATATTTACATTAAACATTTGAAATGAAGCATATGGTATGCCTATTTCTTACCTCAGGTGTCATCATATCACTAATCTTTTTATAATGTAGAAGCAACCAAATAGAGAAATTATGAGAAGCTGATAGCATCTGCAAGTAAAGAACGATGTTTCCATGCCATTATTTCTATGTTCTCTGTATGCCGACCAAGGAATACATGCCGAACGTTAATATTACTATACCGCAAGAAATTAGTTTATAGTACCGTTATGACACCTTTGGTTTAAGTTTTGCATGAAGTTAAAGTCAAAAAGCATTGATAATATTGGCCGTTCCATCATTAAGCTGTTTGTTGCGGCTTTACTTCCTCCAAATGTATACGCCACATCTCAAAAGAAGTGTATTATGCCATTTTCCACCTTCCTTATCATAATGTGTAAAATATAGTCTAACAATTGGAGAGTGTGGCATAACCTTCTGAAAATCATGTTTGCGCAGGGTTTCTGTTTGTGAATTTCTTTATGATAACTGCTACTAGTTATCATGTGATAATGTATAGAGGAACCAGATTTTCCAGTTGGAGTTTGCTAATAATTGGGAATGTGTTATCCTCCCTAAAACTTTGGATAAACTACTCCACATCTTAGTTAACTTTAAAAATGTTCTTTGGACAAATCTTTCCTATATTTTGTATAGATGCATGGATTATGGCTAATAATGGCTATACTAAAGGGCAGTCATGTGGATTCACCTTTCCCTTTTTACTTGGACAGTAGAGCAATCTACTGACCGTTGTGCAGTTTGTAACCTTGATTTTAAAAAATATATTTGTTGTTTTTTTATTTTAAAATATTTAGACACTAACAGATAGCAACAAGCCACTTTTGTGTGATGCATATATTCATTGGTTGTGTATTCGTATTTGTTATGTCAGATCGTCATTTAATATTTCGTCTCGTTTTCTTCATTGTTATGGATGCGAAGTTCTGTTTCTCAGAGCATCTAACTATAGCTGGAAATTTATGGATGACAGAATGGCAATGTCCAGTGATGTTCAGTCTCAATTATCAAAGCGAAACACTGTTGCCATGGGTGGCAATCTGGCAGTCACTGGAAATTCTGGTACTGCGGCTGCATCAGCATTATTGCGTCATCAGCTCTCTTCAGTTTCTACTTTAGAAATCATGGCAACAGCAGGTCTCCGGGCACTTATTGGGGTACAGACATCTCGGTAAGGAACGATTTTGTAGGTTTCATAATGGATTTGTTACTTAGCTTTATGGTTTCTCTTTGCATTTAGTTTTCCTCCAGACTTCTAGGGCTTTTGTTCACACAGTTATATCTTTCCACATCTTTTTAGCCATTTATCAATTCATTCAACTGGCACAACTGGGATTGCAGTATCCCTTAGAGACGGCTCAGTGAACCTATCCAACACCTGGACTCGTCAACTTTCAGAGACATCCACAGGCAATGTGAGTTTATGGCAATTTTTCTGGTGGCATCAAAGCTTCGAGCGTTGTTTTTGGTGACAAAACCTGCGGATTCACTACATGTCATCTGTTCTAAAAACAGATCTGAAGAATAATGTCAGAAGAAGAATGTTATCAGACTTTACTATCAAGTTTTGTTTCCTCCTATGTCATTTTTTTTTCCGTTAAATGTTACAAATACCGCCATCACATTGACGAAATAAAGGTTATATTTGCTGGACAAGGCTTTTATAAACTGTTGTAGCATGACCCCAAGCAGAAACAATATTTACAATGGAACTTCTAAAGATGAGGACAGCTAAATGAAACTCGGATCCTTTGTGAACTGTTTTTGATAGAGAGTTTGCTGAAATTTCCTCAAGTTGGCTTCAAAGGCTCAGTTTCCTCTAATGATCTGACATCATATCACATTGATTGTGAGTGAAATTATTTGATTTTCATATGACGTTTTTTATCCCACAATATCTCTTGTCATAACGTACGGCTGATTTTCAATCCCATTAACACGAGCCCTATCTGAAAATTCTCCTTTCTTTGCCCATTTCTGCTCACCTCAGTTTTATGTATTCTTCAGTTTCCCAGTCGAATGAGTTTTCTTATGAATCTGATGTCCCCTGCCTCTTTTATATGCATACCATCCGCAGCATGGATTTACCCATCTCCTTGGAGAGTAGATTCATGGTTTTACATCATCTGCAAAAGTTAGTCCTTCCCATTAGTTGATTCACTACGAGGGACTTGGGATCCATCTGGATCAAGTTTGGCTCTAGCTAATCTAGTTTAAGGTGGATTTTGATTGCATGCCTTGATCATTTAAAAATGGTACAAAATGGTGTCAAATGGTTGAGTTTATGGGCAGAATCGAACTTAAATTGGTCCATTTTCTGGTTGATCTGATTTGATCTGAGTTTACTCAGATGGGGTAGTTTCTGATCAGAGCAGAGCATGCACCAATGAGTGCCATCAGCAATGGTCAATTACTACAGGCAGTTGAGGCCTCAGGCTGGCGGTGCCAAGCCTGATTCCCACACCTTTGTTCTGCATGAGACAACAGGAATCAGGTTCGGCCACATGGGTCTGAGGGCTCTTATAAACTTGAGAAACTGTTTAAGCATCACATGTACCTTACAAAACTACAACCAAAACCCCTGTTTGCCTTGTTAACCCAACTGGGCTTTTTCCTCTATTTGCTGATTCAGTCGATTTGATCCTTTCCTGAGACAGTTGAACTGATATCAAGCTCCATGATTTTCTGGCCAAGTATAATTAGTGGGCAATCACCATTTCTGTCACCATCAATATTCTTTTACATGCCACAGATATCTTGGATTTGTGAATAAATGAAAATTTTGGTTACTTTTCCCTGTCTTTCAGAATAGATCCTCCTGAGTTTTGAACACCCACTTTGTCCATAAGGCATTGTTGAGGTTAGCCCTGTTAATTCGGTGGATTGTTCCTCCACTCATCCTTATGCACAATTGATTCCTTCATCCACATGTTTGACCGCTTGTCAATAAGAGCATTCCACATTTTCCATTTTTATTGGTTGGAAAGTAGAAGGATAACAGACTAGGATTAGATATGTGGCACACACACCTATTTATTCAGTGAGAAGAAAGTAGGCATGACACTACAGACCTACCATGGGTCAAGCCTTTTAGGTCCATAGTCTAAAGACACACCAGCACACTAGATAGTTAGGCTATTAAAGTATACTTGGTACATTATTTATTCGAACCCCAAACATGGATTATCTGCTCCTGGATCATTGAGAACCTAGGTTTGTGGCTATGTCGCTAATTTGTTAAAGTGTGGGCAAGTCCATGGCTTATTCCTCCATCAGCTTTTCTTCAAACAGTGAGTGAGAACATTCGGAAATCGAAAGGAAAAGTATGTGTGACGTCTTGCCATCGAAATTTGGGATGTATTATGCGTATCCTTGTTCTATTCCCTCTCATTATAGAAATGAAAGAAAAAGAAGTGCACGGAAATCTATTCAAAAGTGCATGCCTTATGACATGCTCTATGTGAGATAAATCAGAATTCTTCAACCTAGAAACAGGGTGTTTACTATGGACTGATTACTTGTTCTTTCTGTCAAGATCGCAAGAAATTTCCTTTGCCCATTTTTCTTGTTTCCTTAATCAATAGCTTGTAGAAAAAATGTTTTTCAACTGTTTGTTCACTATTGTTGTGTTTCCTATAATTTGCTATAATACCTTCTTTCACTCGCATGCATATTTTTACCTCGTAAGGACAACCTTCGCTTTATAAATGCTTGTAGTTATCTTCTTCAAACGTTTAGGTGCTCGGGAAGTTTCTAATGAACTTCTGATATGCTGTATGGAAGGCGAAGGTTACCTACTTAGTAACGTTTTGGCTTGTAAATGGCCGCTTTAGAGCTTATATGAGCTTAATTATTAGCACTGATGTAAAGCCGTTTATATTCTCTGTCAATTTCATTTCATCTCTATTCCCTCTCAATTGTATTTTTACATTTCTCTCATTGATTCCTCGGTGTTATTTGGACATGGCAGCCAACATCACCATTGTCTCTTTGGTTTATTTTCTGGACAATGGGTGATAATATCAGCAAATCTTCAGTTTTAATCTTTAAGTTAATATAATTACAGTTGTAGACAGGATCTAAGGCCATACTGGATTCTCTATTTGTAACTAATGATAGTTTCTCTTTTGTGTTAGAACCACAGTTTTTTAGTGTGCATTGTATTGATTTAGTGTTCTATCTAGGGCCAGGTATATTGCATGATTAAGTTTCTGCTTTATTTTTTATTCAGATACAACTTGTGTTAGGAGCAGAATCAAATATTGCTGTTGGGTGGCAAAAGAAAGATGAAAAAAATTCTGCCTCAGGGGAACTTAAGGTACCTCTTACAATTCGTATTCCTTAATACACTATCCAGTTACTGTCAATCTTACACCACTGTGACGTATGCCATCAATATAGGGCGTATGGTGCCTCTTTTCATGTCCAGTGTGAAAAAATACCCGTTATTTTCAGCTCAGCAGTACTTGCACGACATAACTTTCACTTTATTTTTCATTGTATTTATTTCCAACAAATTATGTATCTAATGTTCTATAGACAAAAGAGGAGAAGACCAGAGTTCGTTCATAAACACAGATCGGTATTAGGGACAATACTGAATGCTGGAATTTATTTTGATGCCATTATGCTAATGGCATAATTTATTTTGATGGGTATTAGGGACAACACAGAGCCTTATGTTTCTTTCAATCTTTGGACGTCTCTTATAAACACCTGAGTAGATGTTGTTTCTAATGATCACAAAAGGCAACATTACCGAACGTATATGAAGGCAGATTTTCCTCTGGGAGATATGCATTAGTTTTCTTTCCGGACAGCTCACTATAAGAAGTCTTTGTTTTTTTTAAATGAGCTAATGTGATTTAAGAACTATTGAATTGGCAGTCGTTTCAAATCATGCATGCATCCATGCCAGTTCTCGGCTGTGTACTTATCTAGATTGTGTCTCACACGCGGTTAGTTTTGTTTTGTAAATCACCTGTTATTTAAAGAAAGGGTCGCACAGTGTCGATCCCCATCTTTTTGTTTTTTTTTTTACTATGTTGCATTTCATGCCATCTATGTATAATTCTAGCCTCGGTAGTTTTGATTAGGTCTTCTTTTTGTTTTTGTACTAATATCTCGAATGCTCAGATAGAGAGTTACATTACAATGAATAGAAATAAATTGGTGTCTCGGAGGGGACAGTGTTCAAGTATAAATTGAAATCTAGTGAATTGTTCTGTATTCAATCTTCTAGCTTATATAATTCTGCAATGGAATTGGCGATTGGTTGTCAATCCCATAGTTAGGCGGGGCTAAGATCTAGAGATACATAATCTTCAATTCATGGGATGATGTAGTGTCCCTTCTAAAGGAAGGCAGGGCTACACCCGTTCTCGAATGAAGTATAGGTTGTTTGTCTAATCTGTGATGAGTCTTAGAGCACAATATCTCTGGACGCAGTGCCAACCACTGTCAATTAAGTCCTATGCTTTCTTGATTAAGAACGGTTTAGATTTTTGTCGATCAACTTTTTTGAGGGAGGGAACTATAATTTAGGTATGATACTTAGCCAAAGCAGCTTTCAGGATGTAATTGCGACAATTATCTATGAAGTTCTATCCATCTCATCTCAAGATGGGATATTAAAATACATTTATCTGAATTCTTAAACATACGAGGCTGTGCTAGCATTAACACCTGTCATAGTGTTAAATATAAAGTCAGAATCACGGCCAATAGAGAGACTATCCCCGATGTTGAATATCTTCCATATACCTTCTGATGATATATTCAATCAATCTAGCTGATAGAGAGGCAATACGGTCATCCTTCTTATCAAGCCATTAGCTTGGATTATGTTTTGGAATCCTGGGGACTCCGCTAAAATGTGGGTAACATTTGTTTCTTTTAAGTCCATGACAAGAACTTTGTTTGTTGTAGTCGTCAAAACAGGTTATAAGCCATGAATTGTGGTACTCTGTTCCCAAACCAAATGATCTGATATTAAGATTCAAACCATTGCATTTCAATAGGGGTTATGTAACTTGAAGCTAATGACAGGATCCAAATAATTCTTTTTTCCATTTTGTTGGTTCAAAATTTATCCTTATTATATGGAAACTTGATTTTAGTTTTAAGTAGTGATGCAAATCATACAAGGATAAACAGTCAGGAAAATTCTTTTCTTATTCTCAAATCATAGAACAATTGCTAGTTATTTACAATTACCGTGGCCACAAAAAAAGGAAACTACCTGGGTTGTGGAAACTGAGCAATTAGGAACCTGACAAACTAGGAAACTGACCAACAGAAACTAGCTCCTAACTGCACGTTTTTGTCACAAGTAGTTTAATAATGGTTTGAAGAAATAACTTTCACTGTACTGTTATCCTGAAATTACTAAAATTCTTCGAAACCGCTATATTACGGTTGTTTTATGTTGGCAAAAAGTATGAGCACTCTTAGTCTGTGGATTCTCTTCCTCTTCAACACTTTTTTTTTTTGTTTCATACCCTTTTGTGGTTACTTCATGCAGTTTGGATCAAGTTCCTTTGGGGCGTCTGCTCATTATACACACTGGTTTTCATCGAAGTCTCATGGTCGAGTTGCTGGTAGGGTTGGGAGGTACTGTACAATTTTCATTGTCTTTTTCTCATTGGAACTATGTTTTCCCTCTAAGTATATCATGAAAACATGTTATGATGACGATTCAGTTTCGTAAGGATGGGTTAATTGATTTCGTACCAAAGTTTGTGCTGCTTTTTGCCTGTGCAAGATTGTTCATGCACAGTAGTACTTGTAGTGATAGCCTTTCAAATTCCTCAGGCTCATCCCATGAGAATGAATCCAAGTTGGATGATTGTTGGAATTATCAAGTAAATGTATCAAATAGGATTTTCAAGTAAATCCTATTCCACGTTGGATGATTGTTGGATGATTGCCTGTGCAAAGCATGATTTTAACCTGTTCCTATGATTTAGAGATCAATTCTGCATTGATTTTGTCAGATTTCACCGTGTTCACTCCGAAATGTTGCCATGTTTGCTGGACTTTGACCAATTTTCACGGGATGAATGATACTTCATCATCCTATGAGGTATATACATCCAACGTGCTGTTTTAGAAAGTTTTTACTGTACCTATATACGGTTACAGAGATAGAGCTACAGTCTACCATGGCCTTTTCCTTCGTTTTCTCAACAAAACATTTTTACTTTTTCTCGTTGCCATAGTCCACGCTTTTACCCATGAATGCCTCTTCATCTAGAATCTTTGCAAATAAAGAAAATTTAAGGTGTTGCCTGAGTGTTGTTTTCGTATCCAAGCTCTTAAGTATGTCTACTGCCGTCGATTGTATACATGTTGAATCATATTAAACCACAGTTGGACAGGTATGACCTACTCAAATCATTAGATACGTAGTGATCATCTTCCTGGTTGTCCTAGAATGATGAAAATGATGTGATATCCTGTGTAAAATCGTTTTTATTGTATTTTTTTCGATGTCAAATTCTTTTAACACGTAGTTGAAATAGGATTATGATGGTCAGTTATTTCTATCCTACTAGCATAATTTTTTCTTACTTTATTCAACTCTTATATGCCTCATCAAATTTGAAATAATTTTTTTTGCCAGCACTGATCTTGAGTTTGAAATTGGAGGTGGGAGAAGGATATCAAATTTCAGTACTTTACGAATGCTTTATACAATAGGGATTCAGGTATTTTCTCCCTTTCATTTTAAAGTTTGCCTTTTCATTTTCATTATTATTTATCTTGTAACGACACATTCGCAAACTTCGTGCATCTTGCAAATTCTCAATGTGTGCTATATTAATGTTTAAAAATTTTCTGTTGAAATTATGCTTTGATGATTGCCTTACTTTTATACGAAATCAAGTTGTGTATTGACCTTTTTACTTTTGTATAATTCTTATGATTTTCTTTAAAAAAAGGTTTAATTGTGGAATTGGAAATGCAAGTGAGAGGTATTGATAATAGCTATCTGCAGAGTTCACTCACTCTACCGGTGCATTACAATTATCGACCTTGAATTTTTATTTATTCATTTCCCCCCATTTCCGTTCTCAAAACAAGTTCTATAACAACCCAGCTGCACGCTAGGTTCGTTTGAATTAAATCTTTGTTGTCAACAGTCCATTTTAAGTTACCTGAAATCTAATATTGACGTCAATTTGTCCATCCTTATTTGTTTGCTTGTCAGCGATGTTCATTGTTCAGCCTTCTGCTTGGTAGTCCAAATGACCTTAACTGTACTGGCCAATGGCTCTATATTTCTTAAGCTCTTCAATGCTAAAAGATGAGGCTATCACCTAGAAATATTGGCACTTACTTTGTAGATTGTTTATCACTTAGGAAGTCATGGACTTAGGAGAATCACTTAGGAAGTCAGAGCTTGTTTATACTGTTTTCCACGGCGTACATCATTCATGTCGTGGTACTGCAGCTGTCATGATTCTTCATCAGGTGTTTCTTTTGCTGTAATCTATTTGGCTGGACTCCTGTACTATTCTATTGAAAAAATAGGTCTCTTTAATTGTATTAGCTGCATTTTGAGACCTTTATTCTGTCATGTTTTGTGTTTTACTGTAATATATTCTTGTAGGGTATTTCTTGGAGGTTTGAGCTGCTACGTGGGGGCCAAAAGCTAGTCATTCCTGTATGGTCAATCTTATTGCTCTATCACTATTCTTCTCTCCACATTCTCTTATGTTGTTATTTTTTCAGTCTCCACATATTTCTCATTTTCTTATATTTTTATTAGCAGAAAATCTTAGAATATCCCAGGCATACGGGTGTACATTTATTGAGCTTAATGGATAGATTATGCTGTTCATTTAATTTATGATTTGCATTTCATGCATTCTATTTTTGAAAGAAATAGTGCCAAGGCTGTGGTTCCCAGCAACCTCAGTCCTTACCTGCCTTGTTTTTCTTTAGGCTCGATATCATCCCATGTTCATCTCTCTTAGAACGTAATCGTATGCCTTTCCAATGAAATTTCACTGACCACAGATGGCATTTGCAGGTTTTACTTTCCAGAGAGCTAAACATCTTAATCGCAATGGGTGCATTGATGACGCCTTCATCACTTTATTTTCTGCTCAAGGTTTCTTTTTTGCTAATTTGTTTTATGGTTTTCATTGTTGTACTATTCTTGATGGACATAGTTTGGATTATTGCACATGCAGTTTTTCTTTAACGACTTTTAGCTTATACCAGTATGAATTTTTCAATCCTCCTCTCTTGATATCTGGATTCTATTTTAGTTAACTTTTGTTCTGTGTTTGAAACCTATTATTCCATTGTTTCTCTGCTGCGGTTAAAGCATAGGGGATATACCTTCAGGCTAGGGTGGAGTCTTTGTCTCAATTGATTATTTGTTTCAGTAATTGTAGCTGATTTGACTTAGTTGAGACAATAATGCACTGCAAGAATTCTGGACTGTGTGAGGAACATAAAGTTCAATAAGGTTGCAAGGCTAAAGTCCATTTATTTTTGGTATTCATAAAGTTCAATAAGTATCTGATTTGGCAATGTGCGGATCATGCATGGTATTTTTTCTATTGTTTAGTTCCACATATTCGTTGAATATCAACAAAGAAAGAAAGGAATGTAGAATATGCCTTTCACGTGGTTTCCAAAAGTCTTTGTGAATCAGGTATTGTCTACAACAAGATGGTGAAGGTGGTGCTAGATGTTCAAGACATCTATAATAATAAGACCTTTTTCTTCAAACTAAAGATCCTTGCCTGCTTTTTCACTCTCAAAAGAAAAAGTAAACATCCTTGATAGGTCACGAAAATGGTTGCTCTTAGGGGGTATTTGAGCCTTTTACCTAATATGGGCGGTCTGTTTTTTATCCAATAAGGGTATAATAGTCATTTTCTGTTTTTTTGTCCTACATATAAACTTTGAGAGGGCTGCACGGACTTTAGAAGGTTAGCTTGCAAACAGTTGTGAATTTGTGACTTTGCCAGAGGTTAGATTCTTTAGAAGTTCAGGATGAGAAGACCACGCACAGAAATCGATTGTGACTTTGCCAGAGGTTAGATTCTGGAGACTCATGTCCAAAAGATGAGGTTGCCAATATTTTTATACAAATGATTGCCATTACTGAGTTTATATCTGTTATAGACTGTTCAGTGCGTCCGACAACAACCTGAAGGGTCAGTGTTTTGAGTCTGTTACACAAGGGGCTAGTTTAGTCATTTGCCCAATAAAGGGAATATGTTTCATTACTGTTTTTACTCAAGACAAACTTTAACAGGGCCGTGCAGACTTCCGAAATTCTGATGCAAGATCCTCCTATTTGGCTTCTTAGCTTCACTTAACCTTTTCTTTTTTCTTCTTTCTGCAATGGTGATTCAGCCCATATGAAATAACTTCGGGAGAAATTTGGCATTAGTTATCTACAAAAATATCTGAAGGCTGAACTGGTTATGATAGAAATCCTGATGATCCGGACTAGGAACGTCTCTAGCTAACCCAAGTTATTTGAATAGTATCCGATCCCCCTAAGTTTTGAAAAGAAACCAGGTCACGCAACTCACCGTTTTTTTGGGCTGATCTGATGCGATCTTGCTTGTGTGAGTGGATTTTAACCTGAGCATTTCCATTGGAGGAAGGTTGAAATAGCCGCACTCATGGGTCACCATAGAAAGCCGAGGTTGACGAGGGAAAGAAAGGACAGTGAGAATAAGAATGAAGAAAGGGTAAAACAGACTTACTTTGTTCCTGTCATTTTTTTTTTTGTAGCCAGTGCTCTGCATGTTACCCCTCTTGTATATTATTCGTATTTTTTAATGGTGCAACTTCATCAACGAATGCTTTCCTACTAATTTTGATGTTTGATTTCTTGGAAATGGGATTTCAGAAATTTGTTGCTAAGCCTTACTATCTAAGGAAAGAGAAACAGAAATCTCTGGAGAATAAGGAGAAGTCTGCAACTCAGGTAGAAACTAAGATTCTTTCATGTAAATGCCCGACATTTGTTCCTTAAGATTTACATAACTACCTGCAGTTATTAAGCTATACATGATTTTGGAATGATAGACTTGAAGTTCTAGTACCTTTTTAGCATGTTTTTTCTCCCGTCCCAAGTTTTTGATTGTCGCCCAAGTCATCCTGTCAGTACTGTGCAATTCAGAATCTGAAACATCTGAGTCTGTTATTTTTGGATGGGTGAGAAACCTTACTTTTTGCATTTTTTTTTTCTTGATGCTGTTGGCGCTGTTTTCATGAATATATTCAGCCATTCCTTGTCGAGAAGATAGTTCTCTTTAATTTGTGCAAATCTGTGCGTGTTCAAGCCTTAGCTGTCCGGTACTTTCTCCGCATTCGGAAAATTTACATAGACGGTAGAAAACTTCTTGTAAGACGTGTGCAGTACTTCGAATCATGTATTGATCCCACTCATTATTAGTTACAGTGTGTTCTTACTTGAACTCTGAGAAATCTCCGATTTCACCTTATGTTGACTTTTTTTTCATTCTTCAAGCATGCAATTGGCCAGAGAACAACTTATTCGAATTATGTTCTCTTTAGATGTAGTTCACAAAACTATGTGTGCATTATAAGTCAAGTCAATTACAGAGTACAGCGGGTATACAGAGGTACCCAACTTCGAAGTCGAAGATTAAAGGAACTATAGAAAAGTTAAAGTTAAACCAGAATCTATTGTATTAATCTTTTTCTTGGCAAGGCATGCATGCTAGTTTATTTGTTGTTGAACCATGATTTCTGTCAGACGAGTTGAGTTTGAGGGAGGTCGAAGTGATTGTCAACGTTTAATGGACAGGTAGCATGGTTTTAGTGAATGTCTTATTTGAAGTGATGTAGACGGAATTATTAGATACAAGTTCATTGCATCCACTGAGTCCTTTTCAACTAGAAAGTACTGACACAGCTTTTATCCCTTAGCTATGATTATCTTATCCTCTAAGAAAAGTATTTCTTCGTCATTACCCTCCATCTTTGTCAAATATTTCATGTCAATGCAGGTAAGAGAAGCAAGGGAAGCAGCTGAAAAAGCACAGAAATTGTTGCAAAATGTTTCCAATAGGAAAAGAAACAGGCAGGTGGAAGCAGGAGGATTGGTTATCATTAAAGCACTATATGGAAGCTCTAAAGCTTTCAAAAGAGCGGCTGAAATCAGGGTGGCGAATGACATTGCTTCAGAAGTCCTAGATGTGACCATCCCCTTGAACTTCCTGGTGAACGACTCAGGACAGCTAAAGGTCAGTTTATGCATCTGATCTCATCTGATTTATTTCAATGGGTTGGGAGTTACTATGCCTCAAATGCTCTTCAATTTTTTAATATTCGTATGCTAAAACATCATAGAACTATATTCGTATTAATGGCATACCATTCGCTGTTTCAAACTCTGGCATTTCGTATCCATCATTAAACATCGATATATATATATATATATATAATGCGTATATCTATATAGTATACTATATATGTCAGGGGCCATAAACATACGATCTTGCACATTTCTCTCTATTATTTAAACTCGATGTGTATGACTCTTCAGGTTACATACATCATTGCTCTCTTTTTTTCCCTTTTTTTCCCTTCAACCGCCCACCAAGCTAAGGCAAAGATGAATGTTGTATGAATCCAAGATGCTAAATGCTCTGAGAAAGACCAAGTTTTCCTTTGCCTCTCACTTTCTTCAACGGCGCGAAAATGCATTAAACAAATCTTGCCGCGGATTGAGACCTGAAAATCTTTTGAATGCCTTGATTAACCACTTCCCCTTTCTCTTTTCCTTCCTGTTCGACTGCACCTATGATTTACTTCAGTGCTAAGAATCTGCTTTACCCTTTGACCGCATGCCGATTTGCTAAATGGCGCAGCTTCACAAGGGGATAAAGAAATCAGGAATCATGGGCTTCTGCGATCCCTGCCCCGGAGAACCAAAGCAGCTTTTCTTGGAGTATACATTCAATGGCCAGGAACACCAGGTACTAAACTCCTTTCTTCTCCAGAATCTTACCTCACTCGAATAACCTGGTCTGACTTTCTAAACAGGCACTGTCCGATGACCTTGAGGAAGTCCTGATCCCAGAGGAGGGACGCAGGCTTTGAATCCGCATAGATGGAGAGTTGGGTACCTCAGGTTTTCTGCACGCATAGCCATGCATGCCCTGGAGGTGCCGAAACCTCACCTTCTGTCATCAGCCTGCAGGAGATCCCGAGTCCAAGGTAGAAACATTGCCTTCATGTACAGCCTGTTGGAGAAGACCTCAATTTTTGCCCGTCGCTAGTCAGATTTTGAGTCCTCTTTCTTACCCATTAATGGAAATAAACAGATGAAATATCAGCTGAAGAAAGGGCTTTTCTCCTTCTCTACTTAGGGTTCTTCTCATGAAACAATTTTGAAAAGGAAATTACCCTTTATTGATGCAACTTAGACCGATTTATCCTCATCAAAAAGCCAGTTACTTTGTTGGGTATAATGGAACATGACTGGCGACAAGGATCATAAGAATCTTGTACACTGAGGTTGCTAAGATCTGGCCAATTGTGTGTGATATCAACAGATCTACATCCTGTGGGGCTACTCCCGGCATCATCTACATGGAACGGAGAAGAATTATACAGGTACAGCGGCCTGGGGGGACGAAGGGACCCGGTTCTCCACGGGGATCTCCACGAACTCCGACAGGATCGCCCTGAACTCATCCCCTGACAAGGTCTCCTTCTCGATGAGCACCTCCACGATCTTGTCGATGGCCTCGCGGTTGCTCCTGATGTGCTGCAGGGCGATCTCGTAGGCGCTGTCTGATATCCTCTTCACGGCAGCGTCGATGTCCTCGGCCAGCTTCTCCGACATGGAGTTGCGGGCCATCATTCTCATGATCACGTCTCCGCTCTGAGCCGATGGCTCGACCAGGGACCATGGCCCGATGTCCGACATCCCGAAGGTCGTCACCATCTATGACCAACCCAAACCCAAAACAGAAAGAAAAATAAGACGACGGAGAACATTTTTGCATGGAGAGCAAGTAAGAAAAGGAGGATCTAATCACCTGTCTGGCCAAGCCGGTGATCTGCTGCAGGTCACCGGCAGCGCCCGTGGTCACCTCTGACTCCCCAAAGATGATCTCTTCAGCCGCTCTGCCGCCAAGCCCACCCACAATCCTGGCGAACAGCTGCTGCTTCGAGATCAGCGTCGGGTCCTCCGAAGGGATGAACCAAGTCAGCCCCCGCGCCTGGCCGCGTGGGACAAGGGTGACTTTCTGGACGGCGTCATGCCCTGGGGTCAAAGTGCTGCAGCAAAGCAGGTCAACGTCTAGATGCTGATTTGAACATCATTCGACAAGGAGAAAAAAAATGTCTAGTTTGATGACCTACCCACAGATCGCATGGCCGACTTCATGGTATGCCACGAGGCTCTTGCTCCTGCCGTCGGTCATCACGGTTCCTTCCATTCCAGCTACAATCCTGTCAATGGAATCGTCAATCTCCTTGGATGAGATGGCAGTTCTCCCACGCCGACCTGCCAAAATCGCCGCCTCATTCAAGAGGTTTGCGAGATCGGCGCCGCTGAAGCCGGGGGTCCTCATGGCGATCACTTCAAGGGAGATGTCCCCGTCGAACTTCTTATTACTGGCATGCACCTTCAGTATCTCCGTCCTCCCACGAACGTCTGGAACATCGACAGACACCTGCGCAGCATGTCGGCACAGAAATCGTAAGAAATGATTTAATGGGTTATATTTGATCGCCGATCGCCGCATTTCGGCACAGGAACTCAGGAGAATTGAAGCTGACCTGCCGGTCGAATCGCCCGGGTCTCAGCAAGGCAGAATCGAGAATGTCCGCGCGGTTTGTGGCGGCAACCACGATGATTCCTGTGTTGCCTTCAAAGCCATCCATCTCCGTCAAGAGCTGGTTAAGGGTCTGCTCCCTTTCATCGTTTCCTCCACCGATTCCAGTTCCTCTCTGTCTCCCGACAGCATCGATCTCGTCGACAAAGACGATGCAGGGAGCATTCTCCTTAGCCTTCTTGAAGAGGTCACGAACCCGCGAGGCGCCGACCCCGACGAACATTTCTACGAATTCAGACCCTGAGATGGAGAAAAATGGCACGCCCGCTTCACCGGCAATTGCCTTGGCCAGCAATGTTTTCCCTGTTCCAGGGGGGCCAACAAGAAGTACCCCTTTGGGGATGCGGGCGCCGACGGCAGTGAACCTTTCAGGCTTCTTCAGGAACTCTACCACCTCCATGAAATCCTGCTTAGCTTCGTCAACGCCGGCGACATCATCAAAGGTGACACCAGTATTGGGTTCCATCTGGAACTTGGCCTTGGATTGGCCAAAAGTCAACGGGAAGCCAGGGCCTCCAGGTCCACCAGCCCCACCGGATGACCTTCTGGAGAGGAGGAATAAACCCCCAATGAGGAGTAAAGGGAAAGCTAAGTTCCCAATCAGATTGAACAGAAGAGAGCCAGAGTCCTCCTGGGCATTATGCGCTGCAAAATCAACGTTCTTCTCTCTGAACTTCTTGAGGATCTCCTGGCTAAGGCCTGGAAGCTGCACCCTCACTCGTTGCAGGCGATTACCAAGCTCTGGAGAAATGGCTTCCACAATTGCTATAGTTCCATTTTCATACAGATCCACCCTCGTCACTCTGTCCTTGTCCAAATACTCCAGAAATCTGGAATATGACATTCTTGAGGATGATGGACCTTGATCATCAGCGGAAGCGCTTTGTGCCACTAGAGCAGGTAAACTCAGCCCGGCATTTCCTAGAAGAAATTTTAGAAACCCTCTTCTTCCTTCGTGTCCCTTCTGGTCCAAAGATGCTGTTACAGAGACAGGCTTCGATAGAACACTCATTGTAGAAAGACCAGGCAGAGTGACTTGTCTGCCATAGATTTCTTTGTTCAGGTGTTGCTTGTTGCTGCATCTGGATAGTCCATTTGCACCGAGCGATGCAGAAGAAGTTGCCATCTCTGAAATATAACAACAGAGATTAAAAAAATATATTGATAATGACATAGATTGCTAACACTTCCCAAAAGTTTAAAAATTTCGGTAATATCGATGAAGGATGAGACAAATATATTATAATTCACAGAGAAGAAGAAAGTTTTCTTCGCCTATGAAATTCTTAAAAATGAAGACTAAGTCAACGAAAATTTTTTAACAGTAAAAAATAATCCAACAAACTTGAGCTCCAGTTTAGAACCGTGGGGAAACAAGAACATCAGAAATCTCAAACATTTTTATAAGGCATAATGATAAGTTTACCAAATGGTGAGCTAGGAAAAAATAATTTCCCATGATGGAAACGAGATAATATTTCCAAAGCCACATGAGGTTTTGTCATTCAAGAGTAAGTCTGGCAATATCAAGCTCATCACAGCTCAAAATCCCAAGAAAACAGCACGGTTTAGGAATTTCAGCCTAGAAAATTAGGATATATGTTACTTTCTTAAGCAGAATTTTTTCCCGTGATAGCTAGGAAAGAAGAATGTTTCAAAAGTCAACGGCTATTGCCCTTTTCAGAACAAAACTTCGCCAAATAATGTGATTTCACTTCATTTTCTAAGATACCATAACATCCCCGAAAGGACAAAACAAATAATCTGCGAGAAACAAGCATCGTACACATGAATAAGCACGTAGCTTTGATCTCCATTTCCTCTTTCCAATCTAACCTCATAAACGACCTGCCTTGCATACGATTGCATACGATTGGCACAGCGGTCCCTCGTATCTCTGGACGATTTAAAAGGTTAGATTCAAAGGAACAGACGGAAAATTAACACTCAGATCCTATAGTGAAGCAGTCGGGGACCCAACAGCCCATCCATTATATGCATTTTAAGTCCACCTCCACCCCACCCCTCCCCCCCCCCCTCCACCAGCAGCATACACAGCAGAATAGAAGAACAGAGCCGGGCAAGCGGAGACTCGCCAGGCAGATGATAGATATCCCAAGCAGGAGCAAAGAGGCTGCTACGTCGGGGATGAATACGCACAGGAAACAAAAACAGCAGCAAACGAAATAACATCCACCGGCAAACCAAAGAACAAGAATTAGAATCGAAAAAGAAGGAAACAGGCTTTCGATTTGCCCGCCCTCACCTCGACGAAGGGAAGAGCGCCCACCGACCCCCTCCTCTGTGCCGCAGTCACTCCTCCGCTCCGCGTCTCGTCTTCAGCTACTCCCGCAGCAGAAGCCCAAGTTTGGCCACGTACTGGCGGAGAGGCCGGGGAGGATTTAAAGGATGGGAGGGAAGCGGGATCGACGGGGCGTCCAATGGAAGGGAGTGAAGGGGAAAAAGAGGATTTTTCTTGGCGACCACTAGCTTCTGCCCTCCTCGCCGCCCTACTACGTGGCTCCTCCCTGCGCCACGCCACCGATCAGGTACCAGTCTGGCAAAAATCCTTGGCCACCTCTCTCTCTAGACGCTTTCGCTGTTGGCATCGTCTCAGCCCAGGAAAGAGAGAGAGAGAGAGAGACTTGGGCCGACCGTTGGCGGCCCAATTGCTTTTCTACAGCCAATGAAATATCGGATTAAATCCACGTGTCCCGGAGAGGAGCTTGCAGAGAAAATACTAAAACTGTGTTTTTTTCAGGAGAGAAAAGGGTAGAAAAATGGCTGAAGCATGGATGTGGGGGAGGCCGAGGGACGAAGGATCCCTTCGCCTAAACCCTAGAAAACCCCTGAGCAACAAGCCCTGTAGTGGAAGACGATGGGGAATTTCGAACCGTGACCTGAAGCAGCAGAGGATGGCCCCAGTCGTGTTGTGGTAGGAAGATGCTGGTTCTCGCCGGCGGTCTTCGCACTGGAATCAGCCCCGCATCGTTCTTCTCCGGACGGAACCTCAACTGCGCGCTTCTTGTCTGCTTCTCCCGTCTCCTCTGCCCCGGCCAGGCGCCATTTTCTGCGCCCTCCAGGTCCCAGGGCCACCTGGATGATTCCGACCTCGAGGCCATTCCCAAGCTCGTCGTGCAGGATCGGTGGGAAGACCCGAGGATCGCCTCACTCTTTGCTTCGTCCTTAGCCCCTGTTAGGATCTCCAGCATACTGGTTAGCCTGAAAGAGAACCCTCGATCGGCTTTTAAGTTCTTTGTGTGGGCAGGCAAGCAAAAGGGCTTCCGCCACACCACGGAGTCGTACTGCATTACCGCTCACGTCCTCTTCAATGGTAGGATGTACTTTCAGGCTGGGCTGATCCTTAAAGAACTAGTATCGTCGAAGCAGTGGTTGCCTGAATCAGAAAATGTGGTCGTCATGCTCAGAGCGACCTCCGGTATGTGTAACAGTCAGGGGAACGGTGTATTCGACGCGCTCTTTGGAGTTTTGACGGACTTGGGGCGCCTAGAAGAAGCCAGCGACTGTTTTCATAGGATGAGGACGTTCAGAATCCTGCCCAAGATGAGGTCCTGCAACAATCTCCTTCAGAGGCTGGCCAGATCGGGGAAGGGGGCATTGTCGCGGAAACTGTTCGATGATATGCTCAGCTCAAATATGACGCCAACGGTTTTTACTTACAACATAATGATCGATCTCTTGTGCAAGGATGGAGATCTGAAGAGTGCCCAGTGTCTGTTTCTCCGGATGAAGGAGTTGGGCTGCTCTCCAGACGTCATCACCTACAATTCCCTCATCGATGGCCATGGGAAGCTCGGGGAATTGGAGGAGGTTGAGCGGCTGTTTCTGGAGATGAAGGGGGCTGGTTATCATCCGGATGTGATAACCTTCAATGCCATCATCAACTGCTTCTGTATATATAGACAGATTCCAAAGGCATTCGGTTATCTCAGTGAGATGAAAAAAAGTGAGGTGGAACCCAATGTCGTAACCTACACCACTCTGATCGACGGCCTCTGTAAAGAAGGGATGATGAAGGAGGCGATCAAGTTCTTTGTGGACATGAGGAGGAGGGGTCTCAGACCGAACGAGTTCACATTTACTGCTCTCATTGATGGCCACTGCAAGGCGGGAAACCTCGAGGAAGCACTGCTGTTGGTTGCTCAAATGGTGCATGAGGGAGTGGAGCTTAATGTTGTCACCGTCACAGCTCTGGTGGATGGTCTCTGTAAAGAGGGCAAGGTGGAGGAAGCAGAGGAGGTTTTCACGGCGGTGGAGAAGTCTGGTGTAGCTGTCAACCAGCTAATGTGCACAGCCTTGATTCATGGTCACTTCATGAACAAAAATTCGGAGAGAGGGGTGGATCTATTTGACAGGATGAAGGAAAAAGGTATTAAGCCCGACATATCACTATACGGAACTGTTGTTTGGGGTCTCTGCAATGTGGGTAAGCTCTCTGAAGCTCAGGATTTATTGAGAGAGATGGAGGATCATGGCTTTAAGCCCAATCATGTTATTTATACAACCCTTATGGATGCCTATTTTAAGGCAAGGAAAGCTTCTGATGCTCTCGGTCTACATCACAAGATTTTAGACTCGGGCTTGTCTCCTTCTGTGGTGACCTACTGTGCCCTGGTTGATGGGTTATGTAAAGAAGGGTCAGTCACCGAAGCAACCTACCATTTTGAAAAGATGAGAGACATGGGACTCCAACCGAATGTTTTGTCCTACACTGCCCTCATTGATGGCCTCTGCAAGATCAGCTGCTTGGGGGAAGCCGACAAGCTTTTTGAGCAGATGGTGGAGGAGGGTATGCCTCCAGACAAAGTTGCTTACACGTCTCTGATAGATGGGAACATGAAGATGGGAAATCTTCAGGAGGCTTTTGCTCTTAGGAGCAGAATGGAAGAACAGGGTATTGACCTAGACTTGCATGCTTACACTTCATTTATATGTGGGCTGTGTAACAGTGGTCAGCTGCAGCAAGCTAAGAACATGCTGTCTGAGATGGTTGGGAATGGTGTTTGCCCGGACGCGGGTGTCTATAATTACCTGATAGGCAAGTACAGTGAGCAGGGGAACATGGAAGAAGTGCTTAATCTGAAAGATGAGATGAAAATGAGGGGCTTGCTTCCTGATACAGATGCTACTACTGCCAAAGATGGTCAAACGTAGATCCAAGCTGGTCAAGGGTTTGGCTACTGATCATCTGTTCGTGACCCATGTACTGGCGATGGATTTCAGGGTGGCCTACCTGCCTGCCTGCCTGGTATCTTCGGTTGCGTTTCACTGCACCCTGTGCTGGTATCATAGAGAATACTCTATCGGTGAATGTTTCAATTGGGGTCTTTTTACACTAGGCTGTGGCACTGAGCTTATCACCGGAGGAAATCAATCGGTGATTTCGAAGAAATACCCACGTTGTGCAGGTGGGTTCTCTTCCTCGTTGTAATCTTCATTGCTGATGGTTCTCCGGTTATGACCAAGTAGTGCATGACTACTTGGATCTCCCATCTCAAGATATCCCTGTTCTTGGTGTCTGTATACAAAAACGACATTGCAACTGCTCCTGGCCTTTTATGCTAGCTAACTCTGATCTCTCTCAATGTTTCCTCGCAGCACTTGCGTACTTACTTTAGATGCTGTGAGCATTCGGCCTGGAACGTAAGAATTTGAGGGGAGCTCCGCGTGGGAAGGAAGCTGTTGGCTTTCTAAAATTTTCTCCTAGAATCCTGCTGAAGACCTGAAACGTTAATGAGAAACAGAGCTGTCGCAGGACTCTTGGAATCTGGAAAGCCATCTCGGAGAAGGGAGAAGAGCGAGGATACACAAGGTTTTGTAGGCATATATTAGATATCTCAGCCAAGGAGAGAAGGAACCAAAACCCACTCGGGAATACATTCTCAGGTGTTCTAAGTTGCTCAGGGAAGTGCTGCTTGGGACCACTATTCCATGGCGTGGCTCAATCTTTGCAGCCATCTTTCTTTTGTAAATTATTTTATCTCACAACGGGGGTGAAAATATTTTTTATTTTTCGTGAAAATCACTTCTTTATCAGTAATAATGACAGTTTTTTATTTTTGCTCCTATTTAATGAGTGCCCAGATCTGGTCATTCGCTGAACTCTCATCTCAGACGCCATCTAGCTCTGGAATTCTCAGACATCTTGCATTGTTTTCCTCCCATTCTCTAATCCCAGATGGGAAGAAGATGATAGAGGATGAAAGCTTCGATCTTTACCGCGTTCAGCATCAAATTATATGGGCCCACATTATTGTAGAACAGTGTAAACCTGGGGGCGGTGCAATTTTCTCGGCCTATGATTTTTATATTTATCTGGGTATTTCCTGTTTTTCTTGCGTTGGGGGATATGGATCCTGATAATTCGAACAAATATTATTTATCGATTTTATCCTACCCGGGGAATATATGAGCTGAACGATTTCCGGCCGTAGATGTGTGGGTCCCCATGAAGTCCGGTGGAGAATTTCTGAACCATGGGAATATATATGAAGCAGCAATCCCCCCCGCCACCATTTTCCCTGTTCTTGAATTATCCGAATCCCAGGACGACCACCGGTTCCGAAGAGACATCCTCCTGCTGCCGGCAGGCCCCGGTCGGAGGCGCAGAGCTCGCAGCCCCATGGCGGCGGACACGGTGGACAAGCTGGTCGTCTTCCTAGCGAAGAGGGATGGTATCGACAAGCTCGTGAAGACCTTCCAGTACGTGTCGAAGCTGGTGAACTGGCACGCCGAAGCCGCACACCCGGAGGTCGCTCGGCGCGCCAAGCAGTGGGAGGTGGCCTCTGGGCTCAGCCGCAAGGCCTTCCGCTCGGGGCGGTTCCTCACTGGCTTCAACGCCCTCCGGAGGAGCCCCGGCGCCACCACGCTGATCCGGTCCCTCGCCGTCTTCGCCAACGCCGGCGAGATGGTCTACTTCTTCTTCGACCACTTCTTGTGGCTGTCGCGGGTGGGCGTGATCGACCCGGCACTGGCGCGGCGGATGAGCTACATCTCCGCCTTCGGGGAGTCGGTGGGCTATGTCTTCTTCATCCTCTCCGACCTCATCCTCATCCGGCAGGGGCTGGCGGAGCAGCGGCGGCGCCGCCCGGGGGAGACCGGCGAGGACGCCGCGGGGCCGGCGGCGGCGGAGGAGGAGAGGAGGAAGATCCGGGTAGATAGGGTGATGCGGCTCATGGCTATCGCCGCCAATCTGGCCGACCTGATCATCGCTCTGGCGGACATCGAACCCAACCCCTTTTGCAACCACGCCGTCACGCTCGGCATCAGCGGCCTCGTCTCCGCCTGGGCCGGCTGGTACAGAAACTGGCCCTCATCCTAGGTAGAAGACGGTCAACTTGGCCACCCCCCAATGCTGGACACGTAAGATGTACACGTCAGCTGAGTATTGTGTCTATTGTCAAGTAATAATGTTGACCACTCGCCACCTCCGATCGGTAAGCTCACTGGTGAGGAACAGCCGCGCTAGGAGATAGTCAAAACCCCGGACGTTGGACAGGCAAGGCGTACACGTCAGCTGAGTATTATTCCACTGTCAAAGGAAGAACGATGACCATTAGTTCTCCAGCGGTAAGCTCACCGAAAGGTGAATGGCAGCCTCCCTTCTCCTTCTCCCTCCATCTCCGATGTTTGAGTTTCCGACTTGTATGCGGCACCCCCCGCCGCCTCTCCCCTGCCCGGCGTTCCCTCCGGCGAATAAGGAGGACCAGGAGAATGGGAATGGAGATATCGGGGAAGGGAGCTGGTGGAGGGGGAGAGGAGGAGGAGCGGGGCGGTGGGAGGCTTCGGCCATGGGGACGTCGATGGCGGAGGTGGCGGCGGCCGAGGAGGACGGGGAAGGCGAGGAGGATTGCTTCTTCGAGTCGTTGGGTCGGATCTCGTCCTCTGTTTCCTTCGACATCGGGGGATTGGGATCTTCCAGTTCTGATACAGATATCGACGACGCTCGCACTTCGTTCGCCTCTGCGGTCGGCCCTCCGGCGGAGTTCCTCCGGCATTACTCGTTCGCCTCGTCTCCAATTGCGTCGCCTTCGTCCTCCATCGATGGAACCCCTGGTGAGGAGGACTATGGGATATGGATGGGCGAGCCTCTGTCTGTCCAAGAGCGCCGCCGCCGTCTCCTTCAGGGGATGGGACTCGCCAGCTGGAGAGATTTCGGATCGGCGAGAGAAGGAAGAGGAAAGCGGCGCGGCGCTGTCGACGAGTCCGGACCTCTCGGCCTCTTGCAGCCTCCTGTCTCCTCCGTCGATGCCACTCCTGCTTCGGCTTCGAACATGTCTTCTCGATCTACCATCGTCCGTTCAAAGTCTGACGTGGGGGAGGCGGCGGGAAGGGCGACTATCTGGAGGTTTTCACATCTGATCGGTTCACCTTTGCCTTCTTGCTCGCTGGTCCGCTCAGTGTCGACGCCTCCGTCCTTTTCCTTCTCACCTCCCGCTTCTGAAGAGGACGAATGCGACGGGAGGATCATCTCCGTGTGGAGAATCAGCGGGGAACGCGATCTCCAGATTTCGAACAGCAGAGATATCGGGGACAACAGCCGACCAAGGCTCTACACCATCAAGAACCTGGACACGGGGAAAGAGTTTGTGATCGACGAGCTCTTAGAGGACGGGACGTGGAACCGGCTCAGTGATCCTCAGACGGGGATGCGCCTCACCATCGAGGAGTTCGAGACGACTCTTGGCTACTCCCCAATTGTGAGGGAGCTAATGCGCAGAGCGAACATCGCGTCTATGGGATCTGGCTCTGCTACCGTGATGAGCAGTCTTACGCATGGGCGTCGGAATGTGAAGTCCAGTGGCAAGAAGAAAGGCATTGGATGGTTCAAGAACATAAGGGGGGTGGCCAGCTCGGTGACTGCGCTCATGCTGGAGAAGGAGAGAGAGATCGGGTCCTCTGGTCGGTGCGCCTCGTCGTCGACTGTTGATTCCTCTTCGTCGGAGTGGATGAAGGTCCGGCAGAGCAGGAAGCCCTACAAGGAGCTCACCGGACTTTACTTATGTCAGGAAATTCGTGCGCATCAGGGTTCCATATGGACCATCAAATTCAGCCTCGATTCCCGACTGCTGGCTAGCGCGGGTGAGGACCGGGTCATCCATGTTTGGCAAGTGATCGAGTGCGATGATCACGCCTCTTCATCCCGGAGAATACAGGATGAGGCGAAAAGTGCCCCTCCGTCTGGTTACTCTCTTGATCAATCTACCCGCATGAGTTCTCCGGATCAGTCTAATCTTCTGGACGTCCGAGAAGCACAGAGGTTGAGCACTAAGATCTCGTCACACAGGAAGAGAAGTTCCATTCCAGATTATGTTGTCCCTGGAACCGTTTTCTCTCTGTCTCAAAAGCCAATCTGCTCCTTCCATGGACACTTGGACGACGTCCTGGATCTCTCTTGGTCTAAATCTCAGGTACGGTGGTACATTTTGGTCCTCAAATTTTATTTTATATATTATTGTGTTCTGTAGTCCTGTACAATTTCCTATGTTTTGCGTTCCCACGTTTATCCTGAGAAAGTGTGGTGGATAGGAAACAACTCCTTGGAGAAATGACTTTCTCCTGCTCCTGATCCTGCAGATTCTGACCGATTATTTTTTATCGTGTTTCATTAACATGTTTAGAAATAATATTTACCCCTGAAGTCCAAGAAAATTCTGCTTGCCCTTTTTTTATTCAGCTGATTCTATCATTTGCTACCGAGCAACAAGGATCTCTGACGCTGATATCTCTAGGGTAGTATATTTTCAGATGTTCTCTACGTCATTATTTTCAGATGCGGCACAACATATTATTTTACCGTAAGTGCTTTCTAGATACGGAACCACACATAATATTAGCCACCTTTGAGTGTCACATCCCTGGAGATGCTGTTAGTGTTGGAAACTTTTTATCAGAAGATGACGTTGTGAGCTTCCATTAATTCTTTCTTCAAGTAGACTCTTCAACAGTATGTTGCAATATGATGTGGATACTCGAAGTATGGATGATTGCAATTTTTTGCCCTTCCAGTCCGAGCTCAATAACTTGCTCTTTTTCACTGACACTTTACAGTATCTTCTTTCATCATCAATGGACAAAACTGTAAGACTGTGGGATATGGCAAGCAAAACTTGTCTAAAGATGTTTGCACATAATGATTACGGTGAGATACCTTACTTTACGCGTCTCACCTTTCAGATTTTATGCCTTGCTCTAGAAAACTGGATTCAGTCAGTAAATTTTTTGTGGTTCCATTTTATGACTTGCTGCTCAATTTCTACTCACGTTTTTTAATGGATTTGATTGTCACACAGTGACCTGTATTCAGTTCAATCCGGTAGATGATAGGTACTTCATCAGTGGTTCCCTTGATGCCAAGGTCCGCATTTGGAACATACCAGATCGTCAAGTAGTTGACTGGACTGATTTGCATGAAATGGTTACTGCTGCATGTTACACCCCAGACGGCCAGGTACAAGCGCGTGTATAGGAGGACTTAACACAATCGGCATTTATATATTCCTAAGCTTGCTTCGTTTCTGCAGGGTGCCCTTGTTGGTTCGCACAAAGGAACTTGCCGTTTTTACAGCACATCTGGTAATATACCCCCCCTCGTCTATATACTATAGGCTGACAGACGAAGTTTTAGCTCATGGATTGGCTGGTACCATAATCGGCTGCTAGAAACCTGATAATGGAGATAGTATCAGATTTTGAGCATAGCGCAGATGATGAAATCCAAGGATTTTAAGTGTACTCATCTGAAAAATTCAACCAATTTCTGACATGAAGTAGTGGTGGTAACGAGTAATAACTGATCTATCAATGTGTACATCAAATTGAGTTTCTAAGGGTCATTTTACTAAAGGCCAACCACTTTAGGAAACCAGCATTTATCCTGTGGCTTACACGCACTTGATATTCAAACAATTTAGGTACACTATTTTCTTGGTAACACCATCTTGCCTAGCTACTCAGACAGATTCCCTTATTATATTCACATTGTGACGTGTATCTACATGATTCATGGTAATCACATTTATGGATTTCTTCTTTTATTTTGCAACAGTTCATCAACTAATACAAGTTCGGTAAAATTTGATCAGCCTTGTTCCCAAACAGACTTGAATTAACCTCTTCATCATGAAGAAGGCTACAAAAAAGAGAATACTTGTTGTTACTACTAGCCTATTTTATCGCTATCATGTTCCTTGATTCTAAGATTATGTTCGATAAAGATCTTTATCCATCCCATTTAATAGACATTTCAGTTCAATGGTGGTTGCAAACAACTCACGAACAAAATGAAGTGCACTCATTGGAAATTTTAAATGGTATAACTTCACCTAATTGGATTGGAGGAAATTTTAAATTTTGAAACCCAGCTTAGAGCATCTATTTTAAATGTTCTGTTAAAGTATCGAACCCGAGCTAAACAATGGATATCCAATCTGATTTCTAGTTTTTAAAAACAAAACTAAATGTGCATCCATTTGGCAACGTACTTACACCTGAAATCATATCTCGAACCCAACCTTCACAATTCCTTGTATAAAAAGGGGAAACGCCGCCATTTCACATTACATTTTATTGATGGTCGTCATTCTTTTCTTTGTTGTGTTTTGTGATACAGATGGGAAGCTTCATCAGAGAGCCCAGACTGAAATCCAAAACAAGAGACGGAAATCCCATGCAAAGAAGATTACCGGATTCCAGGTGTTGAAACTACCTTCTGTTCTAGAAAATTTTGTGTAACACCCCATACATATTCATAGTAGTAACCATATTTATGTCATGATAATTTTCTACTCGATCTGTATTTATTCAGTATCTTGGCCGCTGTCAAGATAGGCAAATGAAAATTTGGCTAATTCTTGATAACTAATTTGTAAATTTTGCATGGCTAATTCTTATCAGAGGAAATTTAAAAAGCCTTAACATGCCATTCTTTTCTCGTATGAACAGTTTGTGCCGGGAAATCCATCTGAAGTGTTGGTTACATCTGCTGATTCACAAATCCGAATCTTCGATGGGATTCAACTAACTCACAAATTCAGAGGTACTAGCTAACATTGATCTAGAAGGCAGGTAGCCCATATTGTAGTCTGGATAATCTTTTTCCTCTCGCCATTTAAAATCACTAAATCCTAAGTAGTAGATCATGGTTATCATTTCTTTTTTGCCATTTTAATCCACTGGTTAAGAAGGTGCCACTATGAATTTTCTTTCTACTTTCATTGGAATTATCGCTTAGTTCAAAAGGTGGAAGAAATTTACATTTATATCGTGTTATTTAACTCCCTCCCGCATTCGAGAGGATGCCCACTAATTTCCCCCTGTGTATCATCAGGATTTCGGAATACCAGCAGTCAGATGTCTGCATCGTGCACTGCAGATGGAAACTATGTAATATGTGCAAGTGAAGACTCAAATGTGTATGTGTGGAAAAGAGAGGAGCCCCGCAGTGCAGGCAGCATGGGGAAAGGGAAAACTTGGATAACCACTAGATCCCATGAGCACTTCCATTGTAAGGATGTGTCTGTCGCAATCCCCTGGCCTCCCAGCAGTAACAATAAGATCGAGCCTCCACTTCTGTCATCATGTTTGAGGCAGCACGGCCATCAATTGCCTCTGAGGTCCCCTGGTTCTCAACAGCCGCTATCTTCCATTATCACAGCTGCTGAAGATGTCTCAGTGAGCTCTAGGATGAGTCCTGGCCCTCCTCTTGCCAAGAAACATTCCTTAGAGCAAACACCTCCCTGCTTAGAAGAAGATCTCTCCAATCCATCTCATTCAGGACCTCTGAGTGGCGGTAGTTCGTCATCCTTCTCGACCTCCAGTTGGCTAATGTCCGGTGCTTTGTCCTCCATTTCTGCATTGAATACTTTCACTTCCTCTTCCTTGCCATCATTAAGGTGGCACAGCGGGAGCAATAACAGAAGCACCAACGGCCCATCCTCGACAGCATGGGGTCTGGTGGTGGTGACAGCTGGCCTCGGAGGGGAAATCAAGATATTCCAAAACTTCGGCTTGCCACGCCTGCTAAATCGGCAGAATAATATATTTTGAAGGGTATCTTTCCTTTTCTTTTCTTTCTATGTATAGCATTACTTGTGAATGATTCAGGTCTCTATACTGTACATACATGGCATAGAGATTTGAGAACAAACTTCACAGGATGAACTCAAATTCAGATATTGATTACTCATATCGCATCACAATCTCTGGAAGTCACAACTCACTTGAAAACCACTCACTACCAACAACTGACAGTCTTTATCGGATCACTCGGCCTTTATTAGGAGTGTTCTTAGAACCGCCAACTTTTGTACATATTTTTTACATTTGAAGCGACATTTTTTTAATTTTCAATTGTACAAATATGGGCGGAGATGGTATCATCCTGTCGAGAGCATATGCTTTTCTAGAGTGAGTCCAGAGATCTACTCATCTGAAGGAGAACTAGACGAGATCATGTTGAGAGGAGTCTAGTGAACTAGATTCAACCTCATTCCGCCAGTTATCTATGTATTGTCTTTCTTCAGGCCAAAAACGGGCAACTTCGGGATCTCCCAGCAGAGTAAGAACCTCCTCAGCTTCTCCAAGAATATGCGCCGCCTCCCTGACACTCTTTTCTCTCACCTCCACCTTGCAGCAGATGCACTCCATGGAAACAGCAACTGACAGGTTGGTGAGACAAGCTCCCAGTATATTAGCTATCACCCTTCGCAGCCAGGAAAACAGTCTCTGATCATCTGCTTGATGCTCGCAGTCGTAGTCTGCGAGGATGGTTCTGCATACTCTGTCCATACAATGGGCTGCCAGCACCTTCTCAGGCCATTCGAGGGGATTCTCTTCAACATTTGCCTCAGGGTCCTGGTCATTCCCCCGAAAGAAGTCCAGAACGCGTTCCTTCGCTATCTCTTGTACTTTCTCAAGCACATTCCTTCCGTTTCTCTGTTCACCAGGGGCCACACTGTGAAGATCCTGTCCGAGCCATCGGTCGTCGAGTTCAACGTCAGCCCAGATGAGATCCGCTGCCTCCCTCATATTCACCAGTCCCTTCCCATCCAAATTCCTTTCAATGAGCCTGACATACCGGAGCCCCTCGCCCACCCCACGGAGCAGCAAGTCAACCGACACTCGATCGATGCCCGGCAGCGCCACGGCCACGGCGGCAAGAGTCGCCAGCGGCAGCCCCCAGCAGTTCGGCGGTTCAGAACGCAGGGAGGGAATTGTCTTATTGTCGAATGCACCCACTTCCCTGAACCCTTCATTACAGTTGAAATGTGTCCGTATGAGCTCTACCATGGTTGCTGGTTTCCTCCGCTTGCCTTTATCAATCCACGTATCCGTGTCCCTCCTCTCCGACCGTGTGATCAGCCGCACCAGATCTTCCTCCCCTTCGAGGCGCAACACATAATCCTTCAGGTCCGCATTCTCCGGCTGCAGGCTGCTACTGTTCCTCAACAACCCGCCTTTGTCTACCAAGCTCAGCGGCAGCACAGAGACGAGCCTCAACAACTTGCTCCCCGTGACGACCCCCTTCTGGACCCATATCAGCGAACTCATCACGGCATCCTTCAGCCGATGGGCGATCCTCCTCCAACGGCGCCCCCCCTTCCCTCCGCCGGTCTGGAACTGAAGCGGGGCCGCCTTCCAGTCCTTCAGCCGCTGGACCCAGTAGTCCTCCACTCGGAACTCGGCCTTCCAGCTCCATCCCCTGCCGTTTGTGCTCCTGAATCTGACCGCGTTGAACCATCGGCAGGCCGGCGCGACGGTGCCGAGCAGGATACCCGCCGCCTGGGCTGAGAGGACCACGCCGGACGACCAGCCGTAGTCCGAAGTCCCGCGACAGAGCCGCAGGCTCGAATTCCAGAAGAGGCCTCTCAGCAGGGCCTCCACGAAGATCGCGGCAGCGAGGAGGCAGAAGGCCCCCGAGGCCGTGCAGGTTGCAGACCGCCCCAGAACGAACTGCGGGCTGCCGGTGTGAGCCATCAGCCAGTACTTCTTCACGCACATCTTCAGCGCCGCCAGGCCGTCACCCTTCGCCGGGTCGAAGGAGACCTCCTCGTACTTGCGGTCGTAGAGCTTCTCCAGATGGTCCTTGGTGGTCGGCACCGACACGGCGGAGGAGACGAAGATGAGGAGGAGGATCATCATGGCGACTACCACGACGGCGTGCTCCGGCAAGAATGCGTAGATCACGCCGGTGCCCATCTGGATGCAGATGTTGACGACGACGGTGACGACCAGGATGGCCAGGGCCAGGACGTTGGAGAGGATCTCGGACTTGTTCATGGAGCCCAGAGACGGTATGAAGTTGCCCATCGCCGTGCACAGGAGGACCGTGCCGCTGAGTTTGGTGAGCTGGTCGGTGGCGTGGGGCATGGCAGTGTTGAGGTCCATCGGCAGCTTGGCGGCCACGCCGAGCACCGTCAGGGTGGTGGCGTTGAGGGAGAAGAGCCTGCAAGGGACCCAGAGCTTCAGGCGGCGGAAGCCGCTGTAGGCGTCGTAGGCCATCGACGCCGCGCAGAGCAGCGAGGCGGCAGCGATGTACAGCCCGATCCATGGCAACGGCTTCGCGTACTGGTCGTCGATTAGGTCGCCGCCGGCGGTGGCGCAAACCCTCATCGGAATCCACCGGGCTTCTCCCCCCCCTCCCCGCACGCGGCGGTGCCTATTCGGCGGCGCCACAAGGAAGTAAGTAGCTGCTCCTTGACTCCGCCCACCCCGTTGTCGATGATTGGATTCGACAGTCCCTTCCTGGACGCTTCCGACTTATCTGTGGTGCTACAATCCTGTGCTGCTTTTCTGTCGTGAACCGAATCAAAATCCAGCCCGCTAACAGTTCCTGGGGCCGGCATAATCCACGATGAACAGTCGACGTCCATAGAAGTTACCACGTGGGGGTGAGGGAGGGAGTGACGGAGGAAGAGGATGAGGAGATTCTCGGTCTCATCTCGGTCGCTTCACTCTGAAGTTAGCCCCTCATGAAAGGCGACTACGGAGTGGGGAGCAGCTTTCGGAGATGACGCACCAGTCCACGATGACCAGTTTACGTCCTTAAAAATTCGCTCATAGGGATGAGGGACGGAGGGATGAGGAGGACGAGGAGCAGGGGAAGATGGGAAGCGGAGGGGCTGCTGGTGGATGCCTCGGGGCGGCCGTGGATGCCGCGCAGCTAGTGATCTCGGCTGCTGGAGCCGCCGGCAACAATGGAGGCCTCGCGAATATCGCTTCATTCGCGCGGTTCCAGTTCTCAGGTTCGTCGCATTCTTCCTCCGCCGTGGTGGCGGAGACGGGTACCCGGCGGCACCGCTCCCTCGTGAAGGAAGATGCCGAGCAGGTCGGTAGGTACCAGTTAGCCGATCGCTTCATCTTCGGTCCAGTCCCGTCCAGGGAGGAGGCAGCCGAGGCCGTCTCCTCCATCCAGCAGTAGGGGCCCCCTTTATGCTTCTGCAATCCACTGCTTCTTCTGCTCAGCGTGTTCTACTGAGTCGTCATCGTATACTCAGCATCGTCTTCCGATTTGTCGAGCGCGCAGGATGTTCCTTCCAGATGCGTCTTCTCATGAGCCTGCAAGACAGCTTTACAGCGCCAATGGATCCCAGTCTCTTGCACGCAGGAGAGTTCACGATGCGTTTCGTCTGCTACAGATAAATCCGTCCGTTAAGGTAGTATCAGATCTTTGGTTTCACCCAAACCGCCTCTTTCTCTATCCATACCAGTAGCTCTTAACGATTTCTAAAACGAAGTGGAGATCAAATGCTCTCTGAAATGATAATCTGAGGGCTATTTATTTGCCAACATGTATAATGGAATCATCCGTAATTGGTGGATAACCTGCTCCAGAATGTTTACGGCCACAAATCGATAATCGATAATATCTCCAAGTTTCCTCCGAGATGTGCTTCTCTTTTTCTTCCTTTTTCTTGCGGTTCCGATCATCTCACACGACTATAATCATCTATTCACTTCTATCATTTGAAATAATGCAGAGGACCGTAGTTTCATTGGCGACGGACAAAGCCGTCTGGGATGCCGTAATGAAGAACGAATCAGTGCAAGAGCTCAGGGCGGCCTTCTATTCAGGTTCTTCTACTTTCCATCTGTGTTCACACTCAGGCTAGCTAATATTTTGTTTTTTAGAGCTACTAGTTCAGACGATTCATAGCATATGCTCCATTACTTTTCAACCAGAGAATGCTCCAATAAACCATTCCCTCGTTATATCGCCCAATCGCTGTTAGAATCACGTCTCATTAATCATGCTAAGATCTGTTCTATGCATTCAATGCTCCCGAAAATCTCAAATCCGCATCCTAGCCCCTTAAAAAAACTAAGTAAAAAGCTCCGGACCTCCCATTCTATAAATGGCATGCACTTGCTAGCGAGCAAGAGTGAGTGAGTGAGAGAGGGAGAGAGAGAGAGAGTCACTTCATTTGCCAGTTTGGAGGGGGGCTGAGACTTGAATGCAGAGAAATCTGACCAGACCCCAGTTGCTGACACCCCTTACGGACCGCATAACGCTGGTTCTCCACACCTCATTCTCTCCTCTGTGCTGGAAACTTTTATTTTTGTGCAGCAGATGAGGCCCGGAGATCGAGGGCTGACGAGGTTGAAGGGACGATCCTCAGCAATCTTTCGGCGAGAGCGTTGAACTGGGTCTTCGACCTGAGCAAGTCCAAGATACTGGAATTGGTCCAGAAGATCGCCAAGATCGTGGACGAGCTCCTCCTCCCGGGCCACAGGAAGGCCGAGGAGGGCCATCAGAAGGGCCTCCAGGAGGATGCGCTACGCTCATCGTTCATGCTCTCCATCTTGGTCTCCATCGTCGTCGTCGTGGCGCGTATCCACAAAGCCTTCCCTCTTGATGTTGGGAGCATTTAATTAATGCTGCGAGGTAGTTTGGCAAGGGGTGACAATAACTCGCGATTTTATTTCTCAGAAATCAAGCCAGCTTCTAATGCAAGAACAGAGGGTTATGAATGAAATATTCGTATTTCATTCAACCAGTTCACCACGAAACTATCATAGTTTTGAGTTTATTATACCAATTAGTTGCATATAACAAGGTTATATCCATAAAGACGAATATTACATGTGTTTGTACTCTCTCTCTCTCTCTCTCTCTCTCTCTAAATCTGCATCCCACCCCGGGCCAATTTGTGATGTAGCATGTCCACCATCCAACTCTAGTGAACTAGAAGTCAAGGAAGCTTGAAGAATGGACTAAATGAAGGAGATGATCTCGTACTTGATCAGACCCATAATCAAACATGTGATAAACACATCGTATACTAGTTTTCTCAGTTATAGTTAACTAACATAGTTGGAGTTACATGAAGATCAAATTCTGCCCATAAATTCATGAGAAATAAAATTTTGATGAAGAACCCATGTCCAGAAAAGATAGAACTTAGAAACTTAGATCATTGAATCTGCAAGGACTTGTTGGAACAATCTTTCAATTCACGAAGCTTAATATTCTCTTGAATTCACAAGTAAAAAGATAGAATCACAAAAGAGAAGAAAAGTTTTGAAATATAGAATCATACTTCTACGAGTACAAAATGGTGTCTTTAAATTGGCCCAGTTTCCAGAGAACCCTTAAAAACACAGTTCAATTTTAATCACACTAAAGACTGGTTAGTGTGAGATCTGGTGATGGTAACAGCTGGCCTCGGAGGGGAAATCAAGATATTCCAAAACTTCGGCTTGCCACGCCTGCTAAATCGGCAGAATAATATATTTTGAAGGGTATCTTTCCTTTTCTTTTCTTTCTATGTATAGCATTACTTGTGAATGATTCAGGTCTCTATACTGTACATACATGGCATAGAGATTTGAGAACAAACTTCACAGGATGAACTCAAATTCAGATATTGATTACTCATATCGCATCACAATCTCTGGAAGTCACAACTCACTTGAAAACCACTCACTACCAACAACTGACAGTCTTTATCGGATCACTCGGCCTTTATTAGGAGTGTTCTTAGAACCGCCAACTTTTGTACATATTTTTTACATTTGAAGCGACATTTTTTTAATTTTCAATTGTACAAATATGGGCGGAGATGGTACCATCCTGTCGAGAGCATATGCTTTTCTAGAGTGAGTCCAGAGATCTACTCATCTGAAGGAGAACTAGACGAGACCATGTTGAGAGGAGTCTAGTGAACTAGATTCAACCTCATTCCGCCAGTTATCTATGTATTGTCTTTCTTCAGGCCAAAAACGGGCAACTTCGGGATCTCCCAGCAGAGTAAGAACCTCCTCAGCTTCTCCAAGAATATGCGCCGCCTCCCTGACACTCTTTTCTCTCACCTCCACCTTGCAGCAGATGCACTCCATGGAAACAGCAACTGACAGGTTGGTGAGACAAGCTCCCAGTATATTAGCTATCACCCTTCGCAGCCAGGAAAACAGTCTCTGATCATCTGCTTGATGCTCGCAGTCGTAGTCTGCGAGGATGGTTCTGCATACTCTGTCCATACAATGGGCTGCCAGCACCTTCTCAGGCCATTCGAGTGGATTCTCTTCAACATTTGCCTCAGGGTCCTGGTCATTTCCCCGAAAGAAGTCCAGAACGCGTTCCTTCGCTATCTCTTGTACTTTCTCAAGCACATTCCTTCCGTTTCTCTGTTCACCAGGGGCCACACTGTGAAGATCCTGTCCGAGCCATCGGTCGTCGAGTTCAACGTCAGCCCAGATGAGATCCGCTGCCTCCCTCATATTCACCAGTCCCTTCCCATCCAAATTCCTTTCAATGAGCCTGACATACCGGAGCCCCTCGCCCACCCCACGGAGCAGCAAGTCAACCGACACTCGATCGATGCCCGGCAGCGCCACGGCCACGGCGGCAAGAGTCGCCAGCGGCAGCCCCCAGCAGTTCGGCGGTTCAGAACGCAGGGAGGGAATTGTCTTATTGTCGAATGCACCCACTTCCCTGAACCCTTCATTACAGTTGAAATGTGTCCGTATGAGCTCTACCATGGTTGCTGGTTTCCTCCGCTTGCCTTTATCAATCCACGTATCCGTGTCCCTCCTCTCCGACCGTGTGATCAGCCGCACCAGATCTTCCTCCCCTTCGAGGCGCAACACATAATCCTTCAGGTCCGCATTCTCCGGCCGCACGCTGCTACTGTTCCTCAACAACCCGCCTCTGTCTACCAAGCTCAGCGGCAGCACAGAGACGAGCCTCAACAACTTGCTCCCCGTGACGACCCCCTTCTGGACCCATATCAGCGAACTCATCACGGCATCCTTCAGCCGATGGGCGATCCTCCTCCAACGGCGCCCCCCCTTCCCTCCGCCGGTCTGGAACTGCAGCGGGGCCGCCTTCCAGTCCTTCAGCCGCTGGACCCAGTAGTCCTCCACTCGGAACTCGGCCTTCCAGCTCCATCCCCTGCCGTTTGTGCTCCTGAATCTGACCGCGTTGAACCATCGGCAGGCCGGCGCGACGGTGCCGAGCAGGATACCCGCCGCCTGGGCTGAGAGGACCACGCCGGACGACCAGCCGTAGTCCGAAGTCCCGCGACAGAGCCGCAGGCTCGAATTCCAGAAGAGGCCTCTCAGCAGGGCCTCCACGAAGATCGCGGCAGCGAGGAGGCAGAAGGCCCCCGAGGCCGTGCAGGTTGCAGACCGCCCCAGAACGAACTGCGGGCTGCTGGTGTGAGCCATCAGCCAGTACTTCTTCACGCACATCTTCAGCGCCGCCAGGCCGTCACCCTTCGCCGGGTCGAAGGAGACCTCCTCGTACTTGCGGTCGTAGAGCTTCTCCAGATGGTCCTTGGTGGTCGGCACCGACACGGCGCAGGAGACGAAGATGAGGAGGAGGATCATCATGGCGACTACCACGACGGCGTGCTCCGGCAAGAATGCGTAGATCACCCCGGTGCCCATCTGGATGCAGATGTTGACGACGACGGTGACGACCAGGATGGCCAGGGCCAGGACGTTGGAGAGGATCTCGGACTTGTTCATGGAGCCCAGAGACGGTATGAAGTTGCCCATCGCCGTGCACAGGAGGACCGTGCCGCTGAGTTTGGTGAGCTGGTCGGTGGCGTGGGGCATGGCAGTGTTGAGGTCCATCGGCAGCTTGGCGGCCACGCCGAGCACCGTCAGGGTGGTGGCGTTGAGGGAGAAGAGCCTGCAAGGGAACCAGAGCTTCAGGCGGCGGAAGCCGCTGTAGGCGTCGTAGGCCATCGACGCCGCGCAGAGCAGCGAGGCGGCAGCGATGTACAGCCCGATCCATGGCAACGGCTTCGCGTACTGGTCGTCGATTAGGTCGCCGCCGGCGGTGGCGCAAACCCTCATCGGAATCCACCGGGCTTCTCCCCCTCCCTCCCCTCACGCGGCGGTGCCTATTCGGCGGCGCCAGTAGGAAGTAAGTAGCTGCTCCTTGGCTCGGCCCACCCCGTCGTCGAGCATGATTGGATTCAACAGTCCTTTCCTGGATGCTTCCGATTCCTCCGCTACTTTTCCGTCGTGGACTGATTGAAAAAGCCCGGGCCCGCTGAGGCTTACTGGGGCCGGCGCAATCCACGGTGAGGGGTCGACGTCCTTAGAAGTTATCATGTGGTGTGAGGGAGGGAGGGAGGAAGAGCATGGGGAGGTTATCAGTGTCATCGTAGGCCGTTTTGCTGTCGTGGGCCGGTTAAAAAGCGCAGGCCCGATAGTCCCCGGTCGCTTCTATGAGTATGCATGGTGTGCTACACATTTTCTGAAACATCAGATACTTTGAATACCTGTAATCCTGTGATCTTCTTTGCATGGGATTTTTGCCTCTTATTTTAGACTCAATTTAAATTTTTTGTATCACAAAACACAACAAAGAAATGAATGACTAACATTGATAAAATATGATCTGAAAGGAATAGTGAAACGTGGGCTCCACATTTGATTTCCAATTTAAGTACATCAAACAAAGAGATACACATTCAATAAAATAAAAAAACTTACAAATTAGGTTGGATATCCATTATTTAGATTAGGTTTCATACTTTTAAATAATCTTTGAACATTTAAAATAGATATTTTGGGCTATGATTTATTATTTAAAATTTCCTCAAATCTGATTAGATGAAGTTTTAGGGATTGATTTAGTGACAAGTTATCATACTTAGTATTTTCATGACATGAATATAAGAAATATAGGTTTAATATGTATAAAATAAAAAGACTAAATTTTTCTTAGGATAATATCTTCTCTTATCTATCTCTCTTTCTCTCCCTCTCTCCCCTTGCATTGAGTATGTCTCCATGGTATTAGACAAGGAGAGAGAGAGAGAACACTAGATCCATTATGGGTTCGATAAAGTACAAGAATCTCAAGGAAGCTAATTGATATCCTATATCCATCATATAACTTTAGTAGACTAGAAGTACAAGAAGTGTGAAGAATGGACTGCATGCATGAGATGGTCTAGTACTTGATCTAGCCCACAATAAAATACATCATAAACACATCATAGTCTAACACTCAATGAGTGTTACAAGACTTAAAAGGGTTGAGATCTAAGATCTGAAATCAATGATGGCATTCATATCTTTAAGCTAATTCAATGACTCTTCTCAATTCTTTGGATTACACAATAAATGTAAGTCTTTCTCCTAATGGTAGATTTTGAATATTAGAGGTGTTGCTCATATGATTAGTATTTTAAATTATTTCTTAGTATAATAATTCTCTAGTTAGTAATTGATATAGGAAATGTAAAAACCAATTCTCTTGACATTATCAAAAATATATTGCATGTCTCTAAAATTTTCACTAGTCTTATTTGTATTAAGAAATTAAATGATGACATACATTGTAAGGTAACTATTGATAATATTATTTGTGATGATTATAATAAGATAGTGAATCAGAGAATTAAACATGCTAAAGAGTGTGAGGAGCTTTACTCCTTTGAAACAATAGGTCAGGTCTACATCATAGAATCACAACCTTCACTAGGACATATAATTACGTACTATATTATGCATAATGATTTTTTGTTGTACTATTTTCATTTTACTCACATGCCTTTCAATATATGAAAATTATGTTTCAAAGTTTTTTTACTTGAATGTTAAAAAAGAATAGCTTTTATGTTTGTGAATTATTATATCACAAAGGTAACTTACTTCCTAAAAATAGTTAAAATAGTATTAATCTATTTTCACTCATTCATAATCACATTTAAGAGCCTTTATCTACTCATAATATATTAAGAGTAATATCATTCACAACCTTAATAGATGATTGCTAATAAACTATATTTATTTATTTATAAAATCACAAGTTAGAAGTCACCAAAGTACTTCAATAATTTTATTCATTATTGAAAAACTTATTTGAGACAACAATAAAGAAATTTTTATTAGATGATGATGAAATCGCTTTAATTATATTATAACTGAAATTTTCCAAAAGGAATAAATTATTCATGAATGTTCCACATTATTCCTTGTTTATCAACACCACGAAAAAATGGAGTAATAGAAATGAAAAATGTGCTCATATGAAAATTTAACATTAATCTATTGCAAAATCATGTAACAAATTTTTTAGAGAGAAACTACCCTATTAAATTTTCACCTCACAAATTTTCAACTTAGATATTAGGATTTAATAGCCCATTATAGGTTATGTTATCCCATTAACTATACATTCAATTAAAGAATAATTGAATCCTAATGATCTGTAGGTATGTGGTATCCATAATCAATATCAAACCAAAGGAAAGTTTGTCTACATGTGCTAAGATATGTTTTTATTAAATACTCAAACACTAAGAAGAGGTATGAGTGGTATAACCTCTTATCAAAGAAATATATAATTTATTTTTTAAAAATTATTACTGAATATAAATTGTTCTTCAATAATAGTAATTTTTTTCTTTTAAAAATTAAGCTTAAAGATTGTGATGGAGAACAAGTCGTTAGGAACTTCTTGTTAGCAATTTCACCTTCAGAAGAATCTTGGTCACCAAATTTGATCTCATAAGAAATTCAACCTCATGATTCTTCCCAAGACATTGCAAATATTTAAGAAAACTTTATTAAGTCCCTTATACTAGATAAGATAAATACAAAAAATTATCTGCAACTCTTATTAAGAAAAAGAGAAAATATTTTAAGAATGTGAGGTATTAATTTCTCAATTTATGTCATTTAAATGTTTATCACCTTTATACATAATAGTTTTCACTTCTCTTAATACCATAACAATCCCATCCAATGTTTCTAAAACATCATCTCATGATGAATGGAGTTAGACTATGAATGAAGAGACAAATGCATGAAAGAAGATCAAATATCATAACTAGTTAATTTACCAAAAGATAAAATTATTTTTGGATGTAAATAGGTGTTATTATTAAATATAAAGTGAATGAAATGATAGAAAGATATAAAGCTAGATTATTAGTTATAGTGTTACCCAAACCTAGGAGATATACTATTTAGAGACATTTGTCCCATTTGAAACAATAGATACTATTTGAATCTTAGTCTACTTAGCAACTAAGTATGATTGAAGTGTACAACAATTCAATGTAAAAAAATCACTTCTATTTATAACAATTGACAAGAAAATCTATATAGATGTATTGATGTAATAGGTTCCAAAGGTTATGTAGTGTGTAAGCTAGGAAGAATATTGTTTAGGCTCAAATAATGATTAAGACAATAATACTAGTGATTTAAAAAGGTAATACAAGAAATAGGCTATATCCCTAATAATGGATATTACACTTTATTTGTCAAGCATTTACTTTCAAGGAAAACTACAACCCTTCTAGTCTATGTACATGACTTAATAGTGACAAGAAATGATGATAGGGAAAATAAACATATAAATAAGTATTTAGTTAAATAAATATTTTATTCAAAATATTAGATAAGTCTAAATATTTTTTTGGCATTGAAGTGACACAATAAAAAGAAGGAATACATATTTCTCAACAATAGTACGTTATTGACCTTTTAAAGGGTACCAAAAAATTATATCGTAAACTCATCAGTACTCCTATATATTTGAATCATAAACTCAAAAATGCTGAAAATAATAGTCCTATGAATAAATTGATGTATCAATGTCTTGTAAGAAAATGGATTTACTTTTCTCACACCATCTAGATTATGCATATCAAGAGGAGTTCTTAATTTATTTATATACAACTCAAGGGAAGCTTACCACCTAGTAGTTGTCATAATTTCAATATTTTAAAGATACTCTTGGTAGAAAGTTTAATTTAATAAAAATAATAATATGAATGTTGAAAGTTATACTAATATTATTTACAAAGATTTTATCATCAACCAATGGTCAACTTTAGGCTATTACACTCTCTATAGGAGCAACCCCATCACATAAAAGAACAACAAACAACAAAAAATAAGTGGTGATTAGATCTAGTACATAATTGAAATTTCAAACTAAGACATAAGACATAATATCACGTGGATAAAAAGTATTCATGAAAACCTCAAAATAAAATGATAAAATATAAATAAACTACATTATGAAAAAAAATCTACAATAATTATTACACATAATCTGGTGCAACATAATAAAAAAAAACATATTGAAATTGATTGATACTTTATCTAAGAGAAACTTAACAATGACATCATTACACATTATATGTCTAAGAAATTGTCAAATACTATCACCAAATAATTAAGTGGACCAACCTTCAAAAGACTTATCTATAAGTTGAAGAAGAATGCCAAAAAATGAGAGATTGCATACTTATCAAATTAATATAATTAATTGCATATAAAACCTTTATAATATTATTCTTTTACCCTTTCTCTCTTCAAGGTATATGAAATCCAATTTGACATAAGTAAATCTGATTAATTGAATCCAATCTACTTTATTAGGCCCAACATGGGTAAAAATGCCCTTTTGTATTTAATAATAATTTATATTTTTGACTTTCTAGTTCTCTCTGCTCTCTTGCGAGCTAATGGCTCACTCGCAACAAAAATGCCTCCTCCAACAACCAGCAATTATGGTGGCTTAAACAACAAGACGAAATGAAATTCGGGTATTGATTACTCATATCTCATGACAATCTATTGATGTCACTAATGACTTGAAAACCAGTCACTTCTAACAACTGACAACCTTCATGGGATCAGTCTGCCTTTGTTGTGAGCATCCTTACAACCGGCAATTTTTGCCTGTATTTTTTATATGGAGCCACATTTCTTCAGTTTCAATATTACAGATACAAGTAAAGATGGAACTATCCTTCATGTGCATATGATTTTTCGCGCTGAATTTAGAGATTTACACATATGAAGGAGAGGTAAAATAGGCCATGTTGAGAGTTGAAGGGAGGTTTGAGCACCCAGATTCACCCTCTTTCCGCCAGTCATGTATATATCGTCTTTCCTCAGGGAAAAGACGGGCAACTTCGGGCCTTCCCAGAAGAGTAAGAACCTCCTCAGCTTCTCCAAGAATATGCGCCGCCTCCTTGACACTCTTTTCTCTCACCTCCCCCTTGTTGCAGAAGCACTCCATGAAAACAGCAACTGATAGGTTGGTGAGACAAGCTCCCAGTATATCAGCTATCACCCTTTGCAGCCTGGAAAACAGTCTCTGATCATCTGCTTGATGCTTGCAGTCGTAGTCTAAGAGGATGGTTCTGCATACCCTGTCCATACAATGGGCTGCCAGCACCTTCTCAGGCCATTCAAGGGGATCCCCTTTATCATTGGTCTCAGGGTCATGGTGATTCTCTGCCAGGAAGTCCTGTAAGCGTTCCTCCGCTATCTCTTGCAATTTCTCAATCACCTTCCTTCCGTTTCTCTCTTCACCAGGGACCACACTGTGAAGATCCTGACCGAGCCATCGGTCGTAGAACTCAACGTCATGCCAGATGAGATCCGCTGCCTTCCTCATATTCACCAGGCCCATCTGATCCAAATTCTTTTCGATGAGCCTGACATACCGGAGACCCTCGCCCACCCCACAGAGCAGCGACTCGACCGACTCCTGATCGATGCCCGGCAGCGCCACGGCAAGGCCGGCAAGAGTCACCAGCGGCAGCGCCCAGCAGCTTGGGGGTTCCACTGGAACCTGGGAGCGGATTCTCTTATTGTCGATTCTACCTACTTCCTTGAACCCATCTTTAAAGCTGGAATGCTTCTTTATGAGTTCTAGCATGGTTGCAGGTGCCCTCCGCCTGCCCTTCTCGATCCAGTTCTCCGCGTCCTTCCTCGCCGACCGTGTGATCAGCCGCACCAGATCCTCCTCCCCTTCGAAGTACAACACATATTCCTTCAGCTCCACATTCTCCTGCTGCAGGCTGCTACTGTTCATCAACAGCCCGCCTCTGTCTACCAAGCTCAGCGGCAGCACAGAGACGAGCCTCAACAACTTGCTCCCCGTGACGACCCCCTTCTGGACCCATATCAGCGAACTCATTACGGCATCCTTCAGCCGATGGGCGATCCTCCTCCAACGGCGCCCCCCCTTCCCTCCGCCGGTCTGGAACTGCAGCGGGGCCGCCTTCCAGTCCTTCAGCCGCTGGACCCAGTAGTCCTCCACTCGGAACTCGGCCTTCCAGCTCCATCCCCTGCCGTCTGTGCTCCAGAATCTGACTGCGTTGAACCATCGGCAGGCCGGCGCGACGGTGCCGAGCAGGATACCCGCCGCCTGGGCTGAGAGGACCACGCTGGACGACCAGCCGTAGTCCGAAGTCCCGCGGCAGAGCCGCAGGCGTGACTCCCAGACGAGGCCTCTCAGCAGAGCCTCTACGAAGACCGCAGCGGCGAGGAGGCAGAAGGCCCCTGAGGCCGTGCAGGTCGCCGACCACCCCGGTACGTACTGCCTGCAGGTGTGAGTTATCAGCCAGTACTTCTTCACGGACATCTGCAGCTTCGCCAGGGCGTCGCTCCCCGCTGGATCGAACGAGATCGGCCAGTACTTGCAGTCGTAGAGCTTCTCCTGCAGGTCCTTGGTGATCGGCACTGGCAGGGCGGTGGAGACAAAGATGAGGAGGAGGACCATCATGAGGACCATCACGACGGCGTGCTCCGGCAGGAACGCGTAGATCACGCCGGTGCCTATCTGGATCCAGATGTTGGCGAGGGCTGTGACGACCATAATGGTCAGGGCCACGACGTTGGGGAGGATCTCGGACTCGTTCATGGCGCCCAACGACGGCATGAGGTTGCCCATCGCCGTGCACAGGAGAACCATGCCGCTGAGCTTGGTCAACTGGTCGATAGCGCGGGGCATGGAGGTGTTGACGTCCAGCGGCATCTTGGTCGCCACGGCGAGCACCGTCAAGGTGGTGGCGTGTAGGGAGAAGAGCCTACAAGGGAACCAGAGCTTCAGGCGGCGGAAGCCGCAGTAGGCGTCGAAGGCCATCGCCGCGGCGCAGAGCAGCGAGGCGGTGGCGATGTACAGTCCAATCCATGGCAGCGGCTTCGCGTACTGGTCAGCAATCAGTTCGCCGCCGGCGGTGACGCAAACCCTCATCGGAGTCCACCTGCTCTTCCCCCTTCCACGCGAGGCGGTTCCAATTCGGGGGCGCTGGCACGAAGTCTCTGCACCTTCATTCCAGCACCCACCCGTTGTCGGCTATGTTGGGATTAAACTCTACTCTCCTGGATGTTTCTGACCCATCAATTCTCGGGCGAAATTCTAGGCTGCTTCGCTGTCATGGGCCAGTTCAAAAGCGCAGACCTGATAACTCTGCGTCGCTTCACTGTGACGTGGCCTCATCACAGGCGACGACGGAGTGGGGAGCAGCTCTGAGAGACGACGCACCAGTCCATGATGACCACCAGTTTACGTCCTTGGTGGATAACCTGCTCCAGAATGTTTATGGCCACAAATTGGTAATCGACAAGTGTCTCCAAGTTTCCTCCGAGCTGTGCTTTCAATGGACGGTGGTTTTAATGGCGTCGGACAAAGCTGTCTGGGTTGCCGTAATGAAGAACGAATCAGTGCTATATAGCAAGGCGACTTTCTGCTCGGGTTATTCTACTTCCCATCGTTGTTCACACTCAGCCAGGCTAACCAATGTTTTATTTTTTAGAGCTATTAATTCAGACCACTCATAGCATATGCTGCATTTTTTTCAGCCGGAGAATGATCCAAGAGCCATTCCCTTGTTAAATCGCCCAATCGCAGACCAAATCACGTCTCTTTCACTTTTCTTTGACCTTTTCCATAATGCTCCTGAAGCTCTCAAATCCCGATCCAAACTCCAAAAGAAGCCTAAACGAAGAGCCCTGGACCTCCTCATCTATGAATACGAACCTCTCCCAGCCCTCCATGCACTTGCTAGCGAGAGAGAGATAGAGAGATGGAGAGATAGAGAGACAGAGAGAGAGAGAGACTTGAATTCTGAGAAATCTAACCAGACCCCCAGTGCTGAACACCCATACTAGATAACGCTGGTTCTCCACACCTCATACTCTCCTGTGCGCCAGAAACTATTATCTTTGTCCAGCAGCGGAGGGATGGAGATTGACCCCTGCGAGGGTGAAGAGACCATCCTTGTCGATTTTTTGGCAAGAGCATTGAACTGGATCTTCGAGCTGACCAAGCCCAAGATAATGGAATCGGTCCGGAAGATTGTCAAGATTGTGGACGAGCCTCCTCTCAGACCACGGGAAGTACAAGGAGGGCCATCAGATGGGCTTCCTTGAGGACATGCTATGCTCATCGTTCATGCTTTCATCTTGGTCTCCATCAGCATCGGCATCGTCATGGCATGTATCCACAGAACTTTCTCTCTTGACCTTGGGAGCATTTCATTAATGTTACGAGGAAGATAGTTTCTAATGCGAGTAAAGAGTCAAAAAAAAATCGTGATGTTATTTGCATGAATCAAAACTAGCTTTAAATGCAAAAATGGAATGTTGTGAATGAAATATTTGTATATAACTCAACTGAGTCACCACAAACTGTCACAAATTTGGTTTTTAGTTTATTATTCAAATTAATTATATATAACAATGTTTATATCCACAAAGACTAATTTACCTTGTAGTTGCAGTTCTCTCTCCCTCTCTCTCTCTAACTATCTATCTCTCTCACTCTTTCTCTACCCCGACTCCACCTCTCACCAAATTAGTGACTGGAATCTTAGGAAGTGTGAAAAATAAATAATAGCCATGGAATAGTTCAAATACATGATATGGCCTGTAATAAAATGGATCATAAATTAATTTTCCCACTTTTAGTTAATCGACACATATGAAGTTTTGTAGAAATGAAATTTTATCCTTGAATCCCCCAGAAACAAAATTTTGATGAAGAACCCACCTCTCAAATCCAAAAAACTTGAAATTTTTGATTCTTGAATTGACAAGGACTTCCTAGGAACACCTTTTTAATCCATTGAATTTAGAAAAGAGAGACATAATCTTAAAAGAAAGATATTTAAAAAAAAAAAAATAACGCCCTTGAGGCTACAACATGGGGCTTTGAATAGGACAAGTTTTTAGGGTAACCTTTATAAGAAAATTCAATTTTAATGGCACCTTAAAATAAATTGAAAGCACACTTAAATAGAAAACTTATCCATGGCTTACCATGCTTGCAATATATTATATAATGAATGTATGACACATTGTACTATGGGGTAGATCAAGTACTAATTCATCTCATGCTTGTAATCTATTATTCATGTTTCCTGAACTTCTAGTTCACTAAAGTTGGATGGTGCATGGACTAAATCAGTAAGCTTCCGAAGTCATTAATAGTCTATTAATGGTTTGTCTCTTCTTATAATGAAAGGGGGAAGGGAGGGTGATAGAGAAGATGTGATCCTAGGCTTTTCATTTTTAGTAAATTAAATATATAAATCCTTTGCTTGTGGTAAGCTAAAAACTAAGTCGTCAAAATATTTTATTTATTATTATTCTTATTAAATAAAAATAATAATATGTTTTGCATATTATATAAATTTATTCTATACTTTGACTTGTGATATGTGGATAATGGGACTGTTAATTAGTCTTCTCGGGTCGGAAAAACGGTTACTCAGATACCCTCTAGCCATTCAATTTTATTACCTATAATGATTCATTTTATTACCGGACAAGCTGATAAATTATTGCAGGCACAAGCGTAATTTAGCCAAAAATCAAAGTTATTTATGAAGTTCAATTCGCCCGCCAGAGACCTCCTCGTTGCTGTTGCTGTCTCCAGCCTGGTCCTGGCTACTCTCCCCGTCCCCACCCACTTCCTGCGGATTCTTGCGTCCGCTGCAAGGAATTTTTAATGGTTTGTGGGGTGTTCTCTCCCTGGAATTTGATCTTCCATCTGCTTCCTGGAGGATTGTGTCGGCATCGATCTTCCCTCCGACGGATTACTTCGTGGGGGACGGCCATGGCGGCGGCGTTCTTCCCGCGGGTGACATTCCGTCTGAAGGTGGAGATCGTGCGGCGCTGGTGTTGGTGGACGACCTTCTTTGCGTCGGTGGATTGGACGAAGCTGATCCTTGCTACAGCTCTGGTTTCTACGGCATTCCACGTGTTTCTCACCTATGGCCTCCCGCCTTATTCTTCTGATTCGTTCTTCTTTCCATCTATCTCCCTTTCCTATGCGACGGAGGGTAAGGTGGCGGCCGCCTTGCAGTCGCCCTCTCCTCTTCCTTCTTCCTTGGTGGCGGGGCCGTGGCAGTCGCCAGCTCTACCTGAGGCCTCTTCTCTTAGCTCCTCTTATCCCGACGGTTCTTTCTCACACAGTTCAATTCCGGTAGGAATTTCGGTTTCCAAGCATAGTACTGAAAACGAAACTTCGAATGCAAGAAGCGCTCATTCTTCCGGATCAAAGGTAGAGGTTTCTCTTGCACCTAGTTTTTATTTTATGTTTCTTTGTTTTTTTTACCATGCTTTGGGTAAATTGTGCGTACTCATTGGCTGGAGACCTTGGGAATGTACAGAGGCCGTTGCGATGGTTGCCAACAGATGACGCACTGGTTTATGCTAAGTCGGAGATAGAACGAGCTCCCATCATCTACGATGATCCTGATTTGCATCCGGCCTTATTCCGGAATGTGTCAATTTTTAGAAGGTGCGAAGACAATTTGCCTCAACTTGTGGACGTTGTAGAAGTTTTTCCTCCTGATATCCTGTCTGATCCTGCTGTCTCGACACTAATGGGCACACTTAGTTGAGATAATGTTGCAGTTATTTTGCTATTTTGATACTTTTTCTGTCCAAAAATATTCAGAAATCAGATAGACCTTATTTTTTATATATATTTATATATATTGGCACATACTCATCTAGGAGAAATATTAAAACTCCCGTTTGATTCACTAGTTACGTACTGACCTTTGTTGTATCCTAAGACTGGATTTACTGATGCCCACTTTCGCTTGTTAACAACCCTAAAAACTCACAACCTTCCTCACTTTCATGGCCCCATTAAAATGATGCACCAAAAGCTTATTGTGAAACTATTAGTAATTTCGTCGCTTAAATCTTTTCATGATCGTGAAGATTACGGACTTAAATGGGTGCAACGGAAGCAGTTGACTCTTGAGAATTCAAGCATCTACACGGCGGTTCTGTGTCACCTATCTATCAATCATCCATCATGGAGTGCCAAGATAGGCTGGCTCTGCTAGATATGAACCAAGCAGTGACTGGGATAGCGGGGGCCTAGACATGGCCTAGTCAGTTGGACAGCTGCCATGGATCAACCTTAAATTTTCTCAGACATGGGATGAAGATGGGGAAATTCAAATTTGAATACAGTACGGCCTAATCGTTTTCATGGTGCTACGAAAAGTGTCTAATAAGGAGAAAACATGATCACAGTCTCTAACTAATCCCATCCTTGACATGATGAATTACATGCGGAATCTGCGTATCATAACATTGAACTTCCCCTGTCTAGGTAATTTATTTCATCGTCAGCTTTTTTACCGACAACAATAAAAATTCTTAGTCTCTGGCTCGCTTGTAGCATCTCTGAGCAACTCAGTTATTTACTGAAGCAATTGAACTGTCCACGAAATTTTCTTGATGATCTTCAATAGGGGAATCTGTAGTTTTCGATTACTTCTTCGTTATTTTTTATGTTCATGACTATACTAAATTTTCTGTAGTCCTGTAGTTGTGATGATATTTCGTTTGGTTTCTTCTGAGAGTGAATTTTATTCCTCTTCCAGGTAATTTTCTGTGTTTGCTGGAATGTTTCACATTTTGGCAACGCTGACTGCACTGAATTCAGCAAACTCCTATTTCAAGTTTGTGTGGAATCTTTTCAGCAAGAATTCTTCTGCATGTTAAAAGATCTACATATTTACATATTTACCCCTAAGAAAATCAGAATTTCACTGGCACTAGTTTAATTAAAATGAAAACTCTTCTTCATGAAGTAGACTTTCATGTATGTTCCATCCTAGTTTCTTCTCAAGGAATAACGATTCAATAAATGGTTCCATTTCAGGAGCTATGAACTGATGGAGAAAATTTTGAAGGTGTACATTTACCAGGAGGGAGAAAAGCCGATTTTTCACAGACCTGCTCGCAGAGGCATATATGCCTCTGAGGGATGGTTCATGAAACTTCTGGAACAGAATAAACATTTTGTTGTCAGAAATCCAAACAGAGCACATTTGTTCTACCTACCTTATAGCTCACGTCAACTGGAAGAAGCTCTTTATGTGCCCGGCTCGCATACTATTCGCCCACTGTCTCTCTTCATACGGGATTACGTGAACATGATTGCTGCTAAGTATCCTTTCTGGAACCGTACACGTGGTTCGGATCACTTTGTGGTGTCATGCCATGATTGGGTGGGTAGCTCTTATTCTGGTTTGTAAACTGTTTATTTTCTAAATCAGTGATTTTTTTCTGATGATATAGCCAAAAACTTCCAATTCTAGAATGTTACTCCCGGTTTTTGAAGATAGTCTTTTATATCTCTGTTAATTACTTTTTATAGTCCAATATTTTGTAGTTTTGTTTTATCATTTCGTTAGTTGTGTTCGTGTAATTTTAATGGTAGGAAACTAGTACATCTTTTGGATTCTCTCCTGCTATACTTCATCGTCTGATGGTTTATTTAGCGCAAATCCTTGATATATAATTCTAAGACTCATAGTCTGAGACTGTTTTCTCTGTGAGCAGATTGAAAGTAGTACTATGAGTTTCTCTATTGCATTCAAAATAGCTTTCCATGATACTTCACTGATTGCTCTTGCAATTGGATGGTCTTCTCAGGGGCCACAAATAACGAGAGATCATGATGAACTGCGAAGAAATGCCATTAGAGCTTTGTGCAATGCCGATGAATCTCGTGGAATTTTCATTCGTGGAAAAGACGTCTCCCTTCCAGAAACAATCGTCAGAAGAGTGAGGAGGCCTCTTCAAGATCTTGGAGGAAAACCAATCTCCCAACGCTCCATTCTTGCCTTCTATGCAGGACAAATGCACGGTCGTGTCAGGCCTATACTTCTCAAGTACTGGCGTGGGAAGGATGAAGATATGAAAATCTATGGGCCTCTCCCAAGTAGAGTATCTAAAGTCATGTCGTACGTACAGCATATGAAAACCAGCAGGTTCTGCATCTGCCCCATGGGTTACGAAGTAAACAGTCCGAGGATCGTTGAGGCGATTTACTATGAATGCGTTCCGGTCATTATAGCCGATAATTTTGTGCCGCCATTTGATGAGGTGCTGGACTGGAGCTCATTTTCAGTCGTTGTTGCAGAGAAGGACATCCCCATTCTGAAGAATATACTTCAAGAAATCTCTCTCTCTCGGTATATTTCGTTGCAGACAAATGTCAAAAAGTTGCAGAAGCACTTCCTTTGGCATGCAAAGCCCATCAAATATGATCTCTTTCACATGATTCTGCACTCTATTTGGTTCAGTAGGCTAAATCACATTCAGATCCGACGGTGATCCAGTTCATTTCATTTTCGGCAGTGAGAAGGTATCTTTCTGCCAATGCTTTTAAGTCATTTAAGTCATCGTCGGCGGTGATCCAGTTCTTTCTTTTCTCTAGTCGTTGACCATTATGTACATTATTGTGAAATGTCCATTCTCTATTCATGCTATTTGTTATTTATTGTCTGATAGAGAAAAAAACCTACTCCATTGACTTTCGACGCATCTATGGGTTATGTAGACAGCTACATATTCAAGATGGTTTAGATGCCATTTCCTCCATGCTGAATGAGGGAAAAACCCTTTTCAACAGGGAGGCCTTTAATTTTTTTTAATCGCTTTTATCTCCTTTTCAACATGGAATTATTATCATCAGCATCTGCATCAGAAGACGGGCAACCAAAAAAATAAAGTTCCTCCCATTCCGAGCTGGCATCTTCTTTTTCCCGCTTGTTAGAATTTTTTGAAATAGACCGAGAGAATAGGTTTTCGTGTGAGCATGCTTTCATTTTTCAGGTTCCCCTAGAACTGATGGCGTCTTCCCTCTCATTCATATTTTCTTTTAGGGGTCCTTTTCCTAAGCCATTACGAAGGAAATGGCAGCAAGTATGCAGAGCTTTATCTGATGGGGTCGCTTGGTAGAGGGGAGGAAATATTGCTCCTGAACCATGGCTTCGCTCATGAGCAGCCGAAATCAGAGACTAAAGCATCATCAACTTACAGCCTAAGAACTTCTCGCTGGTAATTATCCTTCTCCCAGGGGAGGTGGGAGATGTGGTGGGTACCTCTAACATGGCTGACATTGTTTCATCACTTATCAGGTATGTTCCTTTGGACGATGGAGATCAAATGTCAGACATGCGAGCAGGGAGAGAGAGAGAGAGAGAGAGAGAGAGAGAGCCGGAATCAGGCTCGTTCTATTCGGCCGCCTGATTCTGAAGCAAGTTGATGATTCCAAGCTGAGAATTGCCACGTTCATCTCACTGCAGGTTTCGCGGTCAAACTAATAGTTTCGAGCAGATGCTATGGAAAACAGCTCTCACCCAGCCCCAGGTACGTGCTCCAGAAGGCTTCCAGGGAAATATCTCAGAAGATTTTCTTCCAAAAAAATGTCCCATTAGAGTCGAGCACGTTTCAGCTTCACTTCACTTCGGTGCTTAATTTGGCAGTAATTTCGTAGCCCAAAATGGGTTGCCCGGAGGATCTTGGATACTGTGGTGAGTTGACTTTTTCGCATGAATTGGGTTGACCTCCATGACGATTTTCCAGCTTCCGTCAGGTTTGTGTAAGCCCTAGATTAGTGGGTGGTGAGTTCTAGGGGGTGGTACAAGAGAGCAAAATGTGCAGGTAAATAACATAATCAAGTCAGCGGACATCTAGAAAGGCCGGCCCTACTACATGCACATATTCTTCAAGACGACTTTTCAGTTGACTTGTTAGTCAACCAAAGCTAATTGCCTGCAAATGATCAAGCCTAGATCGTCGTTCAATCTCCCTTCTTAGCCTCTCTCTCTTTTAGAATCATCAAACGCTTATCAGTGAGCCAGGCACCGCCGTGCCCACCTCCACATATAGCCGGAGAAAGAGAGTCAGCGAGCGCTAGAGAAAACCAGAGAGAGAGAGAGGAAAGTGATAAAAAACCAAGTTCATTTGAGCAATCCGGCGGAAGAGCAAGAGAGAGATTGAGAACGAATTTTAAAAGAGAGAGTCGTTTGGATGCCTAAGGGAGTTCATAGAGAGTTAAACTAGAGCCTGAAATCCAACGGTCGGCAGGAAAAAATAGGGAAGAAGCAAAAACACATGGGCGGCGAGATCATCGTGGCTTACTGTTGGGGGCACGCCGACCGATAATATCCCGACCCATCGTCGTCGTCGTCGTGACCATAGTGAAGCGAGGCCTCGCGTTGTTGATGCATCCGTCGCCATTGTACTGCCTCGGGGTCGATGTCATGCAGAAACTTTCTCTCGCACCTGTCGAGCTCCGCCTGAGACGGCGGGGGGAACGCCGGCGGCGGCAGAAGCTCCTCCAGCAAGCGGCACTTCTCGGGGGTGAGGAACTCGAGTGGGGGGAACACCACGTTGTAGATGATGTAGAGCGGCCCCTTCAAGAAGGGCATCCGGTACTCGGGCATCCCCTCGTTTTCGATGACTTTATAGTGACCTGGTTTTTGCGATGACCGAGAGTATATTTTTAGCTGGACAGAGAGAGGGGCAGATAGATAAGAGGAGCCCAGAGGGGGAGGGGGAGGGAGACCTACAGCGCTTGATGAGATCGCCGGGATATGATTCTATCAGCAGACGCCTGCCGTCAAGGTGCTTCAGCGCAATCTTGAAGCCACAGAGGGCGTCTCTCAGACTGATCTTGAGCTCCACATAAAGATCGCTAAACTCTCTCTTGAATACGGGGTGATCCGCGAGTTGCAGCACGAACACCAGGTTCCCTGTGAGCAATCCAGGCTGGGAGGGACGGGGGTGGGGGGAGGCGGCAATTAGCATTAGAAAATGTACGACTTCTGGTTTAGCTTAGAATTATCGGCTTCATGTTAGAGTTTTATAAGTACTCACGAAATCATCTCCTTCTCCATGGAATACGATCCTCTGCCCGTCCTTCATTCCCCTCTCAATTACCACCTCTCGGACCTTCGTCTCCCGGGTGATCCGCCTCCCCTCGCACCGTGGGCATCTGTCCTCCTCACTGGGGAGGATCCCTTACAGAATGCAAGACAGATTTGAAGATTAGGTTGGAATACATGATCGAAAAAGGGAGGAGAAGAAGGGGGGGGGGGGGGGAGTTGAGGTATTAATTCGCACCTGAGCCTCCGCATTCATGGCAGGCGTGCTGCACACGTTCGGTCATGCGGTATGCAACATGCCGCTTTGATACCAGCAACCCGGAGCCCAGACAACAAGAGCATTTTTCTGGTGCCTCGTTCACCGTACCTTGTCTGAAACGATTCACTAAATCATTAACATGATCCATCCAAAATTGATGAGCAGATTGGTGAACAGACCCTAGGCATTTGGAGCATATCACAGTCCTCGACGTGGGAATAGTTTTAGAAGTTCCATTGTAGAGATCCTCCAAGGTGACTACGACAATTTGTTCTTTATCGACCGGTTTAATAAACCCTTCAATTGCCAGGAAAAAGCAATTAGAGATAGATCCTCAAGGACGAAGACAATGAAAAAGGCGATCTGAGATGTCTCACCGTTGAAATAGCCACCACTAGAAAAATATCCGAATGACTCAAATATATTATCAGACGGTCCACTACTTGTCCCGCACTCCGTAAAGGAACCTTCTCCATACTGATCATAAATCGCTCTCTTCTGTGGATCACTAAGAACTTCGTAGGCTTGGCAGACCTCCTTGAACTAAGCCAAAATCACACAACAATTACATGCCGGCTGGATTACATTGCTGATATCCGTAAATAATTAAAAGCATTGTTATCACCATGCAAACACCGAGCAAAAAGTAACTGGATGACGAATATTGTCGCGTACAAATACATAAGATGATGCTTCTCAGATGGAAGACATGTATATGGAAAACGAGAGAAGAATAAAAGGATTGCCACTCATGAGTTCTTTAAGAAATTATTCGACCATACGATATAACATGTTTAAAGTCAATATTTGATGTATAAAATGGTCAGTGTACGTAAACTAGGTTGACGTGACCATGTCACGCGCAGTAAGAATTATCTTCAGCATTTCATACGTAAACTTGACGTTCCGAATGCACGGCAGCGCATTCTTCCTCCGTCATTATTAGCATCCGTCAGACAACCACTAACAAAATGTTCATAAGAGACAAGATCTGCTGGATAAAGAACCCTCACCTTTTCAGGATTTCCCCCCTTGTCCGGGTGATACTTGAAAGCCGCCTTCTTGTATGCTCTCTTTAGCTCATCCAGATCTGCGTCCTTTGAAACCTCGAGAATTTCGTAGTACTTTGTAGACTTGCTACTCAACGTCGCGTGAAACATGACTGGTTAGCCGTGTTGCTGATCTCGATTCTTAACCTGTTTACAAGAGCAAAATCAACCATGGAGTCTAAACAAAATACTCAAGACCGAAGGGAGAGAGAACAGAAGGAAATCAGGAGACAAAGCAGAAAAAAGAGGAAAAATGATGAGAACCTTTCTCATAGACGGTTCTAAATATAATGGACGATGTGAGAAATAGAATAAAAGAAACAAGTGCTTCTCCCGTAGTTCAAACTATGATTTCTTTTACATCGCGAGTGACAGAACAAGGCACCAAGAATCGAATATTCAAATGCTCCCCAGCTCGGCAACAACTTTCAGCGAAGGCGAAAGTCCTAGCCATCAGACGCAGAACGCAGAACGCAGAACGCAGATGAACCGACAAAACCACGAATCCGATCTGGATCGCGGTTCTCGACAGGACGTCTGAAAACGAAGAAGATGAGGCGGATTTGCAGTGAGGCTGCAGGAGGCAGGAAATCACCTTGGCGGCGGCGGCGGCGGCGACTGCCAGAGCGTCGGAAGAGGGAGCGACGGCGGCAGCACGACCAGGGCGCTCTCTCCTCCAGAAGGACCGAGGCGGTGGCAGGACGGGAAGTAGAGAGGGAGAGCTCTCTGCGCGTCCCCCGCGCTTTGGAATGGGAAGGGCGAGGGAAATTCGGAAACAAAGGAAGTCGCATAGCGGGCCCCACATGGGAGAATCTCCACCGTTCCTCAGGCCAAGGACGCATCCTGAACGTTGGATCTGAGAGCATTTACTCCCAGCGGGCCCCGCTCCCGAAACGGCAGTTTCGCGACACCCGGCTGTTGTGCTATTCCCACTAGCTCTTAACCAACTTACACCTCCTTCCTATCGTGACGCCCCCCCCGCGTCCCAAAGGGGAGTCGGGCCTATAATTGGAGTGAGGGGAGCAGTTCCGGCAGGAGAATATCAGCCCATAGCGGGGAATGCGCCAACTGCTGGCACGTATAAGATCCTGTCGCACACGTGCGGATTCATGCCAAAGCAAAGGCGAGCAAGCGGGCCCACCCTGAGATATAATCTTTATTTTTCCAGCGTTTCTTTCTTTTTCTATAATCTCTTTCTAAAATCGAGCCGCCGTCCTTGATGTCCCAAAATCTTTACGACCCCTTTTCATTAAAATCGGTATTTACATCTTACCAAATTCTATATAATTATATAAATGAGCGAGAGCTAAGCAAAGTATGTACTCGTTATTTTCACACAATAAATGAATTATTAAAAAATAATTAAAATAACGCGTGTATCTTGGAACTTCTACGGGAGCTGGATTTTAGCAGGTTTTTTTGCGCATAATATCTTTGGATAGATTAAGGTTTTCTACGGGTTTGTCAGACCCGACATGACTGGCGAATTTGAACGGGTCGGATCCACTATCCAGGGTTACCGATACCATTAACAGCTAACCCGCTATCCCTATTCTGTCCTTTTGCCTTCTTCAAGTCGAACTGAACGCTGGCGGGGAACTGAAAGAGAGACGCAGAGGCAGAAGAGAGAGAGAGAGAGAGAGCAGGGGGGACTGTGGCAGGGATGTGGGACGAGTGGGTGGAGGATGCGATGGGGAGATTGGCGGCCCTGAAGGTTGTCCGCGTCGCGAAGCCCATCTCTCTGCCCTTCCCAATCGATGAGCTGGACGCCGCCGGTGGGAAGCTCGAGAACTTTGCGGATGGCCCGCGGCCGGAGGACCGTTCAGCCGTGGAAGTGGAGATGGATGAGTTCACCTATAAGATGTGGGCCTGTGGGGATACGGTGTCAGGTTAGCTCCCAACTAGTGTCGTGGCCCTGATCTTTCTTCGGAGGACGTTGAAGGAGGAAGGGGGAGGATAATGCTTTCTAGAAATATTCTCCAAGGCTGGTTTGTCATCGTTTATCTTCCTTTGTTTGATCGAGCTCTTTTCAGGCGACGAGGTCGCCCTCAAGGAAGAAAAGCCGTTCAGGAAGTTGCTCTTGTTCTCTGGGAACGATTACTTGGGTCTCGGCACTCATCCAACGGTGAGAAGTGCCGCTATAAAGGTATTTGCTCGAGACGTTCCTACTGTTTTGAGTTTTGTAGTGTAAAACTTGAATATCTTCTTTACTATTTCCATTTGGAGTTACTTCTCAGGCATCTCAAGAACATGGGATGGGTCCGAGAGGTTCCGCGTTGATCTGTGGCTATACAAATTACCATAAGCTCCTAGAAGATTCACTTGCAAGTTTGAAGAAGAAGGAGGTGATTCGAATTTATCCATAAATGAAGCTCTGAAACGTCCATGTTAGTTTCCTGGAGGACGTTTTCTTCTTTTCTGTTGTCGATAGGTTGTCTGAAGGGAAGCAATGCGTAAATTAAAAGGTGGTAATATAGTTTCAGAAATACCGGGAAGGAAAATCTGTCATCAGCAATCACTATGAAGTTCATATCAACCTGATATTTCTAACAATTATTTATATCAGAATGTCATGACATACCGGGGACAGAAAACTCATTTATGAACTAATCTGAAATATCTAATCTATAGCAACGTGCACATACATAATGCATTCATCCAAATTATTTTTCTGTTGTCATACCTCTTGCTGATGATTCATCCACTCTACTGAAGTGGCTGAAAAATTTTGCGACTCTGTAGACATATGACAACCTCAGGAGATTTATTATGCCAGGGTTGGATAGCAATGAAGAGTTTCAAAGATTGGTTTTTAACAGTTCTTCGAGTGAGTCGGAAAAGTTGCCTATTAGTTAACATAGCATACCGTTATACTACAAACTTAAATGACAAGACCGAAGGTATTTTTAAACCCATTAAAAAACATACTGAACAAGTGGAAAGGTAGATGCAATGGAGCAGGTGGCTGGAACAGTCTTCTGTGTTGTGTTTTCTATGACTCCTAATCTAATGTCCTATGTTCCAGGCGCAATAAGATTGAGCGAATTAGAGGATTTCTTTGTGTGGAGCAAAGGTTTCTGTGGAAATGTTATTTCACGATGGAGTAAGCCTAACTTTGCAAAACCAGGGTAGAGGGTGGATTCAGTGATAAGGACCCTATAAGGTTTAACACGCATCAGATGGGAAGTGACTGTGGTAGCTTTTGGATGGTCACATAATATCTGAATTTGGATCATCTAATGTCGTGTCTAACCGGTGAGCGGAAGTGTCTTTCTCCTTAATGATATGTATGTCCACAGCTGTTGGCGTGTGTGTAAACATCCCATGATTGTGGTTGGAGATATAAAGGATCGGTTTTAAGGCCTTTTTTTTTGGAAATAACATAAATATAGCTATTGTCCATAACATGACAAGTGGTTGCACATCCCTCAGTTCACCTCTGGTTCATTCCAAGGAATGGAGCCACCATTGGCCACATCAGCATGCTTCATCTCACCTGAAGAGACAATACCTACTGTGTTGTATCGCTCTAAACGAGATTTTTCAATAATAAGGTCGTGGAGTTATGGTCCATGATTCCCTGGATGTAAAAAGTAAAGAGCGGAACAGTTCTCAAATAAAGGAAAAATTGCTCCTTGCTCAAAGACAGAAACCATGACTGTTTTGAATGATTTTCATCGAGGGTTTGCCATTTAATGATCAATGAGTCAGACAATGACACTGTAGCATGCTGGGAAACTATGGTAATGTTGTCTGTTAATTCATTAAAGAGGACCTCAACTTTGTGAGACGGAATGCCGCGTTGAAAGGAAAAAAGTGCGTCTAAAGTTGGATACCTTCTCTGGTTTAGCTAACCTGGGTGAACGAAATTAGAGAAGGACATAACTTGGCAGAACACGGTGTGGGGTTCAGATTCGATAGTGTGTTAATTTTCAGTCATCCAATCACATATGTTGCAGGAGAAAGATCCCAATACATTTTTTGAAGTGCTTTTGTACAATGATCATGCTAGACGTTACTACAATGAACGAGAAAAGGAATTCGAAAGAGATGGCCCTCTTCTTGTTGGGTAATTTGATTTCTGATCAATCGCTATTATATTGTCATTTCTGCTTTCGTGTTCTTCTCTATGAGGGTGTCTTGTTGTTTGGATTTTTCCTCTTCTCTCTTTATAATGTGTGAACCTGCTTCATAGTTACATGCACAATCTTTTAAGCATTCCTTAAAACATTTTTTTTTTCCTCCAGAGCTGTGTCATATGCCCAACAGGTTTCGCTGCCAACATGGCTTTCATATCGGCTCTAGGAAGCATAAGTTCAATCTTAGCTGTTGGTAGAAAACCGTCCAAAGGGGAAAAGATTGCCATATTTTCTGATGCTTTGAACCATGCATCTATAATTGATGGTATCCATCTTGCTGAGAGGAGACAAGAAGTCGAGGTCTTTATATACAGACACTGTGATATGGCTCATCTTGATGCTCTGCTGTAGGTTTTCTTATTAAAACTTACTTTAGGTTTTTATCTCAAATATCTTATCGACAATCTTAAATCAACAGATCGCATTGCACAATGGAGAAGAAAGTTGTCATCACTGATAGGTAAAAACACGTCTCTGACAAGTGCATTGATTTCTGGTAGATTTGTATATTCACTCTGGTTGCAGGGTTGGTCTGTTGATCGTTATGATTACAGATGTTGGGGATCTGAATTTTTCTCTTGATATTCAGAAGCAAATGCATCTTTAATTAATGTTTTTGGACTCTGTTATTAGTCATCTTCTAAGTGCGGTCTTGCATATTTTCATGTAGTTTGTTTAGTATGGATGGAGATTTCGCTCCTATGGTACAGCTTGTTAGGCTCCGCAAGAAGCACAACTTTTTGTTTGCCATTGATGATGTAGGTGCGGTGAAGTTTCTCAATGTTCTTTAAAGTTCCAAGATAGTTGTCTAATGATGAAGGATTCGCCTGTTCTTCTCTCAGGCACATGGCACATTTGTTTGTGGAAATAGTGGTGGTGGTGTTGCAGAGCTATATGATTGTGAAGACGATGTGGACATTTGTACCGGAACCCTGAGCAAGGCAGCAGGCTGCCAAGGAGGATTTGTTGCTTGCAGGTGACAGTATGCAGTCAATGTTCTCAAGCTCTCTTTTTTATCTTTCTTCAGTGAAAGAGTGGAAAATTCTATTCTGAGGAAATGCTATATGTGATGTACAACTGTATTCATAGTCTCTGTATCTCCATGCATATTGTGTATCCCTATTATCATCATTGGATATTTCTCTATTATTTCAATTATTTTTAAAGGAATGCAAATTCTTGGTTGCAACACCCTTGTGAGCTCCCAGGTACCTTGTTGGGGTTTAGCGACAATCATCAGCTTTCCGCTGTAAGAAATGTTTTCCATGATGGGACACGAATATTTTTTCGATTCCCAGATACAATTAAAAATCAATAGGAAAGACGCAAGCCATGTTTCAGGCTGAATGACCGAACTCAAGCTGCAAAAACGCGAAAGTATGGAAAGTTTGTCGGAAATAAAACTGATTTTATTTCAAATTCACACAGCCCATCCCTACAGATGGTTTAAAGAGAGATCAAGGAAAAAAATGGTTGAAGAAAATGACTTGCCCCACAATTAGTGATATGATACGATTGTTCATTTTTTTCTGATTAGATATGCTCGGTTTGCTCGTTTCAGGAGCTATTGCCATTAAGTTTATCATAAGATCCCGATTTCCATAGAATGTTGTCTTTCGGGTGTATTACAGAATTTCCCTCCTGGCCTTGACATTTATGCTGATAGTCTCAATGCTATGTCTTATGTTCTGACTTCGGCGTTTGATGATGATTACCCCGAAATTATCTTTGTTGTCAATGAAGATGATGGGGACAATCGGAGACTGTCTCTCCTTTGACATTTTTTGTATATATATATAGCTCAAGAGCCTAAAGAAGGGCTGAAAAGGGGCATATATAAAATAGAAAGAGACATTACTGGGAATGTACTATCCTTTCTCATTGATCTTGAACAAAACTGGATGTTATAAGCCGGCGGTGACTGGATGTTATAAGCCGGCGGTGGAAGCCATATTTTTGAAGCAGCATTCTTGCAGCAATTTAACGATGATATTTTCTTGGTTTTAGTAGATGATTGTATATCCTCATGCTCCGTTTCTCACTGATGGCTGCTGAACAGCGCAAAATGGAAACAACTCATACAGTCACGAGGCCGTTCATTCATATTTTCAACTGCTCCCCCGGTTCCCATTGTAGCAGCTGCTCATGGTAATGGACGAGCCCTGAATTTTTTGAATTTTTTGCTAAATATACGCACCTTATGTTATCTGCCTCATCGGTCTAGTTTTCTTTTACATTCGTAACCATAACCATCTGGTTGTCAAGAAACAGAAACGAGACCATCATCCTCTTATGAGGCAAGTAAACGATTTTCATGATCCCCGGGAAACCTTCGCATTTCATTGCCACATTGGACACCACATAGCCAAGCATTTGGTAGAAGGATGCATCCTCCATGGTTAGGATCGTTACTGGTTGACAGCCTTCTGTCAGATGATCGTCAGCCCCAAGGCTCCAAGATTCAAATGGGTTAGTACACTGTAGGTCTCATCCCTCATCTGAGTGTGGGCACACCCCTGTGGAGTCGTATCTTCTCTTAAACATATGGCACCTGTCTTTTCCAAGGATCTCTACTGAATTTTTTCTGATTATTTCTGCCCATGAACTGGCAGCTGCTATAATCGTGGCTGGGAAGGAGAAATGGCGTAGAAGGGAACTTTGGAGTAGGGTGCAGGAATTCTCTGCATTGACTCAACTGCAGGTTACCAGCCCCATCATATCTCTGGTTGTTGGCAGTGAAGAAGCTGCGCTCCATGCAAGCAGGTTTATCTGGTTTCTATTTCAAGAAATTTTTCTCTTATTGGCTGATCAGCTGACTTGTATTTATCGTATGATGGATCAGATATATGGTGAAGTGTGGGTTCCATGTGACTGCGATCAGACCTCCCACAGTCCCTGCCAATTCATGCAGGTTCTTATTTTATCCAAATTAAGAGTACTATTTCTAGTGTTTGTAATGCTCATGGCAGTTAATCTCTGCTTCCAGGTTGAGGTTGACTTTGTGTGCAGCACACACTTCAGATGATATTAAGATGCTGGTGGATGCCTTGTCCCTTTACATCGAGCTCCCTGCTAAGAAAAGTAGAAGCGTTCATCTAGGTTCTAGGCTTTAGTTTATGGTTCCATTGACTCAAGGACTTAGATTTGACTCGGAATGTAATCCAAGTGGCGTTTCAATATTTTTTTTCTTCTATTTTTGGTAAACGAATCATCTCTGTTCATTGAAGGATATGCATGACTGGGAATTCCAAGGATATTTCAAGTGGAGGGGAATCGTTTGGAGGATTTGGTTGCCTCAAAGGGTTGCATCAGTCTGTAGCCCGGCCCAGTGTGCCCAGTTTTTGGGGTCTGGCGCCCACAAGTCCATATGCCAGTTTTCTTAACACATGGTTGTTCAGCAGTTACCCCCACAAGGCAGCTTCTCTCTCTATCTCGCTCTGTCTATCTCTCTCTCTCTCTCTCTCTCTCTCTCTCTCTCATAGGTAGACACAGAGAACTAGGCTGGTCCTATTTAGGTCCCTAGCTTCATAAGAGCTTGTCCAGACTTTAGCCGGGGGTGGGTGGGGGTGGGGTTGGCGTTGAGTGGCCATGGCCCATGGGCAACCCCTGGATGAAGGTTCTCATAAAAGGTGACGCTTTTCTCTACTTCGCTACTGCGTGGGACTGAAATCGGGATCGGGCTGAGGTGTGAATTCTGGGCTTTCGATTTTCATTCTTATCTGAAAATGGCAAGATTTCTCACGTGGGTTTGACCCCAAAGAGCGATGTAGTGCTCGCGCGGGCGTCAAGTGACGTGGATGGAGAGCGGAGTCAAAAAGGATAGGGTTAGGAAAAGGCGGTAACTGTAGGGCCACAGATGACGTGGACAGAGAGCTTGGTGACTGTAAAAGGTGCAGCCACTGGCTCCGCCGCCAAACTTGGCGCACGCCGTCGATGACTGCCACGTCGGAGGTCGCTTTCTCCCCCATCTGGTTGCTCAGGACCGCGTCATCTTCTCCAATAAAGGCGGATAAGGAAAGGAAAGTGATGGATTGAATGAGGGCAACGTCGTTCAAGACTGAGGAAAGGTAGACATGGAAAGAGAAACGAAGATGGCGGTCACGAGCAGAACTGTCCACTTACGTTCGTGGAAGGGGAAGGCACGGACGGAGACCATTACAAATGTATACTCAAGCGAGAGAGAGAGAGAGAGAGGGAGAGGGCGAGAGACAGAGAGAGAATACTTGCTCAGGGAGGAAAACGGAGCTAGTCGATGCCTAGGGAGAGACTGAATGGAGAATTTGCAGATCATTCCCATCCCCAAGGACGTCCAGCCGCAGTATGTTGAGATGAAGGTTCCGCTTTATTCCCATGGTTGCGAGAGGAAGGTGAAGACGTCTTTGTCCCATCTTAAAGGTGTTCACATCTCTCTCTCTCTCTCTCTCTCTCTCTCTCTCTGACCAAAGCTGACATACAGGAATATACTCGGTGCAAGTGCATTGCGATGACCAGAAGGTGACCGTGTGGGGGATTTGCAGCAAAGAGGCTGTGCTCGCCGCCGTGAAGAAGAAGAGGAGGGGAGCCCATTTCTGGGATCAGGAGGAGGATGACGCCGGGAAGGAGGGAGGAGCCCCGGCGGCGGAGGAGACGGCAGGGCAAGAGAACACCACCGACGAGCACATATCTCCCCCCAAGGCCAGGGGAAAAGCGTCCTCCTATGGGCTTTCCAGATCCGAAAGACTTGGAAGCGGCTGTTCCCCTTGCTGCCGTCGTCGAACCGCCGCTAGCGCCGTCGCATTACACCCCGATGCACGAGATCAGCATATAAAGCCAAGTAAATGATTTCCCCTTGTGTGATCATTCGGATCGGAACTGTCGATGAAATATCCCTTCTGGCCATATTTTATGAGAATATAAGATTGAAGAAAGGTTACATCCATGAAAGCATTTATACCGACTAAATGGTTCATAGTTATGAAGCACAAATTTACCTTACTCGTTGCGCAACTCGCTAGACGTTCAAGAAAAGTTCTACAGCAATAAGAAGCTAATGTGGGCATCCACAGATGAAGATCAGGCAGCAAGGAAGTGAGGGAGGCCGGGTTATAGGGAGGCAGCGATTCCTGATCAATCAGATCAGAACCCGAAAGGAGAGGCCAAATGGGTTCTCGCTCATACCTGCCCGTGCGTTTGGCCCAGAAACGAACGAGAGCCGGTGATTCGCAGCTCAATAAGAACGAGGACTACCTCGTAGCTCTCGTACTCCTGACGTGGCAAAAGATGACGAGGTGGCACTTACGAGGAATGGGTTTGAAAAGTCTACTGCCATCATCACGCAGGCCCCAAAGAGTCAACTTACTCGGCACGCCACCATATTAGACACCCACGGGACTCATCCTCTCTAGGGGCAGCGCTACCCTCTTCTGGGCGACAACAGTAACTAATGGCGACCATGACTACTCTCTTCCTAAGCTGCTGCAACTCAGAACGGCTGTCTATACGTTTGTCCCAGTAAAGATAACCATAGAGAGAGAGAGAGAGAGGTCCAGTCCCATCTGTCGCCGCCAGGGTAGGGGAAGCCATCAGGTCCCCGTAGAACCCTGGGCGGCAGGCCCGCCAACGGGGAGCCGACTGGAGAAAACGTCCTCCCTTCTGGTGCAACGGCCAGCGACCCAGGGCCAGAGGAACCTCTGACCCTCCTGGTGAGGAGTGGAATCAACGGCATTAATGAATTGGACTGGAGGAGACGGAGACGGAGACGAAGCGAGCGGGGAGGCACTGTTCCCATAGGAGCTGACAGGCTCGCGAGCCGTGCAGAGACGGCATCTGCCATTTCTTATAGCTTCGGACCGTCCATGGTCCCATGCATGATGAAAGTCGTGTCCATCTATGTCGTTCTTCAGACCAGAAACCGGTCTCTCCTTATTGTAGACTCCCCTTCCCAGAGCGTCTCTCGGAGACCTCCCAGACCTCTACACACGTAAGCGTGAAAAATAATCGATTTTAATGTGGAATTAAATTTAAGTTAGATAGTCTGATCCATCGATATGGCATTAGAAACCGATGTTAGGGAACAATTCTAGGGTCACCAAGGAAAGTCTACAAAAAATCTAAGCCGTTAACGTGGGGCTCTAATATCACGTTAGGGCAATTTTCCCAACCCTCTACTACGCATTCATGATACTCGACTCTCACCGACCAACCCCTCCTTTTGCCTAATTAAAACACGAGACATCAAAAAGTCGTAGGTAGTCGACAATTTTGTACCCACAAGGGATAATGCATGAAAAATGTAACCAAACAAGACCTGCTTATATCAAGGCATCTAACCTAGTGGTTGCCGGTCTCTTTACGCTCTTAGTTACATTGTGATCGATCTTAGAATGAAATAAATGATCATATGTCAACGTAATCACAGCCCAGGGCGCTCAACGTAATCGGGCATGAAGTGTTCGAATTAATTGACCGGAGGAGGGCTGCTGATGGCATCGCCTTGTAGGTCGTGGTTATTTTAGTCACCCACTTAACTTAGAGTAATCACCCATTTCTCCAATCGGAGGGTCGGACTGCTACGTCCCCCACCTGGCATCTTCTCATGTTCTTCGGAATGTGGAAGGGCAGTTGAGAATTGACAACCCATCGGTCTAGGTTCTTACCTTGTCGCTAACTCACCATTAATAGCACCTCACGACCCAGGGGATTCATACGTGGCGAGAAGTTTTCACGTGCGGCTTTTCTTCTTCGTCTTCTTCACCTCTCTCTCTCTCTCTCGCTATCTCTCGCTCTCATTCACCCTCTTACGGCAGCGAGCAGCAACCTCGGGAGGGGATGGGTCAAGATCATGCGGCAGGACCACAGATTTTAGGAATCGGTATCAGATTTTAAGAGCGGGAGGGGCGATGTGGCACGCTCCCAGCGTCTACCTTCTCACATGGATCTCCGCCACTGCCATCTAATCTCCTCCCGGCCGCTGCTGCTCGACCAGGAAATCTGCTATTCCCACCCACTTTCGCGCCGACGGGGGTCACTCCCGCACCGACCGACCTTCCACTTAAGCTTTGGCCGGAGATGAGTTCTTGGGAGAGTCGTCTTATCAAATATGCACGTGGAGAGTCGCTTCCCATAGGCTGGGAACCCTTTCTGGGTCCCACAGACTCATGGATCTCCCTCCTCTGCCCCACCCTCCGAGTTTACTCCGGTCTTTTACTGTCGGTGAGGGCATGTAGTGTAACTCCCGACCACCCCTTCCGGGGACTTCTCTGAGCCTTTTGCGAGACAATCCCTAGAGAAAATATCAAACGGTGAAAAGGACGATCTCACATGAGCCCAACCAGGCAATAAATTCATGCCCCCCCTTCCCCCTCAGAAAAAACAATACTTGTCTCTCTCTCACACTCTCCTCTCTCCCCCCCCGTCTGTCTCTATCTATCTCGGCCAAAATAATTATTTGTTGGAGGAGAAAAGACTCCAAGGACCTCCGAAAGGAAACTTCGAGGGAGGTCGTAGAATAAAAAAATCACCACTGGCCGCGGAACCCGCACACGCAGAGTCGTCCATGTGTCTGTCTCACGGGTCAAAGGGTGACGGCCTAATCGTCTACTAGTCTGCTACTCAGTCAAGGAAGAAGGCACCGACCCTTTCTTCTTTCTCTTCCTCCCTCACCTTCTCCCCTTCTTCCTGGCCTACAAGAAAAATCTTCAGGTGAAGCAAAATCAAGGAAGACAGCTCTCACATCGCGTGATTCATCGTCACCCCCATCACCAGCACCGTCGTCGTCATCCTCGGCGTCAATTTCCCCCCTTCTTCCTCTCTCTCTCTATCGTTCTGCCGTGTCGTTCCCTCTCTCCCTCTCGCAGAAACACAGAAATTATCATGCCAATGGAGTCTGCAAGAGCAGGAGGAGAAAGACACCTCCCTGAGGAAGAAGACGCCGAGAAGCACCAGCGCCACAGCTGCCGTCCTACTTTTACTCTCTCTCCTCCCCCTTCCTCCTCTTCTTCATCCTGTTCGGCCCGGTGGACCCCGCCGCAGACGGAGTCAGCAGGTGATCACCATCCGTCGGTGAGCGGCAGCTGCATTTCTCCGGAGAAGGAGTTCATGTTCGACAAGGTGGTGACCCCCAGCGACGTTGGAAAGCTCAACAGGCTCGTCATCCCCAAGCAGCACGCCGAAAGGTACTTTCCTCTTGACGGTTCCACGAACCAGAACGGCCTGCAGCTCGGCTTCGTGGACCCCTCCGGCAAGCCATGGCGGTTCCGCTACTCCTACTGGAACAGCAGCCAGAGCTACGTCATCACCAAGGGATGGAGCCGCTTCGTCAAGGAGAAACGCCTCCGCGCCGGCGACACCGTCTCCTTCTGGCGTGGCGCCGGAGAGGGCGGCCGGCAGATGTTCTTCATAGACTGGAGACGCCTCCCCGACAAGCAAGACCTGCAAAACCCTTCGTCGTTTTTGTCCTTCTCTAGGGCCGGGGTCCCGTGGCCCCCCCTCATCTCGCCTCCGTCGACTTCTGCCGGAGGGCCGAACCGCCACCTGGGCTACAGCTACCAGTCTGCCGCCGCCGCTGCAGAGTCGAACCCGTATTTATGCTACAAATCGATGGCGGTGCAACTAGGGATCGGCAGCGGAGGCCGAGTCGGCGATAGAGTTATTGACTCGTTTCCGGTGGTCAACGGCAGTCCACTGGCTAAGAGGGTGAGGCTATTCGGAGTGAATTTGGATTCCTCTCCGGAGAAAGTTGACCCAGACGGGAACGTGTCGGTGCGTTCCCGTCTCCCGCCTCTGGCGCCGCCTTCTCTCAGATTGAGCGCCGGGGGTTCGGAGATGGTCGGGTTACAGATGAAAGAACTGAGGTGAAGCCTTTGAGAAGTCTTACAGATGAAACAGGAAGATGATCTTCACGTCATTCCTCTTGGCACAGAGCTAGAGAGGGGAAATGTGCTCCGTTGTATGGATCGGAGGCCCCCTGAAACGGGTTATAGAGAATACTATCGTTTTGATCTCTCTCATCTTGCATCCTTCTGAACTTAAATTCATTCTTCACTTGTGCATAATTGATTCACAGGGGTCCTTCTAATTGAAATTTCCTTTTCGGCAATCCGAACCACATTGCCAGTTACCCATTTGCAGACCGATCGAACGGGCTGCGGTATGAAGGGCAGGAAGACTCAGGCTAACTAAGGGCCTCCCTGGAGGCGGAGTCCCTATCTGAGGACGAAGTGTGAGTTATTTCTTTCTTCTAATTTCCTCCGGAGCTCTCTCTCGGTCTCTGATGCCTTTCGATGAACCCATATTATGAGGCCTTTAGATGGAACTCGTTGAAGATTTTCTCCCCCTTTGTTCCTTCTATTGGATTCGTTGTCAATGGAAGACGATTCTCCCGCACGTACGCAGAAAGTAGTATTTCCATAGCCGTAACAATTGCCAAAAGAACATCTTCGAGCAAAACCCTCTCAGAGCTTCAGAGATTGTCCCCTTGTCGCTGAATCGGACTTTTTATAAGACATTTAAGCGTCTCAGATTTGGAATGCTGTTCGTCCTGTGACATATCTAAATGGCAAGCCCAGACCTTAGTTTTTTATGACTTCTGTTCGTTCGTTCGTTCGTCTGAACTATGAAGTGGTGAGCTGCCAAACGAGCTGGAGGCCCGCCCACAGTTGACATATTAAGGATTGGTCAGGAAACGGCGCAGATGTGATGTAAGCGATTTCCGTGTGCTGTCCTAGTCGATCTTCCACATCAAAGAAATCGTAAGATTACTCAATTGGTCAATAACCCCTAGAAGTCCCTTACTAGAGCTCGTTATTGACAATTTTTTATCCATGAAAGGGATAAATTATTTTACATGGAGGGAAAATAAGAGGAAAAATCAGAGACGAATTTCAGGAGAACAACAACTTGAAGTTCAGAAGACCAGTTTATTATTCCATTTGTGTGTTCTTTGCTGATTCTTGGGAACGTATCTGATACTAAGGATTCCGCTGTTCTCGAGTAGTTTTGGGAAACGACTGAGGAGCTATGGTAATCAAATGCATTGACGGTTGTAATTTTCATCGACGTTTAGATCACGAGGTGAGAAAGCAATCTGTTTTTCATCACGACGGCTCGTTTTTTAATGAGCATGAAGCTCTCATAGGCCTACTCAACTAAGCTAGCTGTCAAGAGAATTTCTTGGATATGGATCATCGAGTATTCATTGAAGACTGTTTCCCAATTCTACCGTATTATTTGAAGATGGACACAATGCTTTCCCCTTCCTTCAGAACTCCGCAAAGCCCAGATTGACAGTTTGACATCGGAAGTATCAGCAATCGAAGGGAGTTGACATTTTTTTTCTTTGAAATCGTAAATCTAGACTGAAAGGGAAATGTCCCATGCTCCTGTCTCGGATGAAAGATTAGTAGGGAGCAGTCCACTGCATGGCGACTGGCGAAGGGGCTGGGCGGACAGCTCGGTAGAATACATGGGTCGCCCTAATCTGTCGCCGACGGGACAGTCGAACGTCGACGGTTAACACCGTAGTTGGGAAGCCAGATATGTGGCAAATTCTCCCCTCGTTTCTGGAAGCCTGATTCTCCTTTCTTGCATACTATGGGATGAGCTGAGAGTTATCTCAAGCCCATTGTCAAGCATTTCTGTGTGTGTGGTGGCGGGGTTTGACTGGAGCGGAGAGGAGATACTTCGAATAATCGGAGAGAAACGAGAGAACGTTCTACAGTAGGTCGCTGCGTTTCTTGCAGTGACTCTTTGAAGATAACTTCAATTATTTGATAAGAATGTTTCATTATTCCTCACTTATGAACACATCCACTGAGTCTATTTTTCCTCCGGTCGAATTACGTTCCATGAAAGACAACATCACATCTTTCTCTCTCTCTCTCTCCATCGTTCACATGCGAATTGGAAGAGAGTATGACGGTCGCCGTCGCCAACAAGGCTGACCAAGTGATGCTTTCATAGCCTTGCTGCCGTCAATCTCAAGGCACCATCTTTCCGTTCCATGTGATCCGCCTAACACTACAGCTATAGTTTAGACTTCCGGGGGCATCTTCCCCTTCGGACATAACAACGCCTAATGCGGTAGGTGATCGGTCCAGGGCCGCCTTCTCCCGCCCCCACCCGCTATTGAATTCATGCGTGAATCTTATTATCAGCCTAACGTCGGTAGGAGGTCCCTTGAAGACTTAATACTATGAGGACAGAGTCCACGCTAAGAGTGTCCTTCCTCCACATGCGCTAGAGGATAATTGATGAAGAAGATGAGAGCGTGGTGAAATCTGATAGGAGATTATTCCTACGATAGTTCAGAGAGAGAGAGAGAGAGAGAGAGAGAGAGAGAGGATTGAAGACAGATAGCTAGATGGTACATATCGTTTCCTATTTTGGCTTTTTCCTTCTCCGCCAGCGGATCTATCTGTCGACACTGTGCAGCGATGGTGTTCCTGCTTGTCTTCTTCTTCGTAGGTCCTTTCTTTCCCTTCGACAGACTACGTACATTGCCATCTCCAAGCAGACTGAGGAAGGCCCGTGAACTTTCTCATAATGCTGCATCTACCGGGTCTCCTCTTGCTGGTAGCACGGTGACTGCAGCGAGGGTTTAAATGAGAGAGAGAACGAGAGAGAGAGAGAGAGAGAGAGAGAGAGAGAGAGTGCTAACGTCCCAAGAATTTTGAAATATTTGCCCCAGATATCTGTGACTCGAAGGTTATTTCACCACATCACCTGGTAATTCATCAAGAAAGGAAAAATCAAAGAGTTATGTGGATGAAGAAACCAGAATTTTCAGTCCAGGAATTGCGAGGATTACCACAATTTCATGCAGTGGCATGCCAACCGCAATGCAAGCCACCTCTTCCTTCTGCATGAAGTTGGAATTTCCTCCAAGGAAAAAGCGAAAGAGGGAGGGGAGAATGGAATCAATGAAGCACGGGCTTTCTGTATTTACTGGACGCATAAAAATAAAAAATCATATTAATTGTTATTCCTTGGGATATTCGTCATCATCTTTGACAGATGAAAACCTCTGCTAAGCTTCACTTCTCTCTTCCTTTTCTCAGAGATAAGTAGAGAGAGAAGCCCTGGGAGAGTGACAGTGCAGACCTTCCCGACAGGAGTTTTAATGACAGGTAAGACTCTGCTCTAGTCCGGAGAGTGTAGGGCAGAACGAGGAGGGTGTACGGCCTTCTGAGAGGCTTCCATCCCTCGCGGAGCCTGGTTAAACGTCTGCGTTAAATGCTTCTTGCTGGGGGACAAACCCGGCAAGCAGGCCATCCTCTCACCCTTCCCTCTCTCTCTCTCTCTCGCTCGCTCTATCTATCGATCATCTTTCTATCTATACGTACCTCTAACGTAGGTTTTACGTACCTCAACTTAGCCTGAGGAGGGCCATCTCCTGCACGTCTGATGGTGCCTCCAGCTGTTACTGCTAGAGAGAAGTCTTTATCTAGCCCTTAGCGACGGCAGAATGCTGTGAAGGGATAGCGGGGTAGGGTGGGCGGGAAGGGACGGAACCCCTCGAATGAATGGCCTTCAACCCTATTTTCGCCGGAGCCGGCAGACCGGCGAGTCCCTTCAGCACTTTCTCTCTAGATCCTGGCGGGTTTTTTCGTGCAAAATGATTTCCAGAGATGCCAGTGATAAATGGGCCTATATTGGACCCAACTATAAAAGGGCAGGCTGAGATTTCAAGCCTCATCGGCCCACTCTTGCATGGTTTCGGATTAGAGGGGAGATGGGCCGAAAACCTATATACATATTAAGATGGGCCTGGGTTTCAGTCTAAATAGTTTGGTCCAATAAAAATAGATTACCATTGTAGAATGAAAGCCGCAGGAATAATACAAAATAAGTAAGCTAATATAAAAATTAACACGAGTTAAATTAACACGCTGAAATATAAAAATTTAAATATTTTTTATATTTCAGCAATTGAACCTTTTCCTTGTTACTGAACGAACTGATTATTTATACTTCTATTTAAGTTTATTTAATTAATACATATTTTATGATTGGGCGTGCATGTTCTTTTTTATAGATAGTTATCTATAAAATACTGCAAAACTCTTACTCGTGCATTTTTGCGTTAAATAAATTTTTATTTTTCAAATTAACCTTTATTCTCTATAGGGGGGACACGAGCAGAAATAAGATATAGTTTGGGGGGATGGTTAACATAATTATGAACTTCATAAGGTATCTATGACATTGGAGGCTGGGTGCCGTCGGATCTCTCTTTTTTTTCTCGTCTAGGTTTTTGCCTCCTAGGGTTTCTCTGTCCCTGTTACCCGCCGGCACCATCGGCGCAGGAGGTACCTTCCTCCACGATTTTGAAGGTCTTTGGTTCGTGGACGAAAGTTTAGGAGCGTTTCCACGCCAATGGATCCGTTCACGTCGTCCCCTTCGTCGAGCGGGCTGCCTTCGTCGTCCGGGCCGTCGTCGGATGTGTTGATGAACCAGCTCAAGGTGCAGCTTGCCCAGGCCTACGCGGAGGAGTTCCTCGAGGTCTGCGCTCTTATCCCCCTTCTTCGCTATGTGGGAATTGATGTGCCATTCGTCGTTTTTGCTTATCTATTTTTCAATCGATCCATTTGCGTCTGCTGTGGCCTGGATGTTATTGTGGGAAGTATCGAGTGTCCCCGCGCTCTGGTATTGTTCTACTGAAAAATATTACTTTTGCCGCTCATCTGCGTCTCCTTGATGTAGTTCTTGTTACCGGGACCTTGAGACATCGCCTGCGACCTTTTTTCTTCTCAAATCTGGTCACTCTTCAATGCCCTGGGACTGCATTTTTGGGAATGATTTAGTTCTTCTGGGTTCTTTGGAAGTTAAATAGATGCGAGTAGCTTACGGCAAGTTCAGAGCTGGTTCTTGCTGAAGAGAGGAAGAAATGGACGTCGATTAAATGTACCCCCCCACAGAACAGAAACGCAAAGGCTGTCTCTGTCATGTTAGGCGTATTCTTGGTGGATATTTTCCGTTGTTTGATTCCCCTTCAAGGTATGCTCTGATATCGTCGTGAAAATTCTCCGATATATTGAGCGTTTTCTTTGCCAACTCTAGGCAAATACTTGCTCCGTTGTGGAGAATGGGTAGATCATGGTGCAAAACAGCAAGTGATGCGTCTCTTTTCATCTTTATGTTGCTGCTCGCAGGAAGACAATATGCCAGTTGGCTTGGCTCAAGCCGAATCTTTCTCCAACGCATCCTGAAAAAGCTTGTAACCTGAACCAGATCTGATCCTCTCGGACCAAATCCGCCTCATCAACCGGGTTTCTAATATAAGAACATAATATGTAAATAGAAAGAGAAAAAAAATGTAAGGAAGCTGAAACTGCGGATAAATGACAGATTTTATGGAAGTGTATTGATAGATTTGGAAGTCCTCAAAGGTTGAAAACCAGGAAATATGGCATGAATAATCCCTTATCCCGGCCCAAGTCCATCTGTCACCCTCACTTTTCGCATGTTGATCTCAACCATCTCTGGGTAATCTTTTTTCCGTCGAAATTAAATCTTTGAACGGTTTGGATTTGCGCCATCCTGTGTGGAGAACTATGTTTGTAAACACTGGCTAGATTAGATCTACGAGCAAGGCAAATGATGTGTGGTTGTTCCAGAAACTTTTTCTCCAGTGACTTTTCCATGGGCTTCTTGTTGGCAGACTGTGAGGAGCAAGTGTTTCACAAAGTGCATCACCAAGCCAGGGTCGAGCTTGAGCGGGAGCGAAAGCAGCTGCATATCTCGGTGTGTGGAGCGGTACATCGAGGCCACTGGCATTGTCGGCCGGGCTCTTTTCAGTTCCACCCCCCGCTAAGCTCCTCCTGGGGGGGAACACCTGCCGGTCAGAGCTCTGCTTCACGAAAGAGCTCCATTCATGATCCTGATCACTCAAGCTCGCCCCTCATCGGTATGTTTCTTCGATCGAGTGGCCATCCCTGTCATGGCGCTGGTTGACCCATTCTGGTGAAGAGGGGGGGACTGACTCTGATTGAGCATCATGCTTTATCACGATCTATTTCATAGTTTATGTTTTATGATTATACCTTTGGAGCTTCTGTCACTCTTGTTCCGTTTGCTTGCACAGGATCTCTTCTTCTAAAAGTTGACCCTTAAATCTTAAGTGGATATGATCTGGGGTCACAACTTGATCATGTTGGAGAATAGAACTGCTAAGGGCGATTCGATATTTCAAACACGGTTACCTGCAACTCCCACTTTTGAACATTTCTAGGCCTTCTGACATCTTTGACTTCCAGTTTAGATAAATTTAACTAGAAAAGTTCTCATGTTAGCTGTTTATTTACAAAAGGTGAATCGCCAGGGCATGTTAATGTGTGCAATTGTACCATGGAAGAGAGTGGATATGAGTTAATTCTTCGGGGGATTATTTTATCATACTATTTATGCAGGCTGAACCATCTATTGATAAATGAGAGGGTGGAAACCAAGTAAAAGAGGCCGATGGGGACTATGGGGCTAACTCGAGCTTGGAGAATCGCGCATAAGGTGGGTTCAAAGCCGGGCCGAACCTGGGAGTACATGCCGGGCCAGGGGAGAGCCAGTGGCCCGGTCTGTACTTTTCTTTTATTTCCTCAACAATAAGAAAACCTAGAGAAATATTGGATATGCTATGTTTAACAATGATGATCCTCGGCAGGGGCGAAATGAGCATGCCCTGGTGCAACGAAAGCAGTACGATTCCCTTCCCGAGCTCGTCCTCCCTCGTTCCCATGTGGTGCTCTCTCCCGTATGAACAGTCTTGGGTTTGCAGTGATAATAACGTCAACGGCGAAACTCGGGTGAGAGAGAGAGAGAGAGAGAGAGAGAGAGAGATGTGGTTGGGGGATAGGGGGGATGGGAGGGAACAGAGTCGAGCTACAGAGTCCCCACAGTACATGCTGTGGAGGCAGATCCTCAGAACGGATCTCCGTCAACCCCCTTTGGGGCAACCACTAATCGGAGTCTCTGACAGTTCTTCGGTGGGTGCTTTATGGCTTTTAACATTCCCTCTTTCTTCTGGATGCATTCTTCATTTGGTGGAGATGATGGGCACGCCGATGGTCTGTTCTTCCAGCTGAGGGAAGGCTGCTCCGTCACTTCCCTCGCTCGGCTTCCTCCACGGGCTCTGCCTGTCATCTACAGCGACTATAAAACGACTGAAGGAAACCACGTGAGTCGGTTCTTCCTCTTAAAGATGGCAGAAAGAAGCCGCAGCCCTACACAAGAGAAAGAGAGAGAGAGAGAGAGAGAGAGAGAGAGAGGAAGTGGGGGATGGAGAGGGAGAGAGGGAGAGAGGGAGAGAGCGAAGGGGGCGCTGGGTCGCAATCAGAAAGAGAAAAGAGTGCTGACGCATGGCAAACTGAAGGGTTTCACCTTGTTCTGCCGGTTCGTATTTTTGATCCTTACATATATCTTCTATGTTATTTAAGGTCGAGATTGAGGAGATCGTCATCCACGGGGAGGAACCCATGTCCGGGATGGATCACCGCCGCCGACGGCAGCTTCAGTCTTCCTGCCGCGATGAGGAGCCTAGGAGAATTACTGCTCCGGCGGCCAATATCACCGTCAACACCTCTCCGGCAGTCAGGAGAGGAGCGAAGGGTGAAGAAAAGAGGAAGAGTAGCGCGGAGGACAAGCAGCGGAGAAGGCACATCGCCGCAGAGCGCAATCGACGGATGATGATGAACCTCCACTTCAGCTCCCTCTGCTCCCTTCTTCCACCATCGTTCCTCCAGCGGGTGTGGCTCTTCCCTCGGAGAATCATCATCTCTCATCTCCCTCGTAGTGATTCTTCGGATCTTAACCTCGTCCCTTTGACCTAAAGGGAGACCAGGCATCCATCGTCGGTGGGACCATCGATTTCATCAAGGTGATGGAGCAGCTGCTCCAGACTCTCCTCGCCGAGAAGCGGATGAGATCTGGCGGCGCCTCGACCGCACTCTCTCCTCTCACGGTGGCAGCCCATTCTCTGTACGCTTACTGTCCCTCAAACCAGGATACAACTTTCACGTCGATCCCACAGTCCACTGCCGCACCACGAGAGGAAGAAGCGGGGGAGGATCAGTTCGACGGCAGTAACGGTGGTGGGGACCCGACGACGGTGGCGGACGTTGAAGCGACGGTTGTGCAGTCGCAAGTGAATATACGGGTACTGTCGAGACGGCGGCCGGGGCAGTTGGTGAGAGCGGCGGTGGAGCTGGAGAAGGTGCACCTATCGGTGCTCCACCTCAGCGTTACCTCCTTCACCGATGCCGTTCTTTGCTCCCTCATCCTCAAGGTAAACCCTATTGTCTCCACGGTTTTAGTCATATTTTTGCAGCGGAAGGGCCTTCATCTCCTTGGCCATTCGCATATTTCCTGCATGTGGTTGGACAGATGGAAGAAGGCTGCGAGCTGACCTCGGCGGATGAGATAGCAACCGTTGTGCATGAAATCTTCTCGTCGATCGCCACTTGCGGCTGAAACATTGGGCAACGGTATTCTTTTCGCATTAACGCAGATATTATTTTCGAATTTAATTCGTAAAATGGCAGACATTTTAAATTTTAATAAAAACATATATAGCAGTTAAAATTTCATATTATATAAAAACCATTTTGGCGAGGATATAAAAATGAACTTCTTCCTTAAGCAAAAATATGTTTGCTAAATTATATTTTCAGCTTCAAACCTAGAAAAAATCACCAACATTTCATTCTTGTCGTCGTACTACTTGGGTAGACTGAAAAGGTATAATAACAGCACTACGTCATGTACTTTCACGAAGGCCTTTGATATTAGCGCAGTAGCTTTGAGAGTATGTTTTATGAATAAATTCATTAAATTTATCTTTATTTAATCGTTTTTTTGTAGTAACTGGAGTCTACCATACAGAGCATTCATTGAATCCGGTAGTTGATCATTGTTCGAGAAATGAACACAAGAAGTGCTGGCGAAAGGCAGTAGCAAGAGTATGAAGTTGAACGTCTACAAGTCGCACATTTTCTTCAATCCACACCATTTCCTGCATACATACCTCGGGAAATAAAGGGGGCGGTGTAGGGGGGGGGGAGAGAGAGAGAGAGAGAGAGAGAGAGAGACCACAGAAAGAGGTAGGGGGTAGTAAGAGAACTAACGGCGCTCGATCTGCACGGTGATATGCAGGATGCCGTATTCCTTCCGTATGTACTCTACCACCTTGCGAAGCACATCGTCAGCATCGGCCTCTAGGGTTACGCTGACATGGCACGTGAGTACCACCTTCCCCAAGGTGATCGCCCACACGTGTACCTCATGAACGGAAACCACGCCATCCAGTTCACACAGGCCTTTCTCGAGCCTCTTCACGTCAATCTCCCCCGGAGATGACTCCATGAGAACATCAACTATTTTCCTCACCATCTTCACAGAGTTCACAAGAGCGACCGCAGAGAAGACGAGCGTACATACAGGATCGATTATCTTCCATTCGGGCTTCCACCACAAGAAGGCCCCGGAGATCATCACTCCGACCGTCTGGATCGACTCTCCAAGCGCATGGAGGTAGCCGTTGCCTGGGTTGACGTTCCTCACTTCGGCATGCTTTACAAGTGGTTCCTCTACGTCGCCGCCATGACAGTCAATGGGTCTGAGGTCATCAGTGAGGCGACGACCATGGCCATCGTGACTCAGAAGAGCTGCTACGAGGGAGTTGGCTACGAGTCCGAAGGCAGCAACGGAGAACATTATGAAGCCTTGTACCTCTCCTCTGTAGTTTATGATTCTGTCAATGGCTTCATAAAAGAGAATACCTGCTAGGAGCCATACGAGCTGTACAGAAAACAGAGCTCCCAGGATCTCCACTCGGAAGTATCCATAGGACAGACGCGGTGTGGCGGTCCATCCAACTGCCTGGAGGGAGATAAGAGAGATAGCATATGCCGCGATGTTTGAGAGAAGACGAGCCGCGTCAATGAGGACCGCGAGGCTGTTGGCTATGATGCCACCGTAGACTTCAATGCACATGAAGGTGGTGGAGAGGATGGCGGCTATCATGAGCCTCTTCTTTGACGCTGATATCTCTTCGGCGTGTCGGAAACTGGGGTTGCAATGGGAGAATTTGCAGGGAGATCTAGTGCACATCCTTCCAGCGCGCAGGTTACTCTTTTCCGCGAGCGGAATGGGTGAATCTCTCGCAATGGGATCTGCTGACCGGGGCGCTAGGGTTTGGGGATTCTCCATCTCCATCGTAGGTTGAGTTTGCTAGGAAAGAAGGATGGAAAGAGAGAACAACGTTGGGTAAGCAGCAAAAGGAACAGAGATCCGGTATTCTTGAGGGAGAGAGATAGAGAGACGGGAAGGAGGGGAAGGCGGGGAAGGCGGGGAAGGCGGGGGGGAATGGATCTACTGCACATAATTTCCTTGTTTATGAAGAAGTTCATGTGCCAAGATATAGGCAGAGTGCCCGTCAGGAGGGTGGGGGGGAGGGTTGTTGGAGCGGCCGGGAAAAGGATTCCCCCATGGCCACCACGGCTTCTCCCTCCTTCCGGGTGGGCCCCTCATTTGGTCGAACTCCCCTGAAACGCCTTCCCTGAGGGAGGAAAACGTGGCTTCGGAAGGACAAGTAGATACCGAACTGGTATGGGCAACCAGAAAGAGCAGGGAAAGGCCGTAAGGACGATGGCATCTCATGGATCCGGGTTCTGATGACGACCTAGGCTTCCGAGCGTGACCAGGTCTATATGATTTGCACCTGAAATTGAATGCTTTTAAAAAATATATATTTTTAACAAAATCACGTAGAAAATATTTCAATAACATATTCCATGGGGAAGATCATAGATTCATGCTCTATATATTTGATTTAACGTCAGCAAAGTATGTGCGGAGGACGGTGTGAACAGTGTCGATCCCGGTGTGTTCCATGGCCGTAGAGGGTGATGAGCTGTATATATAATGGTCCGGCGGCAGGTGTTGATGCGGTTCCATGCATGTGTGTCACGTCAGTCGAGATTCGCCAATTGAAATCGTACTTTATTTTATTATAAAATTTCTTTTCTACGCCCGGAGCCGTAATGACAGTTCCATTGCCTTGAGTCACAGACCACTCGTATGAAGGCTCGTTCTTAGCCCGGGGAAGATTTTCTAAAATATAGGTCTGACTAGAATTAAGATTGAACGTAAAAAAAGTCTAGGAAGTAGACAATGAGCAAGCATGGCTCGACGAGCAGCCATATGTCCAGGAGTGGTTGGTAGACAGTTAAATGGGGTGGTAGAATAGACCCTTTGAAAGCTCAAGCCAGGTTCCACCACTGATCCCCATAGAGGTGGGTATCAAGTCTATGTCATTCTAGAATTCTTATTATTACATGACATCAAAACGAGCTGTATTAAATTTAGAGCTTCTCCTGACCCTTTTATATTAATACATAAAAATCCTATTATATTATCTTGTTAAGAGGTTAGCCTTTCAAAATTTAAGAATTGGGCCATTTAAAATGTCTCCGTTTGAAGCATACCTCATTGTCTCTATCTTGTACCATGATTCGCGGAGTTGACTGCATGGAATTCAAGATGAAGAAATTTAGGTAGCTTTTCATTATTCTAATCAATCAGTATGAGTGGGACTCACTCTTCATTTACTGATTGGTGTGAAGTAATTAGTCGATAGAATGGATACATGTCAAATTTAGGTCATGCATGGGCCAAGCCCTATAAAGCCATCCTTGGCCCGATATCTTCTTACTGAAGGGATCGCTCCAGCTCGCCGGAGGAATATTGTCTCCGATGGACACTCTTGTTACAATGATTTTGGAATTTCTATTTTCAGATCATTAGTTTCTTTTGCAGGTTTAATCGGAGCCATTCATCGCCTAGAGTTATAATTGCGCACAAGCAGCCACATCAGACTCGGAGCCAACTCATTTGGGAGGCCGTTAGAGACACTCTCTCTCCTTCGTTCATTGGTTTCCTATAAATACCCCTCTAAGTGTTTGATGAAACGTGCTCTGAATATTTCTCTTTGATTCGATTCTATTTTGTACATTTTTCATTCTTGACTTTCATTTTTTTTGGAAGTTCTTGGGAGAATTTATGGCTTTGAGATGCCAACAATTGGTATCAGAGCCACTTGATTTGTAGGATCTTCAAGATGGCGAAGAAAGGAGGTGAGTCGAGCACTTTCGGCGAGCGTGGGGGGGAGAAGGTGACGCCGGCACCATCCCTCAAGCTTTCCAAGACCAACTACCGTGTTTGGTTGATGAATATGGAGGTATATCTTGATTCTCATGACCTATGGCAGGCAATAGTTGGTAAGAATGTTTCCAAGAAGAAGGACCAACAATCTTTGGCACAATTCCAGAGGAGATGATGCATGTTCTTAATGCAAAGAAGATGGCAAGGGAGAACTGGGAGGTTCTTCAGTCGCGAAATCTTGATATGGATAGAGTGATCCAATCAATTCCAAGGCTTGAAGAGGGAGTATGAAACACTCATGTTGCACAAGGAGGACGTGGTTTGGTGAGCCCCTTTTGGTGAGAAGTCAAAATATAGACGATTTTAATAGATAAATCTATCTCGTTCAAAACCTTGGATGTCCTTCGCCCTGGATAACTTTGTCGGGAAGCCAAGAATTGCTGAGAGCGAGGGGTGTGTGTGTGTGTGTGTGAGAGAGAGAGAGAGAGAGAGAGAGAGAGAGAGAGAGAGAGAGAGAGAGAGAGAGAGAGAGGACGATAATCGTCGAGGGAGATACCATGCATAGAGGTGAAGAGAGAGGATAATAACCAAGACCTCTCGGGTCTTGGGATTGCCATTTCGAGAAGGCTATTCTCCACTCTATAACAAGTCTTCACGAGGTTCTCCCAACCTCCCTTTCTTGTGGCCACTCGTCCTCTCTTTATAGCCAAAGCCCTTTCGCATCAGCCACCGCCTTCTGTCTCCTTTGCTTAGGCCTAACGGGACCTCGGTGCTGTGCTCCGTCTCTATCAGGCCTGCCACGGTTCCTCACCAAACTTCATCCACCGCACACATTTTTTGTTCTGCAGAATCCCACTTGCAGTTGTCGCCTTCAATGCTTGGATGTTGTTTGTCCTACTTCGATCTTGGGTTGGGCTGACATTTTTGAGACCCCTTTTCCTTTTGACCCATTTGGGATGTTAGGGTCTCAACAATACTCCCCTTAAATGACACACCTTGTCCTCAAGGTGAAAATCGAGAAATTACTGTTGGATGTCGTGAGTGTTATCCTAGGTGGCGGATTCAAGTGGCAACCTGTCCCATTGCAGTAGGACTTCGGGACTATGTGGGCAGTAGCAGACATCTACGACTTAACCCAGAACTATCGTCCATTATAGTTTGCCATCCACCAGTAATGCCAGCATCTCTGGGTCTCCTCTCATTGCAGAGTTTGGCTAAAGAAGGCTACAGATCTTTGATGTTGCATGAGGACAGCTCCTACTCTGTGACCAGAGGCTTCTGCCTTGAGCTCAAATGTGATGGAGAAATTAGGCAAAGTCAATACTGGGAGCATTGTCAGAGCTTGTTTGAGCTGCTAGAATGCTTCTTCGGCTGCCGGGTTCTAGCCAAACACTTCTTTTTTCAGTTTTTGTGTTAACGGCTAGGCAATTTGGCCGAGCCCTTGAACGAAGTGGTAGTAATATCCCCCCAAGTCCAAGAAACCTTAGAGGTCTCGAAGGTTCGTGGGAGATGGCCACTAGCGAACGACGACGATCTTTTCGGGATCTACAATGACTCCTTCCGCTGATATTCCATGGCCTAGGTACACAATTCATGTCTGATTGAACATACATTTTTTCGGGTGAATGTGAAATTAGTGTTTGTGGAGAATGAGAAATACTTGGACGAGATGGTCTTCATGTTCCTTGCTGGTTCAACTATGGATGAAGATGTCGTTGAAGAATACCAACATAAATCATCACAAGAACGGAGCAAATATGCAGTTCATGGTGGCTTGGAAGGTGGCTAGGGTGTTGGATAATCCAAATGGCATGACCAAGAATTCGTAATGTCCGTGATGCATTCGGAAGGCCATCTTTGGTACGTCCTCCGTTCGGATGAGAATCTAGTGGTAGCCGAATTGGAAGTTGAGCTTCGTGAATATAGTAGCTCTGTGCAACTCGTCAATGAGCTCGTCCACGACTGGAATGAGAAATCGGTCAGGAACAGTTACCTTATTCAGTGCGTGATAGTTCATGTAGAAATGCCATGAGCCATCTTTGTTCTAGATGAGAAGGGTTGAGCTGGAGAAAGGGCTCTGAGAATGTTGGATGAGCCCCATTGCAAGCATGTTTGCTACTTATTTCTCCAGCTTGGCTTTCTGAAAATGAGGATAGTGAAATGGATGGGCGTGGATTGTCCCACTACCTGGCTCTAAGATGATGTGATGCTCCTGTTCACAGGTTGGTGGAAGGCCAGTGATGTCTGCGAAGACCTGCAGAAAATGCTCCTGAAGCTCCCTCATCAAAGGGTCATTTGATAATTTGTCATTGCTGATTTCCAGTTGGAATAGTTCGAAGTATGCTTCTCCCTTGCAGGGTCTGCTGCTCAAGGAACTAAGTTGGTGTCATTTTCTTTGTTCAAGAGGTTCCGCCATGATTGTGACCTTGTCATTACTATCAGGAAAGGACAGGGTCCAGCCGTCTAAATCTAGCTCCAGCTTGTGTAATTTTTTCATAATTTTAGAATAAGTTTAGTATAGGTTTCCAAATTTTATCATTACTACTTTCTCTATTTTCTATTATGTCTTTGATTTCCAATTGTTGACCTCTAGTAATATTATTATTAAGAGAATGATAGACTAAATTATGCAATAACTTTTAAAGATATTAAATTAGAGTTAGTTATCTATATATTTTGAGGCTTTCTTAACTTTTATAGTTAGATAATGATGTTTTCAACTTTCTAATTTTTTTGAGGATCGACTTGAAATACATAAAATTAAAGAGAGTGACATGACTTAGTCATTGTATATTAAATGATGTAAATCTAAAATTTATAAAACTAGAAAATATGATTTTTCAAGTATTTAGAAGTATTTTTAAAAAAATATATCAATTATAATTCAATAAAACTTCCAAAAATAGCAATAATTTTCCAAATCAATCACAGGGATGTAATATAATATCTGGTAATTATTTTTTTTTTTTACAAAGAATACTATTTTTTATGACTTTTATATTAAGAAATAAAAAGGAAATATATTTAAAATTCACAAAAAAGGAAATAAGGGTGCAGACATCAAGATGATGTCAGCTCTCAGTGAACACAAATTGGGTGGAAATAGAGTTCTCCCTGACGATTCTTACGTAAATGATTACAAATGATTTAATTGATGAAATTAAGATCTGTAAAAGCTAAAATAATTGTAATGAAATCAAGTATATCTTGGTAAATTAAAAATAAATAAATTATCACTAAATGAAACAAAAAATAAGCTAAAAGTATAAAAATAGAGTTCTGGCATCGCGGCGGCGATGCATCAGTGATGTACTAGAATCTTGAGTATTTGAGAGGATAGTCATATAGTGTCCACAACCTTGAAGATTCTCCTTAGATAAGGACGATGTAGACAAATGATGATCCAGCAATTCTGATTGCTTAATCCTTCACCGGCGATCTACAGGAAAGTTGTGATTATTAGGTGAAAAATATGAATTTTGACTCTAAGAGGATTTGAACCCATGCTAGTTGCTTGCCCTTTCTAGAGAAGGTGACATAGGTTTAGTCCCACATTGCTTGTGCAACAAAGTGTCTGGTGAATATATAGTAATATTATATTTCTGATCAAGTCTCTTTCTCTCACGTGCACGACCACTCCTTGCCCTCACAAGCGGCTAGCCACTAATGACATGAAAGGGGGGTGGTGCACACATGCTCCTATCGGTCCAAGCCACTTGAGCCCCTACTTGCCGCTACTCCTGACTATGCTTCTAACCCGCTTGTAGGCCCCACTAGATGGCATGTCCCCTCCATTTTGTTTTATTTTTATTTTTATTTCTTTTTCTTTATTTATCTCAAAAGTAAGATTGTAAAAATTATATAAATTCGTATAAAATCACATAATTGCCTAAAATTTTACATTAATTAACTGAAAACTACTTTTCACACTTTAACACAAATATAAGTCCATTTATCATGAGTTAAGGCTAAAAATATATTATTTACTAATTATTAACTCATGATAATGAAGACTTATCAAAGAGCTTATTTGGGTTTTTAGTTATAAATATTAAACTTGAGTGCTTAAACTAATGACAACTTTAGACATATCAAATTTTGGTGCCATTACTCGAGAAGTTATTATGTTTATATATTTTGTTTCTCTCCTTACGTTTTTTTTTTTGTAGAGAAAAAAAAAGAAAAAAGAAAATTAAGCAAAACTCAATGCACATGTCCCTTTACTAATTATTAACTCATGATAATGAAGACTTATCAAAGAGCTTATTTGGGTTTTTAGTTATAAATATTAAACTTGAGTGCTTAAACTAATGACAACTTTAGACATATCAAATTTTGGTGCCATTACTCGAGAAGTTATTATGTTTATATATTTTGTTTCTCTCCTTACGTTTTTTTTTTTGTAGAGAAAAAAAAAGAAAAAAGAAAATTAAGCAAAACTCAATGCACATGTCCCAAAGGTGATAAATCACTTGAGGTATTTCTAAACTCTAGATTTTTGTTTGATTTATGCTTGGTAGGAGATCTCTAGACCCTGATTTGATTTCATGAGAATTTGCTCCTACTTTTAAAAGTTCTAAAAGCTCTAAACCTACTAGAATGGATAATATGAGTGAAAATCTTGAGTAGGTTAATGAAGAGCCTAAGTCTTTGAATGAATATTTTAATCCATCTAGTGACATTGAACTTTTTGAAAACCTTATTTACATGCATGATATTAAATCGTGTTTTTCAGATTTTACCAAATTTCTATTGAAATTTAAATGAAAACACTTAGGATCATTTGCAAGAGTTTCTGAAAATATGCATAACTATGAAGGGTGCTGATGATTCCTTGAAAATTACTCTATTTCCATTCTCAATTAAGGGAGAAGCAAGTCCTTGGATTTCCACTCTTAATTTGAGAAATATTATATGGTCTAAATTGGTTCAAGAATTTCTTAAAAATTTTTATCCTCATGGAAAAACTAATATGATGAGAAAATTGATCATGGGTTTTTCTCAAAATGTTAATGAGTTTTACATGATGCTCGAAATAGATATAAAAATATACTTTGAAAATACCCTAATCATGGTGTTCCTAAATGGCAACTTATTCAAATTTTCTATGAAAGATTAAACTATCAACATAAATAACTTATTGATGCATCATTTGGTGGTTCTTATGCTAACAAG